CTTCACAAGCCCCATTGCGTCCGCTTCCGATTGCTACGGAAGCCTGGCGCTCGGTCAGCATGGATTTTATCTTTGGCCTTCCACCGGATGAGCAGAAACGCACGGGCGTATTGGTTCTAGTGGATCGATTCAGCAAAATGGTGCATTTTGCTCCGGTCTCCGCCAACATTACGGCGGAGACGACAGCGAAGATCTTCATTGATCTTATCTTTAGGCATCACGGCTTGCCAGAATCTATTGTTTCGGACCGTGACCCGCGTTTCACTTCGGCTTTCTGGGCCAAATTATTCCAGCTATTAGGCACGCGGTTGCTTATGTCTACGGCGGCCCATCCAGAGACGGATGGGCAAACGGAGCGTGTGAACAGAGTGCTCGAAGATGTCTTGCGCAGTTACGCAACATCGTTCTTGTCATAGAGTTTGTTTCTTCCACTTGCAGAGTTTGTAATCAACAATGCTGTTCACGCGTCAACCGGGTTGACGCCCTTTTTCGTTAACAACGCGAGGCATCCTCGCGTTCCGGCGCTGCTTGCTCTCTCAGCTTCAGAACACCCTGTCTCCAAGCTTGGTGGGGGAGTATCTACGGATGGAATTGCGCCGAAACTATTGCTGAGTGATTACGATGCGCATAAGGTTGCTGCCGATGCACCTAATGCTGGTAATTTTGTGAACAACGGCATATCTACTCCTGACGCGATGCTTTCCATCGCGTCTTCCGTTGCCAATTTTGCTCCAAAAGAGAATACGTCGCCTGTAAGTTCGGCTGCAGTAACCAAATTCCTACTATTACGACAAGAAATCACGCGTTTTGTGCGTGATGCATTACAAGAGGCAGTCGACAAGCAAAAGGAGAATGCAGACAGAAGAGGACGAAAAAATATGTTGATATTTCGAGAAGGTGACAGAGTATTGTTATCAACAAGTGGGTTACCGAACACCTCAGTGACGAATTTGGGCGCTAATAAGTTAGCGCCAAGATATATTGGCCCATTTCGGGTTGTTAAAGTGCATGGTGACGCTTACACGCTAGACATACCTACATCTATGCGTTTGCACCCGACGTTCTACGTCGGGCGCCTCAAGGCTTACCTGCCGGCGGATCTCCCTACGAATCTTCCCCGCTCTTCTGTGCCGGCTCGAAATCTGACATCCCTTGACGACGACGTTGACGACGACTGGGACCTAGTCCTGCCCGAATGCGTGCAGACTCGATCTGCTGGGGTCCTCCGAATGCAGTCTTCTCAAGTTGACGTAGGCGCTCAACCAGTACCAGCTGCTCACGTCGAGTCCGCTCAGCAGCCTCAGTCGCAGCATCCGAACGATCTTGAACTCTCTCAGCCATCTCGCGAGCATCAAGTAGGGCATTCTTCGATTCCTCGACTTCAGCATGGAGTAGGCGCAGCTCATCATTCGACTGTACAGGCGCTTGATTATGAGAATCGGCGCTCATCGCCAGAGGCCTTCCGTCGTGATGCTCCTCCTGCATTAGTCGATGCATCGGGTGCGCGACGCTGGATTGTCGACCGGATTGTCGATCACGAGGATCACAAGCCCCAGCCGCCGAGTAATAACTCGGCGCCCATGAAGAAGCGTGTCGAGAAACATTACAGGGTTCGCTGGTTGGGATATTCCCCGACGGACGATACATGGGAGCCATCGAGTACGCTGTTCCAAGATGTACCAGGCGTGGTCGAGAATTATGATTCGCGTAAAAAGACGGCTATCGCGAGTGATGCTGCCGATTCCATCCCCAATCTCGCGAGCCGTGATGCTCGCGAGCAACAGAACTTTGACGACGAGTCCCCGAGCGATTCCGAGATCTATTATGAGGTTCGAGAAAACTTGGATGGCATTTGCGACTATGTGGGTTGCCATAGCGAATCGAATATGGCGGACGTGGGGATCGAACCAGCGACATCACGATCAGGAACTCAGTGGTAAATCACTGCACCAACGGAATGTAGCGAATGAAGAGTTTCGTTATGACTTCTCGCAATTCTGGATGATTAGCGCTGATATAACGGTATAGCGTCCACGGGATCAAGTGTGCGTCCGTGACTCGCGTGTCTGCTCCATGCAGATCGTACGGTTGTTGTCGTCAGATATATCCTTGCGCGCGCGGCCAGGGTCATGCTGCTCAGTTGCGTGTCACTGAGCAGGTTCGAGGTTGTGTCGCTGCATCTTTGGTGAAAAGAATCATTTTTCAAGTTATGTGCTTACGTTGTAGTAAGCACAACTTAAAGAGGGGGTGATGTAATGGGGCAACCTATCACATGAGTAGTTATAGAATTAATACATAATTCCATAAGTAGGCATAGGGCAGTATCCGATTAGCGGATACTGCGCGTCATTTTATTATTGGTTTATTATTGGGGTGCCAGACCCAATAATTAGCCAATAATAAATTGACTTCCATATTGAGTGGTTCCCATGAGCTAGGGAACATATTCGCACTTACTGCGAATTAAAACTAAAACAAAAATAAAACAGAGTTAAATTTACGAGTTAATTAAGAGCGCTTCCTCAACGCCCTTTTAGTGTAAGACGGTAACGGGTCCTAAGCCCGTTACATCTTCGTTCTTCGTCCTTCTATATACACCGGGCTTCATTCGTGAGAAGTGTCGAGGGCCTCCAATAGGAGAACCAGGTCTACCGATAAGGGACCCAGGTCTACCGAAGAGGGGCCCAGGTCTACCGAAGAGGGGCCCAGGTCTACCGAAGAGGGGCCCAGGTCTACCGACGAGGGGCCCAGGTCTACCGAAGAGGGATCGGGTCTACCGAAGAGGGACCAGGTTTACCGAGAAGGGACCGGGGCCTACCGAAGAGGGACCGAGATCTACCGAAGAGAGGAAGAGGTCGGCCGACGAGGGATCAAGTCTTCTGACGAGGGTCCCAGATCTACTAATGAGAGACCCAGGTCTACCGATGAGGGATCCAGGTCTACTGAAGAGAGGCAGAGGTTGACCGACGAGGTACCGGGTCTTCAGACGCGGGACCCAGGTCTACAAATGAGGGGACCTCGGTCGACTCCTTTCAGTACCGTTTAGCCAGTCCCCTGATAATTATCTCCCCTTTATTGGTCCATCCCATTCTCAGCCAACGGTCGCTTCACTCCGAGGTCCCCTTTCACTCCGTTCCCTTCTTCCTGGTGAGCGATCACTTGTCCCTTCAATCCATATGAACCCTCGATTCTCCACATTTAGATAAGGACTTCACCACAGCCGCCCCTTGCACTTGCTCAACCGCACATCAGTTTGAGCACGCGCATGTCTTCACCACATTGATCTCGTAGATACTTCTTCTTCTTTGATATTCATGCCAGTCCGTCATTCTTCGATTCATTAGGCTTGATTCTTGAGTGACCGAAGTCATCCGACGAGAGACCGGTCTACCGATGATAGACCCAGGTCTACTAAAGAGGGACCCAGGTCTACCGATGAGGGGTCGAGGTCGACCGAAGAGGGGCTGAGGTCGTCTGACGAGGGACCAAGGTCTACCAATGAGGAACCATGGCCTACCATACAAGGAGATATTCTATTGGTTGAAAGTGCAACCTATCAGAAACTATGCTTTTCACTGGTTGTCCCGCGTCGTTTGTGGGCTCACTGTTCTGCTCCGCGGCGATGTGCACAACGAACTTCTAAGACACGAGCTCCACTTACGACACGCAGAAACTTATTTAGCCTCTTTGTGCGCAGTAGACAATGTTTAGCAAATTCAAGACTGAGTTATACTTAATAGAAATAAGTTAAAAATATATCTAACTACTGATTGGTTAAACGTAAAGATCAAATACGCGTCTCTTTAGATACGTGCGAGATTAAAATATATTTAAGCTCGCTGATGACGTCCGTCTAAAGCGTCACCATGAGACCTAGTCCCAACTGGGCGTCATCCCCGTTGAATGTGAAGCCATTTATGGAAATCACATTCACGAGGGTGGGTCACATTGCTGTGCCTCACCCAACCTTAGGTACCATGTACCTCCTCGTTAAGTAACATATACTTGACGGACTCATGTAACAATTAGCCCGTTACAATCCTGATTAAGCTGCGCACTTGATTGAGACTGTCAAGAAGTGACTTCATCATACCTGCATGCAGCTGTTGCTGCTGTTTACAAAATCGATTAGATTTGTCGACGGACGAACCAAGAACAGCAGTCACGTCGTTGTGTGTTTTTGTCTTCGAGGTCGCTCCATTATCTCCTCGTGGATTTGATTCAGAAAGCTATGGCTGTTCAAGTATCCTGACAAAGCAATAGTAAGCTTTCACTATGGTGTTGTGTCCGTGTTGCAATCGAGGCTGGAAATGGAGCGATCACGAAGGTAGAAACACACAACGACGCGACTGATATTCAGTTCGTCCGTCGACGAGTTCAATCGGTCTGGTGAAGTACGCAAAGTTTCGAAGCATAATGGATTGGCATTAACCTGTAGATGCTTCAAGTCAACGCGACAGTAGGAGCTAGCAACGATTTACATATCTGAGTAAGTAGGATGGTCTACGTGGTAGTAATTCTGGCGAGGTAGCAGCTGCAACAACTGATTGGAAGGTTGCTGATTATATCGGTGGTTGGTGAGCTCGCCCAACTGACATTCGTTCCAGGAGCTGTCCCCGACTACAATTTAACGTAGTAAGTGGACCTTGCACCCGGTACCAGCGGCAAAAAATGTTGCAGTATTGACATCGCCATTGCAGTAGCTTGTCTTCATTGACTGAAGTGATAATTTTGATAAACGCACAGAAGTTTGGAACCAAATGCTTGTAGATATTTCTCGAATGCACTGCATTGCGTGATACTTCGAGCCTCTTAGCAACTACAATAAAAGCCACGATATAGACATGAGGAGATATTGCAAATATATTGAGTCTTGAAGCGCACAGCCAGCGTTATCGTAATGTACAACACACTTGTGGAGGCCGCAGGTAGAACATCTAGAGAGAGAATCGCAACGAGAATAAGTGTACTGCTACCACTAGCGTCGTTGGCAGGGCACTCTACTCCGCAGTCTTCGATTTCTTTTTCTGCTTCTTCTTCTTCTTCTTATCGGCAGCTGCGGCAGGAGCCTCAACAGGCGCAGGCGCCTCTTCCTTAATCTTTTGGTGCTTCTTGTCCTTCTTGGCTTTTTTGGACTTCTTAGCGGGGGGCTCCTCCTTAGCCTCAATCTCAGCTTCCTCGTCCGCAGCAGGGCGCTTCTTGGACTTCTTATCCTTTTTAGACTTCTTGTTTCCCTTCGCAGCCTCCTGCTTGAGCTCCTCTGAAACCTCCAGCATCACGTCAGCATTCTTACGCGGAGCAGCACCGCTCTCGTAGAAAGCAAGACGCTCCTCAACCTGTTCACGCATCTTGTCACCGTACTTAGTCGTGGGTTCATCAATGAAAGAGTCGATACGTGAGGCAATAGCGCATTTGTTAGCAAGGTAACGCGAGATGCGACCCTTGTTCTTGGCAGCGGCACGGCCAATAAAAGTCGAGTGGAACAGCAATCCGTACTTGGGGGTGTTGCCACGGGTCTTCAATGCGCGAAACAGAGCCTTCTCAGCGCCAAGTATCTGCACGGTCGAGGCGGGGCACTTGGCCAAGTTTGTTAGCGAGCCGGCGTGTGAGATAAGGCGAGCGCCTACTGACTCGCCGATGAGCGAGGCAAGGTTGGGAGCCACCGTCGACATTTTGGATACCAAATAATCGTGCAGCTGGCGACGGTACTCCGCCAGCTTTACAAGACGCGTAGTGAAGTTGTCGACATTGATCATGTCAATCTCCGACATGTCCATGCCCATGGAGGAGCGGGAAGCGTGCAAGATCTGCTGGGCCTTGTCTTCATCAAGAACAATCTTCGACAGCTCTTCAAGCGAATCCTCGCTTAGTGTGTTGCGGTTCTTAATGAACGAAGCGCAACGCGCGTACACGTAATTGTCGTTGACAATCTTGACAAGCTCAGGGAAGTGCCACGAGTACCATTCACGCACGCGCATGGCAAACGTGTTGATATCTTTGTCCATTTGGTCCAGCAGAGCAATAGCCTGAATGATCATGTTGTCAGCGCGGTTCACGTTAAATTTCACCTTCGCACGTGAGTACGAGTGGCCAAGACCGAGCTGGGCCTTGGCCAGGTTTCCCTGAGCCAGCTCCTTGACGAACGTGCTAAAGTGCATGCGCACACCACGCACAATCTCGAGCGTCGTCTCACTCGTGTTACACGGCGCATGAAGCTCGTCTGAAATGGCTTGAGCTAATCCTTTGTCCTGCACGCCAAGTGCAAACTTGCCCTTTTTACCAGCTTTGACCTTTGGCAAATTCATCTCCAAAAAGTTTTTGAGATCGTCGCTTAGTAAACCTTCCGAGATGTTGTTAATGTTTTCAAGGGCATTCTCAGCCGACGTAAAGGGCTGGAAAGCCTTAAGCTTTACGATGCGTCCAAACGAAGACACGTCTGCGACTGCAGCTTGGACTTCGGCTACAAGACTGCCAATCTCCTCATTTTCTACCACCTCAAAGATCGCATAGCCAGAGGCTGACTCGAACAGCACGAAGTTGTTGGCACCCTAAAATGAAAGCATAAAAAGCCAATAGTTAGTGTTTCTTGTTCGTAGAGATCTCAGCTAACTAGTCTTGCGAATCCCACGTCTGCTGTAAGAGATATGTTCGTTCAGCTGGGCAAGTCACACTCCCTTACTCACCATGTTCGCCTTGAGTGCTGATGTTTTCTAACTGCGTCTATTTTGGTTGGTGGTGCTGGGCTGTCAGTGGTTGCTAGCCAGCCAGGCCAACCTTACATATTATTGGCTCATAGATACAGTATACAATGAGTATAATTGGATAAGAATCGAGAGGCTGCATATCACATTTTTAACCAATTGATGGTATGTTATCCTTGAATTAATGCCCGTGTGTCTCTTCATACTGTTTATAAGTGTGATCCTCATACTAAGTAGAGGCGTCTTCCAAATCCGACAAAAAGCTCTTACCCCAAAAACTAGCAGTATGAGTCTTCACATAGCGATGGAGATTCGTTTGACGATATTCCCGCTCCATAAGTGGTAATTCCAATGCATATTCTAGCGCATTTGCCGTCTCGGTGGTATTCCAGGGATTTACCCGGATAGCACCTGATAACGACTGAGCACTGCCAGCAAATTCGCTTAAAATGAGAACACCTGGTCCTACACGATGCGGTTCACACGATTGACTCTGACACATCACATATTCATAACTCACAAGATTCATACCGTCACGGATGGACGTCACGAGACAGACGTCGGCTAAATGATAGAGTGCGACCAATTCACTGGGAGTCACGGAGCGATGTATATAGTGCACAGGAGAATGTGTTAGAGTGCCAAATCTTCCATTGATGCGGCCTACCATCTCATTCACGCTCGCTGCTAAATGCTGATACTCTTGCACGCCAGTGCGAGACGGGACACCAATTTGGATAAGCACTACATCCTTGCATCGCTCCGGGTACAGAGAAAGAAAACGTTCCATCGCCAGTAATTTGTGTGGAATTCCCTTGATGTAATCCATGCGATCAACTCCAATAATAATTTTACACCCAGCAAACTTTGCAGTGAGTTCCTGAATGCGCTTCTGCGTAGCGTCCGAGTCTAAAATCTCTTCAAAGTGTTCTGGGTCGATACCAATTGGAAATACACCTATTGCTGAAAAGTGATTGCCAAGCTCAACACCTTTTGGAGACGTGGAAGCACCTGGCACACGTCCGCAGGCTTCGATAAAATGGCGAGCGTAATCATATGTGTGAAAACCCAACAAGTCTGCTCCAAGAAGGCCTTCCAAAATTTCTCGACCCACAGGCAGCATTCGATACATCTCAGCAGTGGGAAACGGCGTGTGAAGAAACCAGCCTATTTTACAGTGCGGATGTCGCGATCGTAGTAAGGAAGGTAGCATCATCAAATGATAATCGTGTACCCACACGCAATCTCCTTCGTGATACACTTGGTTTACGGCTTGCGCAAACCGTTTGTTAGCCAGCTTGTACGCGTCCCATTGTCGAAAGTCGAACTTCTTTTCAGTTCCTGGTCGAAAAAGTGGCAACGGAACGTAGTGGAAGATCGGCCATAGAATATCGTTGCTAAAACCATTGTAGTACCGTGCAGCAATTTCTTTGGACAAGAACACGGGCACACAGTTGAACTCTCTCGCCAATTTTTCTCGAACTTTGCCCTGTTCATCATGGGGTATCTCTTCTCCAAGCCATCCGATCCAAATAAACGGTACTTGGTCTCGAATACCGTTCAACGCCGTCACTAGTCCCCCTGAACTCATTGAAAAGTTCCATTCCCCGGTCACTTCGTTGCGTTGAATGGAAATCGGTAATCGATTCGAAACCATAATCAATCGGTGTCTAGCATCCATCATAGGCGGCACAATCTCCTCTTGTGGTTTGTCCGTTTGAATCTGTACCATGGACAATTGGCGCTGCAGCTCCTGAATATTCACTAGCAGCTCTTGTTCGCGAGCATTCATCTCCATCATCTCCTCCTCATCCACGACAAGATTACCATGCAACGGCATCGAGAAAGAAGGAGATCTCCGCGCCGTATGGTAGTCAGTTGTCGCTCTTCTTTCTATACGAACGTTACGAAGCTGCGAGTGTGACAAAATGTCCTCCTCATCGTCATCAAACAAGACACTGTCCTCTTGGACGTCTCTTGTGTCTTGCAAACTCACAGAAGCATCCTCGTCGCATTTTTCATCTTCTTCCTGTCCGATATCATATGCTTGGGCGTCATTAGCATCGGTACTGGCACGTCTCGACTCATGTGGATCTGGCAAAGACGGTAGTAAACGAGATAGCTCCATATCACCGGTATTGGCGCTCTTCAAGTATTCTTCATCCACTAAAATGTCTTCCAGGTCACTCATGACCATCAACTGATTTATTTACGGCGAGTTGGATAATCTTTGTTGCGTGCGATGCGATGACACCGTTTAACGTGAGCGAATCTGCGACGAGGTGTTAACCCAAGTGATTGATAGAATTGTCTTGGCGTGTTCCACACCATTTTATATAAACTCGCGTGCACCACGCTAAGTTTATTCGTAGTCTTTACTTCGAGAGCAACAGGTTGTGAGTAGTGATGGAGACATTGGCGTCAGGTCAATGGACATCGATATGGTCAGATCTCCTCTGTCATGAGCTGTCGTGTTTCTTCTTTCACATATGGATTGATGAGGAAGAACGAGGAGGAAACACGAGCAACGAGAGGCTCATATTTTAATTGTTCACAAGAACAACTCAAGTCAAGAACGTTTAAGCTTTGATACCGATGATGAATCATGTGACGTGGTCTGTGGTTGTCCTGTTTTTATTTACTACGTCAATTGCTCAAGTTGTACACCCGACAAGTCGTGTAGCTCCAGTTACAGAAGCGTCGGAACAACTAGCAATAGCATCGTGTGGTCCACGCATTCGAAAGTCATGGGAACAGCTGCTACCACAGGAAAAGGATGTTTACTTGCGTGCAATTGCAAGATCCATGGATGACGGATATTATATTAAGTTTATAGAGATTCATACGGAACAAATGACAACGGCTGAAGCGCACAACACGTGCATGTTCGTCTACTGGCACCGTTTGTTGCTTTTAGGTTTTGAAAATATGTTACGGAGCTATGGTGGAGAGTTTTCTTGTATTACTGTACCATACTGGAACTATGTTGACGACAATCAGCGCTACATGATGGGTGGATGTCGCAGCATGGAAGAGTGCTCGTTGCTCTTGCGCGACTTTGGTGGATCCTTGAATGGAGTTACTCGCTCTGTCACGGTCAACGGATCCCCCGTCAGCGGAACCTGCGTCACGACATCGCCTTTAGATCATTTTTGTGAGGCCACACACCTTAGTGCAGAAAACTGTGCACGCTGTGTACCTCGGGGCAGCTGGTTAAACTCCCCCTTTCCGCCGACGACAACTGTGAGCTCACTTGTTCGTCAGCTATTCGCGACTCCGACTATTGCTGGCGTCGTGACCAACCTCGAGCTGGGTATCCATAGTAAGTAAATGGGATTCAACAGGATAGTGTTGCGTAGGTCTTGGCTAACTTTTGTGCCCTTAATGTCTGCAGATACTATCCATAGCACGCTTTCAGGGGTTATGGGCGTCTTGGAAGCGCCATCTGACCCGATTTTCTTTTCGCACCATGCCACGATTGATCTGCTGCATTCTATCTACTACAAGTGTGTTGTGGGTAATACCGTGCCAATTCCGTTGGAGCAGAAGTTAAGAGATCCTCGCGTGTACACAGAATGCCCGCGACGTCAGCCACTTCCAGTGGACTCGGTGGATCAAAACATCCTTTACCCGGGATCTACCGTCTTGCTACGCACGGGTGAAGAAGGAGTGAACCCCTTGTCAGTGTTTTCGCGGTTTAACACCCTGGCTCCGTTCTTCACAGCTCTACCTTCAGAGTATTTGAGTTTCTCGGACATTCGCGACCTTGGTGTCTTTAGCTACAACTATGAGATGACAGGGTTGCTGGCCGAAATGTTTACGACATGCCCTGGTGCTGGGATGGATCCCAACGCGGGTAGTTTGTCAGTCCGCCATCTTGTAAGCTCCGTAAACGCCACGGAAGGTAAGTCGGCGTTTGTGGAAGCAGTGATCGTCCCTAACAATAGGACGGTGGATGCTTGGTACAGCGAGGCGCTGGCAGCAGCATCGAACAGTTCGTCGATTGAGACCGTGATGGTAGATGCTACACAAAACGCACTCGAGGCGATCAAAGATGTGGAGAAGATGACCTGCGTGTTCTATGACGAGTGCCGTGACGGAGTGTATGATTTCAGTGATGGTTTTCGTCGAAGCTTTCAAGCAAGTGGGTCGTCGCCGTGCACCACCATTCTCGCCAACATTAAAAGTGGTCTTGACCATATTCGAACGCCTAACTGGCGGTCTATCTTTTTGCGTCACATGAAGTGTGATCGTACATGAGGATTGAGAAAGCTACCGTGTGATCGTACATGAGGATTGAGAAAGCTACCGTGTTGTTCGCGTTGTACTTTGCTAGTGTAAGAAAAATTATAAATGTAATACAAGAGCTGATCTTTACTCACACCTGATAAATTGATTTGACGATGACACATTTACAGCTCTTGAATGACCTCTTTAATGAAACTAACAAAACTCAAGTCAATCTCTTCCTCTTCGCTATGGTTCTTGGTAGTAGTAGCAAGCCGCTTAACTGTTCCTTCCAAGGCACCAGTGTCCACACCAAACGACATTTGTACACAAAACATGCATTGAATCTCGGGCTGTGTGGCGAATGGGAATCAAACATAGGCATCATTAGATTGAACTCAGCATTCTTGACAATAAACAGAGTTGAGCGTACCATTTCGGCAAAGAAAAAGAACTTGACCAGCCTGTCCACACTGCCGCTCGCCAAACAGCTCATACAGTTCTTGCGGAAGAGTTCAATAACTTCGTCCACCTCAGGCAATTCGTTCAGCGTGTACGATAGTTGCGCGCTGTGAATAGCAGACCAATGCATGATCAGCCGTAAGTCGCAGTACACATTAATTGAACATCTAACTAATAAAACTTACATTTCTGTTGCCGTTGCCCAAACCTGTTCAAATTTGCCTGCGTCAATTACAGGACTCTCGCACAAGTAATCGCGGGCTGACATTGCTTCCTCGTCAGCATCCTCAACTTCATTTCTAGCATCATGAGATGTTGCGTATGATGTCGTTCGAGACGCGCGTTTTGATGCCGCGTACGAAGCTGGGTTCGCCATGGTAGATTCAGATTCTCTTCCATTATGTTGTAATTGCTTCACATGATTTTGCCTTGATTCACGCATGTGATCACGATAATGCACCTGTTGCGGCGGCAGGGGTGTCCTTCCTACACGCACTTGCGCCTGCTCAGCAAACTGGTAAAGCGCGAATTTGAGGATTTTCATGAAAACTACATGGCCGTTTCTGTAGAGAAGCGAGTTGACAATCCACTTCAATGTTACTGACATGTCGGCCAAACCCGGCATGACGGAGATGTCTACCAAAAAGAGCGTTCCTTCGCAAACCTGTTTTACACAGATTTGTTAGAATCGCTGTTGTAAATCTGCACGACTGAGACTTTAACCCGGGCAATATAATACCTGTTCTGCGACAAAAAGCCATTGTTGCTGGCCACCAACCTTCTCGCTAGATACGCATATCATTCGATACGACTGCAGAAACACCTGCAAGTCGTGCGGATCCAGCTCATGAGCATCGATTGAGCCGAGGTCCATCGACCACTCCTCTCTGCATACACATACGTAAATTAGTTACATGACATGCAGTTGCGTCATACACTGATAACGTACGATTCGTCATTCGCCGATTCCCACAAATCATCAAATGTACTGCCATCCACTGATGGATACTCGAGCAAGAACGTGTCAGCAGAAACGGGAGGGCGTTGGGGCGCAACGCCAGAGACGGGTTGGCCAGAAGATTGATCTGTTGAACTACCTCTAGAGGAAGCGTCGTCTACAAAATCAGAGCCAGCAATAAATCCGAACGCAGACTCGTTGGATTTGTCCGCTTCTGGTGCTGATTGTCCAATAAAATTAGAGCCCAAGCTCTTCTCACTGTTCAGAATGGGCTGCTTTGTTCCGCTGTCAGCCACTAAGCTGATGGAGGGCGTGTATCCGTCGCTCGTTGCTCCCAAATGAGACTCTTCGTCACACTCATTGCTTGATATACGATGGGGTGCCTGGTAGCGAGGATCGATGTGAGTGATAGTCTCCCTGTAATGCAATCCCGACTCGCTGATCGTTCCCACCGATTCTGTACGGCCAGAGTACTGAATGCCATGATTAGCCAAGAACAATTTCTTTCCTTCATCACTGATTGACCGTTCCCTTCCTTCTCGGTTGTTTACTGTGGCAGGGCAAGCAGAGCCAACATCCTCTTCAGTACAGTCTACGTCGTTAAACTGTGGGTTGTCGGGATCCAGCCGGACAGCGGCGATTGCTTGTAAAAGCTTCCGAGCATCCGCACGATACATGTTGTCGTTCCGCTGCTGAGAAATATGGGTAAAAACATCGAGGTTCTTCTCCAGTTCTTTGACACATAAGTTCTGCTTCAAAAGAGCCATAGTAGCGACAAATGCGTTGCGGTGAACCTGCACTCATGAACAGTCATCCACCATGCGCAACCCTACTCCAAATCCAGTAGTGCGTAACGTACATGGGTAGCATAAAACTCGAATTTGGCTTGAAGTCTCTCCACCAGTGTGTCTGCCATTCCCTATACGCCACAATCAAGACCGATACATATAATGTGGGTCACTGCCATAAGAGGTCACGACAGTGAGAGGCAAACAGTCCTCCACTCAATGTGTATCGCACCTGTCTGTCGTTCTCACCAAGCTCTAACACTCCCGTAACAAACGTCGCCACCTTTTCATCCTTGAGTGTGCCATAACAAACCGCATTCACGAGTTTGGTCACTGCCGACGAAGCTTTTGGTTTGTTCGAACTCCTCTTCGGGACTACTGATTTAATATTAATGCGTGGAACGCGTAGTTTGCGTCCCCATGATTTCTTTACAGGAGCACTGTTGCCGTCTGAGCCAGCGCCCTTGAGAATGTATACACGAACACTCTGTCCAAACCTGATAACGTCTCCATCTAGCAGCAGCAACACCAAATAATCAGCATCATTCTCTACGATATCCTAGACATAGCTTTATCTACCGTGTAAAAGATAGGGATCGTGCGGTGGAATCTTCTTGCGACCTACATACGTTCCATGCCGTGACATGAGATCCACCATCTACAGACGCAACAGTAGCACAACAACAACACTCTCAGCTATTGAAATGCACTGCCTCGTCTTCATCACCAGCAGCAGCAGCTCAAACGCACATAAATACCGCCTTCATTATCGTGAATAACAGCCGCGTGCTTTCTCGAGATCGATGGATTGCCCAGCACGTGATCACAGCTTTCCTGATCGCGACCAAAGAGATTCACACGCTGTGTTGCCACCATGTACGTAGCACAATGACGGTTTTCACGAAAAGCGTCGAGTCTGGCATGCGAATTGATCTCTACGGGCATACACGCCCTACAATATACCAATGACACACAAATAATGAACATGAAGAGAAGCCACACATACACGCAACAAGCAGTAGCAAGAAAGGTAGATCGTACCAAATGGGAGGGTGGAAAGCGGCCGTACCGCTACACAAAAAAGCAGCGCGTCCTGGGGTGTCCATGACGCAGCTTTTGCTCACCGAATCGCTTGGCGACTGACTGATCCCGTGACTCTAAAAGAGGGAAAGTCGCACTCTTATAAAATTTGACGTATCATTCATTGGTAGAAAGACAAGTACAAAGAGAGACTCGTTTGAGTGCTAAAGTGGACGATTGAGGAATTATCTTGCGAGATAAAGTGTTCCAAGGTGTGAAACAACCACAAAGTATCGATTGATTTGAGTTTACACCGACTCGAGTTTCATTTCAACCGGGGCTGTCGCTCCAGTGTAGGGACCACGACGCATACTCATTTGCAACCTTTCGAGCAAAGATGGGTCTGCAACATGACAACAACAATCCCACGAAAGTGTAAACACTGTTTGTTAGTCCATCTATAGAGAGCCTGAAGGTGGAAAGTTTGTTACCCAATTGCGACTGAAACGGTGAGGCAAGGACGGCGTCCAGCACAGCAAATTTCCACTCGCGCGTCTCCTTGGTTGGCTCAGTCGTACGATCTAAGAGGAACTCAAAGAAACCGCCATACGAAAGCAGCACACGTATGCCCCATGAACTGTTCTGCGCTGCCGCCGAGCGTAGCACGTGGAAAACAGATGTCCGCAACTCCTCAAATGGCTGCTTCAATGTCTTCATCAGAAATATCATCGTCGACTCCTGTGCGCACTCCGCGCCAAGACTGTTAAACAAGCGCTCACACATGCTCCAAACACCTGCATTCTCCTCCGGTACTTGATCGACCTGTTTTGTAAGTCGCGTGTGTGCTCCGAGGACGCGTCCGATTGAGTGGAAACAGTTGGCTTTTACAGGCATCTTAGTACTACTGCCGAACTGTAGCCACATTTGACAAATACTTCGGTGTTGGAGCAGAAAGTCGAGTTCTTGTCATTTCACACATGCATACAGTAACGCTTAAGTCAAAGAGGATAGTGAAGGAACGAGTGACACAGGCATAGCTTGCCCACCTTTGTCTGACGAGGATCCAAACGCAGCCAACGCGTCCATCGCTGCAATCTGCTGAAGCGAATCCGTGCTTTGCATTTTGCTTTTTACGGTCTCCAAAAAAGCCTTTGAGAGTGTAGCATCACTCCAATTCCACGTCTCGATGTTCATCCTAGCTGCTGTAGCCGATATTTCGCCTAGAAGTCGAATTGCGTTATCTCCAACAAACGGGTCTTATATAACGGTTTGAGTTAGTTCACAGCGTATACGAACAACAGGATGAAGGGCGTTCTACCTTCCGTCATGGTCAACAAAGTCTTCAACGTTCCTAAAAAGTATGCCGCAAAGAGCTGGTAAGTTCCAAGCAACTCTACAGCTCATGGGAGCATCGCGTGCGATTAAGCGCAAATGAACGGACCTGACTGGAAAACATACTGAACACCAATCTTGGTCTGGCAAATTGCCGGCACTAAGTCGACAACGTTCATCAAGAAGAGCGGGTCGTCTGATTGTAAACAGTTTAGAATCTGTTCACAGCACAAGACGAGTGAGTCAAAGCGCATGATAAAAACTGTTTGCGAACTTACCAGATCGATGGCACCCGAGGAAATTCCATACTCCATGTGTTCATCCTTTTGTGCGCAGATTTTTATGATTGTCTCCAGAAACCGCATGAATTCGATCGAGTTCTCAGTAATCTCACTGATCATTAGACAGCTATCAGTTTATAGTGCTATAAGAAACAAGTGACGTAGACAGTATAAGTCACACCTGCTTTGCGCTTTGCTCTTGAGTGAATTTAGTACTGCTCGGTAGATTCCACTGTCACCAATGCTTGAGAGCTGCAAGAAACAGGCAGACTATTAGCAACGACACATCGAGCAGATACACAGCATGTCGCACCATTTCCAGGACTGTCGAGGCCTTGGCAGCAACCTCAATATCTTCATCTGCAACAACACTGCAAAGTTGCTCTAGAACCAGCGGGTCTGCCTATATCATACATTGATAGCAGTAACAAAGAAAGAGTCACTCCCAGTCAAGCAACTGTCTCGATATAATAAACATATCTTTCTTCAGTTCGTACCACAACTTTAACCTGATCTAGCGATGGTTTTCTGCCAAGGTGTGCAATAAACTGATTCGTCACGAGCGCTCTTGTCTCCTTCTCCACATGAGTCAGACCTGCTAGTATAAAAGGCACAATCTATCGGGCAACAACGAACAATCGAGGAATCACATCATTGCACATCAATTGCGATTCCAATGCATCCTTACGTCTGGCTGGAAAAAAAGACTTTTGCCGTCATCTTCAGAGCCCATTACACGGTTGATGCAATTGCACGCCTTCTTCACCTGTTGTAAAACGATACATTCGCTAATTAATGACAAGTTTCGCAACCTCCGAAGGAATGCAAGTGCCGACCTGCTTGTCAGATCCATGGTCGCTAGCATCCTGCAGACACGCGAAAAGCGTCGCGACTGGAACCTTCGTCAGAAACTCATGCACTAGTGCGTTTTCTTTCTCGTTTGCATAGATATGAGCCGAGGTGGCGATGCCCGTCTCCTGAAAACGCGTCAATTCTTGCCATGCCGCGGTGAGGTCCATCGTTATTTCTACCAAGGAAGTAGAATTGGTTTAAATCTGCTATAATGCCGTTTTTAAGGTTTTGAATTCGTGAATTGGGCACTTGATTGACAATAATAATATAAAAAAAGACCCAATTAAATTCCTTGAGATACAATTTATTTATTTTTGAAATGAAAATTACGCACAATAATTGTTGTAGCATTTCATTCAGTGTTATGTCATCGCACAGCTCGTGTCGGTGACTCAAATACTTGAATGTAGTGGATATCCCCGCACGTAAAAGGGCACTCAAAGCTTACCATATTCTTTTGCAATAAACAAATTGTCCTGTTAGACTTACTAAAAGTGTAAATTAAAGTGATGCATTGAGGCTTATTCAGCTACGGCTTCGCTCGTAACGATATTGGCTTTATTTTGTATAGCAACTAATTTACACTCACTATAACAATTTTGCTTCGACAATAAATGCATTCATTGAACTTTGAGCAGCAAAGGCAATAATAAGTATCATCACCTTACAAGTCGATTTTACGCAGCTAAAAGACTCCTTCGTATCGTCATCAGCCCATGAGGTTCACTTCAAGTTAGTGTGGCGTACGTAACTTCAACTTACGATGATCATCACTCCTGAAAAAAGTACATCACTGCAGACGCCATTAGTGATCCAAGTTTCGCACGCTAGACGAGTCGCGTTGCTCATCCTGGACATCGCGCTTCTCAGTTCGTTCACGTGTTTATATAGTACTTCGTACAGACTAAAAACATGTCCAGCTTTATTCGTCGCTCTTGTCACTCGTTCTCACCTGCTTTCATCGTGATGCAAGCGGCGGAAGCAGTAAACTCGAGAAAAGACGGCACGCAGACAGAGAGATCGTGTGAGTTCGAGTGAGGCGCGTCCTTTCTCGACTATCAAATAAGGTTGTCAGTAAAGAGGCGAGTTTGTAAAGCCTGCGGTCTCACTTTGATTTTTCTACTTGATAAGAGACAGACGGACCCAGCGATTGCGTTCCACCCCCACGACTGTCATTGCGCACAATGGAGCAAACAAACGAGAAATACGGCGCAAACGTCTCACCAGCATTACGTTGTATCAAACGTGAGACGATATTTGACGAGGTGGAGGCCCGCATTGGATCATTTCAGACCAGGACAGGAATGTCTCCAAGCGACCACAACAACTTTTTTCCATGGGTCCCAATTGGTCAGCCTGTCGTTCCAGAAGCTGCGGTTCCTCCTTTCAACGAACGACGGTACAAATTTGCTCGTCACAAGAATGCAGCGACAAATATTTGGTATCATTGATTCCCGTGCGATCGTGCTTTGTTTTTTTGCTTTGAAGTCTCGATCCGCTCGAGTGGATAGAGCTACTTGATCAGACTGAGTGTTTAGATTACGTGAGCCCTGACGTTGAAGCGTGCATCGAAATGCAGAGCCGGATGGAAGGAAATCAAGAGCTCGATCTAACAGGCACGGAGTTTATCAGCAGTCCAGCAATACCAAAGCTACCATCGCTGAACACCCTTCCTGTGAAGCACCCGACCATTTTACAGCCAATCGCGCAACCTCAACGTACACACATTACAGTTCGCAACGGCATGTACTAGTCTTGTTTAACGTCCCTTGTTTTGCCTTGTTGGATCGATGTAGGAAAAATGCCGCGGCGTCCTGGTCTACGTGAGAAGTTCCCTCGCCAACAACCTTTGACGGAGTACAGCCGTCGCAATTACATTTTTACTGCTGAACGAATGGTTGAAAACAAGAGGCCAGGGAGACGGAAAAGCTCAGTCGCCAGAAGAAACTCGGAACGGCCACCACCTCGGTCTGCCAGCCGATCTCTTAAGTTTGAAGCATCGCAGCGTGCCAAACCTACATCTCGGCACAAGCGCGTTTCATGGAGCGGACATTCACCAAATGCCACAACTGACGGTCCAACCCAACGACAGTGCAAGTCGGCCAGAAAATCGAAGGACTGCATGATTCCCGGCTGCACGAAAGGTGCTCGCTCAAGAGGACTGTGTAAGCGCCATGGCGGTGGAAAGAGGTGCACTCATTCAGGGTGCGCCCGCAGCGACCAAGGCGGAGGATTTTGTATCGCTCACGGTGGAGGTGGGTTATGTTTGCTAGCTCTGAGGCGTGATCAGTCTCACCAAATGCTGCTTATGTTGCGCGTTTGAGGTAGGCAAGCGATGTGCGAGTGAAGGATGCCAGAATTCCGCTCAGTCGCGCGGGCTTTGCAAAAGTCACGGAGGTACGTCGTGTGTGCCAGTCATGACTGAGGGTGGCACATACCTCCGATAGTGATTTCTGGTTGTTGTAGGTGGCAAGAGATGCCGTGCAGAAGGATGTGCCAAGAGCAGTCAAGGAGGAGGATTCTGCCGTGGCCACGGAGCTGGCAGAGCGTCAAATTTCAAGGCAGAAATTGTCTTCCTCTAGACACATGAGAACGTATATTATTGGTACACATACGATGATGCCTTCGATGTTATGAGTGTATTGCTGTAAGTGTAGTCACTCAGTTTGAATGAAACAAGTTGAAGTGAGCAGTCGAGGTTTTCGAATAAGTGTAATTGGTCAAAACATCTGAAAAGCATTCATCTGATTGGCACACATTATATGATGCCCATCCCCCTCTTTGCCGCCAAACTTCCCCACTCCCGCCAAAACCAAACACTTCTGACCTCGCCTTGTTGCACCGAGTTCGCAAGACAACAGACGATGACGGACCTTCTAATCCACGTAAGTACGCCTGTATAGTAGCTAGACCGTCACAGAACGCTAACTTTCGTGTTGTTTGGCCACACTACTTTTCTCAGTGTGTCAATAATGTAGTGCTTGAAGTCACACGCGATGACGGAGAGATCACCCGCAGCACGCTTCAGAAGGATCTGGTGCTGCGCAAAGAAGTCGGCAACGCGCGCCTAGTGAGTGATGACGCGGTGTTGTGGGTAGGCAACGGTGTGCTGTCTCACAAGGACTCGACGCTGGACTCGGCGCCCACTCGCACCGTGCGCGTGGAGAACAATAAGCGACGCTTTGTGTTCACAGTGCCGCTGGACACGGCTGGCAGGCAGTTTTACGCAGAGCTAAAGGGCCAGGCTGACGGCAAAGCGGGTGTGGAGATTCGCAAGAAAAAGCGCAAGATCCGCAAACAGCTGAGCCAAGTGATGGGTTTCACGCCCGTTAACACCCTAAAAAGCCCGCTGAAGAGCCCCTCTCCGTTGCTTAAGAGCCCCACCAATAAGTCACCCATGACCATCAAGCGCAGTCCGCTGGCGGACATTCGGATGCCACAACAAACACCGCAATTGACACTTCCACCACCGTTGCCGGTGACTACGAAGGGGTCGACTTTGTCTTTGACTTCTCCGTTGCGGTCGCCATTCCGCTCGCCATTTCGTAAGAAAGCGCGTCATTCACAAAGTCCATCACATGGTCTAGGGGATTCAAAGTCACCGTCATTGCGATCTCCAGCACGTGAATGGCTTAGCCCAACTCGGTCACAAAAAATGTTACGGAGTGGACCGACTCCGCCGGATTTAAAACGACACAGCAGCCATACGTCAGACCACCACCAGAGTACAGAGAAAGTAGAGGGATATGGTGGTAGTTCTGGTGAACAAAATCGCCGGAAAGTGGTAACAGGCGCGACAAACAAACGAGTTCGCTCACTCCAGTTGATCCTGGACGATGAGTCGACTATCGAGCAGCATGAAGCGGAAGCGAAAAAGAAAATTACCTCGCGCTTTTTCAAGATGAGCTCACCCCAAAGTTCTCATCATGACAGGACTGCTTCAGCATTGGACGTGTCAATGGAGTCCGTTGCTACAGTTGAGACGGATCATACTGATGGTACTAACGCAAGTACAGATGACTCACTGGCAGATGAACCCCTTAGGAGCACCCACGGATTGTTAAACTTAGGAAACTACTGCTACATGAATGCTGTTGTGCAGGCGCTAGCAGCTCTTCCAGAGTTTGTGAATGCTGTTCAAAATGAGGAAAATCTGCTGAAGATCATCCGGAGACAGCCTCAGCCGAGTGTTAAGGCCAAGACAATGGATCAACTTAAGACTATTGTTGAAGACTGGCGGAATAGCGGCGACACAAAACATCTTCCGCTGCAGTACGCCTTAGGCCAATTGCTGCAGCTTGTTATTAACGGCAACGAGACATCGATCAACCCTGAACCTCTTAAAAATGTGATGGGAAAGAAAAACTCTATTTTTGCAAGGTACGTGCTGCTTACCTACCATTATGACGCTATTCATACTCTGACCGTATTTTTTGGTTTTGCCATGACAATCAATGCAGCCACTTCCAGCAAGACGCTCACGAATTTTTGCTGAACCTCGTAACAGAGTATGAAAATGAGCTTGTGGGAATGGTTCATGAAGTGACGGAAAAGATTCAGGAGGAGGCCAAGTCATCCCCTCAAGTACAGAGAACCAGTCTTTTGGGCTTCTTTCGCAATGGAAGTAAAGTCCATGAAAACAAGGACGCGACGGAGAATAAATCGGCTGAAGCAGAAATGGAACTCATTTGTCGGCTGCCACCAGCGAAATGCTTTCGAGCGGAATTGAACCGTACATTGACCTGCCGACATTGTGGGTACAGCCGGAAGCAGGCGGAAACATTCTATGATTTCTCTCTTGATCTACCTTACTACCCTTTTCCAGATCAGGAACCCACGGCAGAGCAGGAGCCTCAAGCGCCAACATCGCCTGAACGACAGTGCTTCTGCAATCTGACTCCTTCGTCAGCGGGAACAGGTGATGACCGCTACTATTGCTGCTCCAAATCGTCCTGCAGTTATCGGGAAAAGTTTGTAGAGAATGAGGGATCCGCCAATTCTCCTACAAAAACCACGGACACAGTGATGAAATCGGTTTCATCGCCATTGACTCCTGCACCTGGCTGGCAAGCACGGCCAGCTCCGATTGAATTGGAGACGCTGCTTCGGAAGCAATTCGACACGGAGGTGCTGGAGTTAACTTGCGAGAAGTGCAAGAGCGGGAAGGAAGCGGAATCGGAGTACCGGGTCAAGTCGTTGCCGTCGATTCTCGTGTTGCACTTGAAGCGCTTCGAGGTAAATCCTCATACTGGTGCTTTGTTCAAGCGATGTGACCCCGTTATACCCCCTTCCGTAATTGATCCGACTCGTTCGATTAACAATTCTGTTTCGTCGGGGTATGAGTCACGATACGTGCTGAAAGTACGTACTACTTTGCGTGACCACAGCTTTTGTTCTATGTCTCAATGTGTGTTTGTGCATGGTGCAGAGTGTTATTCACCATCTTGGCAGTAGCATTGATGAGGGACACTACGTCGCTGACGTATGCGATGCCTACGGCCAGTGGATTCGCCGAAATGATACGCATGAGTCTAAGGTACACTTGTTTTCGACTTGAACGGCTTTTGATGGCATCTCACGATTTTCTGCGAACCATTACATGCTTTCCAGATTTCGGAAGATTATGCATTACAATCGTACCGAAGCCAGGAGTCGTGCTATATGTTCTTTTACGTCAAATCGGAGAGAAATCGTACAGATGATAGCAAGGAAAATGTACCTATGAATCGCGCATCACCTCAAGACGAAAACGACGGAAATTCGAGCCAGCAGCGACAAGGAACTTCCAGTAAAGACTTGAGAGCTTTTCTGTAGTCCTTTGAAACGGTTGGAACGCACCTACTTGTTTTGGTATACTAAATTATTTTTGTAGTTATGCTGTAGCACTTGTCATCTTGCTGTCACTATAGCGGTCCACCCTCTCATTTGTTTTTGTTATATATTTATTGTTTTGGATTATTGTCCACCTCACTTTGTCCTTGTGACAATGCCACTCTGTGCCGCTTGTTGCATCACCAAAGGTTTTAACAAGTGCGAGCAGGACCTCTTTTCGTTGGTTCATCGTGTTGCAGACATATCGACTGATTTTTCTTGACTATGAGCAGATTTCACGGCGGACAGCGTCACTTGTTGCGTCCAGTGTGCAAGGAATGCTTTCGCATTGGGAAGAAGCCTGTGGATCTCGGTGGCGAGCCCGAAGCATTGCCGTGAATAATGACAATGTGTTGAATACTTTGCTGTAATGAATAGCTGATTGAAAAGGTGGATACTCGATGTACAGGATTCGAACTCAAGGTGACAAGAAAACCGCGAGTTTAGCGGATTTTCAACTGCTTAGTGTCATTGGACAAGGTGCATTTGGAAAGGTGTTACTCGTGCGACACGCTACCACTGGAAAAGTGCATGCAATGAAGGCATGTAATGGATTTTCTGCAGCTTTATTCGACTGTTGTATCCGAAGAAGTTGGGGATCTTACACTGTACTGTCAACTTTGAACGCGATAGATTATCAGTAAACAGTTCGTCATTGATATGGACAGCGTCCACTACATGAAAACTGAACGCGATGTCATGACAAAGGTTGCGTTGCTTCTTACTTGTGATTGAGGTAGTCTGCGCAATTCCAACAACTTATACCACCCGCCACTTCATCATGATACGGACGCTTTTAACAGATTCGCCACCCTTTTGTGATCGGACTGCATTACGCTTTCCAAACGGAGTCAAAGGTAAGGTAGTATGAAAAATTGTTACGGGTTTCAATCTTTACTTTATTGTGCTGGCATTCATAGGTTTATCTCGTGATGGAGTATCAACCAGGAGGCGAACTATTTTCTTATCTGAAAGAGGAAGGCACGTTCACCGAGGTACGTCACGTGTACTATTTTGCAGTGGTTTTCGAATCCCTGTTGACCCTTTTGTTTCTTTGATAGGACGCCGCTCGCTTCTACCTAGCTGAAATGATTCTTGCGTTGGAGCATCTCCACGGACACGGCATCATTCACCGGTTTGGCTTTTTGTGTTGTATACTGTGGTATATGCTCAATCTAAGCAACGACATGTTGACCTCATCAGCGATCTGAAACCTGAGAACGTTCTCATCTCAGCCGAAGGGCACATAAAGCTGACCGACTTTGGTTTGGCGAAGGAGTACGTCGAAGGGCAGGACTTATTGACAGTGTGTGGGACAAAAGAATACATGGCACCGGAAATGCTACTTGGCAAGGGGTATGACTCGGTAAGATGCGTAAATGCAAACGAGCGAGCTATACCGATACTGACGTTGCTCGAATAGGCTGTGGACTGGTGGTCACTTGGTGCACTTGCGCACGAAATGCTGACCGGGAACCCGCCATTTCGATCGAAAAATACTGCAGCCCTGCACAAAAAAATTCTTTCAGCAAAGGTCAGACTCGTTCACTGTGGAATGGGAAGTGGCGACGGCTTACTTATTCTCTCATATTGCTACAGCTTCAATTGCCACGATGGCTATCAGGTGAAGCGCACTCGTTAATCAAGTCCTTGTTGGAACGCAATGTGAGCAAAAGACTTGGCGGAGGCAAGTCCTCCATGTTTGTGTTCAAGGGAGTACAGGCTTTGAAACGTCACCCATTTTTCAAGGTAATTGCTAAATGTGAGAGCCATTTCGAAGTAAAGTGATCATGTGGTGGAATGCTACAGACAGTAAACTGGAAGGAGATGGAAACTCTTCGCATCCCTCCTCCGAAAATACCAAGCGTTTCTGATGAAGCCGACACGAGCAATTTTGACACGAAGTTTACAGAAATGACAGCTTCAGACCTGATGTGCGAGGCGGTTATGGAGGGACACAGCAACTTGTTTCGGGGATTCTCATTTTGCCGGCAAGACAGCATCTCAAACCCGCAGTCACCGATCAATACATCATTGCTACCAACCATTGCAAGTCTAGTTCTCGATGGTGACGATATCCAGGACATCAATGACGCTATCGCTTCAGCAGCCAGCAAGCAGCCTGTTGTTTGGATCTGAATGATAGGATTACTGCTCTTTTTTCTCCTCCAGCTTCATAGCAAGCGTGTCGATGGAGTCAAACTGGCGAGTCCAACGCGAGTTGTAGAGGAAGGGGCGCAAGTCGAATCTGTTGTCATCAGGCGAGTAATTCTCAGCATGGTAGGACGGAGTCAATGTAGTCATCTTATGGCGGTTGATAGAGTAATAAAAGAAGAACCGCTTGACCTTCGTTGCCACAACAGTGGGCCCCAAGTGACTCCACAAGTGCGTGAGCTTGCGGAACATCCAATAGGGACCACAGCGGTCAATTTTACGCAGCCGACCGAAAAATCCTAGCTCGTCATACGTCATGCCCATGTCCTCTTCATCAAGCTGAGAATGGTCAGCGTCTTCTTTTGCATTCTCGTCGGTGGGACGAAGCTCCGCCGTTGGAGGAGCTTCCTCCACAGTCTGTAGAGTGGGGTAATTGTATTCGACAGCTGCCCAACGCAGAAGTTTTTTCAGGTCGCCCTTTGACACCGCGCCAATCGGGTTCAAGTCGCCACTGCTGCAATCGTACTTGGTCATGTATCCACGCAACGCTTCATCGACATTACCAGAACTGAGCACGAGCAAGAAGCCAGTTTTGGAGCGCACCCACGGCAAAAGCTGGGCAAGAAGGTAAGCCATCACCATACGAAGGCGCGCCTGGATATTCTGAAGCGCCAGGTCCTCCTGCATGGTGCCTCCTCGAGACAGATACTGAGGCGTCTTGCCTGTTAGAAGGGAAAAAGTTTTGACAACAGCATCCACCATGACATCCATACCCATGCTAAGATGGTAGCACCCGATCTCGCTTGCGAGCGTTGCAGCGCGCTTCTTGGTAGCAGCCGAGCTATTCGTTGAACCCATGTACGTGGTGTGGAGAATATGTGAAGCCAGATCGGCAGGCGTCAGGGGCTGATACTCTTGATCTGACGTGCCCATAATTCTCTGGACGTCTTTCCTAACTTGCTCGTCACCCTTGTTGGCGGCGTCAGCCACGAGGTGGCACATCACACCGACGATACATGCTACGGACGAGGAGTCCGCCCCACCCGAAAGAGGCAAGAAAAACCCGCTTCCTCCGCTTCGACGCAAGTAATCCCACATCCAGCATGCTGGACCTAGCGCAATCTCCTCTTCTGGCGCGTGATACTTCACTTCGATGACAGGAGTAGTAGGCTGAGTAAATGAATTTTCATCATGGCACAAACTAAAATCGACGTGGATTTTGGGAATCACAGAGTCCAGCGAGCTTGCTTGCTCACTACGACTGCTAACAGAGCCGCGATACGATCGAACATCATCAAGATCCACAGTAGCCGAAACGACCTCCACGTCCGTGACCGAGAACTGTGAACCCTGTGCAACCACTTGACCATTCACCACAATAACAGCACAGCCGTCATAGTACAGACGGCCACCATCACATCCCTGTTGGTTGGCGTACAGGTACACACCACCGCTCTTGGTGGTAGCTCCACGGATCAGGTCCATGCGCTGGTGAAGCTTGCGCAGCTGGTGGTGCGATCCAGAGCCATTGCCAATAATCTCCACACCCGCCAGACTGAGGTTAATGTGTGGACTATCGGGCGTAAAGAGCTCTTCACAGGCTTCGGACGCACACGACGTGTCAAGCGTAGACACGGCACCAAAGCCAAAAGGCACGTGCACGGCGCCTGTAAGTTTTTGAAGACTCGCAGGCAGCACGAATGTATCAAGACCACGTGACGTGCCTGTATCTAAATTGGGTTTCCATGTGGTAAACCATCGTGTCTCACGGTAGTTGCCGTCGTCTGCTAAGAAGAGCTTGGGACGGATCAATACAATGCGCTTGTTCAGACAGAAGACGCGGCAATTGTAGCGCACGCCATTGTGCATGACAGGCATTCCAATATCACACAAGATGTCGTTCGTTACATCCAAGCGAAGAATCGACTCGAGAGATTGCCAGCAGTGATAAAATGTGTCTTGTTCTAGAAAATGATCCTCACAGCCGTAGCCGCATACTTCGAGCTCTGGACCGACACGATAGCGTGCACCGCGTTCTTTAGCTATGCGGATGGACTTTATGATACGCTCCAGATTACCATCAAAGTCCAGCGCCCATTGATTCAGATTGCACGTGGCAACAGTCACTAGTGCGTTCATATTGCTGCGGTGCCTGGGGGAAGATGTACTTTTTCGAGCTCGATGGGTTAATTGTGACCGATGTAGACGACATAATTGATGGGCGAATACACACGTAAATGTGCACCACATGTATTTTGTAATCGACAAGTTGAAGTGGCGGCCATCACGACTTGTCAACTTCGAACGGGTTACTCATTGCCACGCGTCCTTTATGGCGGGTATTGCATACGCTTTCGACTTATACATTACCGCCCTATAATATCTTGATCTCGCCGTCTCTCTGACGGTGATGATGCTTGTGAATCCTTGCAGATTTGGTTCGAATTTCTATCCGAATGTTAGACGATAGGCAAATGTTAGACTATAGGTAATCTACGTCTAGGTAAACTTCCTAGGAAATAGGTTGAGCTGGCAATTATTGCAGTCTTTGTATCTCAGCCATCCAGTACCCACTTCTGCTAGCTGCAATGGAGTACGTGTAGCCTGTCGGCATCGTCAGTGGCTCGTTCGCGCCCGTCTGCCAATTTGACCGTCATCTTTTTCGGTTCGCCAGGCTCCACTAGCGGTATGTGGTGCAACTGCTAGAGATTGACTATACTATCCCGAAGGACAATGAAACGTTAAGATTTATGGACTATACAGTGTGCCTTACTTAATGGAACTGTGGCGAATGAAGAGCTGTGGTGAGTGAGCTGGTAGATACCTACCGTCACATACTTCTCGATGATGTAAATACCAGCCAAATGGGCCATCACCGTTTTTGCACACAGAGTGGCTTCTACACATTAGGTAACATCTTTGGATTGATATCACTGGTTAAAACTCATTTCTGGCCGTTCTACAATGCTTTGGATCATCTCTTTAAACACTCGCCAAACCCCAATCGAGCCACATAGCTCGATACAAGAGCAGCTTTCCACCTGGACGCTCGAGTCGAGCGACTCGGAGACGATTAGGAGCGCCAGAGACAGATAATGACAGTCTGTATATCTGATTCAAAGCAGAACTCATTGGCTTTTTCAAGTGTGGAAACCACGAGTAACGGCACCAACGTGTTTGGCCGTCGGCTGCTCGTTAGTGGTAGCGGTAGTGACGATGGTTTTATACAGCTGGAGAACGAATTCCGTGGTGCTGTGGCTATTTTTACGGTTGTGAATGCAGTATCCTTGCTAGGATTCGCCTTCATTCTCACCACGTACCTGCTGTTCCCGCCTGTGCGCAAGCAACACTCGTCACTGCTTGTCTGGGTGGCACTCATGGGCATGCTCTTTCATGGCACTGTGCTAGCCCAGACTCCTGCAACCTACGGTGCTTGCTGCAATACAGCCCCAATTATCCAGCTAGCGCTGCTCTCGCACGAGCTCTATTTCTCCGCACTTGCATTCAACTTTTACTTTACTACCAAGTACCCGTTCCGATCGTCCAGGTGGCTTAACCCGATCTATCACGTCGCAGTCTGGGCCATTAGTATTACTGTCGCAATCGTGGCTTGGCAAATAGGTACGGGACGAGTCAGCTCCTATGGTTTCTGCTGGTACGCGTCCGACTACGACGTCGCCATTGACGACGGCGAGTTTATCCTGTTGGAAATCTTCTTTATTCCGATTTGCGCAGGGTATTGTGTAAGTATTGGCTGGTACATCCTAGCTACTAAACGTGTGCGGCTCACGATGGGGGGAATTGCCAAAACCCGCACGAATCTGGATTCAATGCGCAGCTTCTTGTTCTGGAGTTTTTCTCTGTGGATGATCGTGACGATCCCGTACATCTTGCGGCATCGTCATGTGGTCACAGACAATTCTGCTGCAGAGAAAGCTCTGCGGTTCTTAGGACGTGTGTCAATCTCGTTTTTAGGCACTGGTAGTGCAATACTCTGGACGAAATCGATGAGTGTTTTCAAGACTTTCAAGCTGTGGCGTCAGCGGAACTGGGATGACTACTTTAAGGTGTATGATGCCTCGTGGGTACTGCGTCGTGAAATCTTATACTTCGCCACAAAGGGCATTCAGCTTGGTGCTAGCAGCGCTAAGGGTATTCCAGAGAACGATAGCATTAACCCAAACGTGGAGTCTATCTTTTCGTTTACGCAGCGCTCGGGTATTTTTCCATGGCAACTACGACTTGGAGCCGTTTCACAGGTGCCGGGCGTGCTCTCATTTGAGCTAGATGGCGCTTTGTCCGGTCAGAAAGCTATCTTTCGTGACTATGAGCCAGAAGTCTTTCATGAAATCCGACGAATGTCTGGAATTACCCGCGAGAGCTACATTCAATCATTCAAGGGCAGCACGCGCGAGCGCTTTAGCGAAGGCAAGAGCGGGTCGTTTCTTTACTATACAGGCGACCAGATTTTCATACTGAAAACGTGCACGCCAGCTGAGCAGAAGTATCTTTTGTACATTTTGCCCCAGTACATGGCACATCTGCGTCGAAACCCGAACAGCTATCTATGTCGCTATGTGGGTTGCCACGAGCTGGTAATGGAGCACCACTCGGTAATGTTTATCGTGCTTAGCAATATATTGAACAACCCGAGCGTAAATATTGATGAGCTGTACGATCTCAAAGGAGCATGGGTTGGTCGGCACCGTGGCGACTCACCTAGCGGTACACAGCGCGTGTGCAAATTCTGTGGTCGCGATTTTGTGGTAGGCATGTCCGAGGAGGTGTGCTCTCATAACCCAAATGCTGGATTTGGTCACTCGGAGTTTGTTGTCGGAAAAGATCTGAACTGGTCATGTCGACGACTTGGACTTCCTACTGACGTAGCTGACCAACTGGGTAGTCAGTTGTACGCCGACACAGAGTTTTTGCAGCGCATGAATTCGATGGACTACAGTCTGGTGATTGGTTTGAGCCGACACAAGGCCGTTTCAAGTTCCAGTGGCGATGGAACAGTACTGTCACAGAGTGGTGGTCCACCTGTGAAGGGGAAGCTGTTTGTGAACGGAAATAGTGGTGACGAGGGAAGCTACATGGAGTCATCGAGCCCCAACGGTGCTACCCTCCAATGTCTTAGCCGCCCTAGGGAAAACGCGACAACGTTTTGTGCTGACGCGTGTGTCGTGAACATGGGCATCATTGACATTTTAACCCCGTGGTCTTGTAAAAAGAGCCTCGAGCGGTGGATGCGTGTGCGACTGCAATGTCGCGACGCGAAGGGAATTTCGTGCATAAAGCCCATCCCATATGCTGATCGCTTCCGTCGCAACGTGATCGATACTGTCATCTTTGGTCGCCGTCTAGGCTCTAAGCGACGCCAAGCGGAAAAAAAGCAAGGAGAGTCGATTATGGTGGATTTTACGAGCATATCCATGGACGTGAATTTTTCTATGGACATTGCGAACCTATCGATGGATACTACGTCGAATCTCTCTATGGAGATATAAAACTCCATCCACACATGCAGTGGAATGATGCCACTGTCCAATTCTCGACCATCGTAATCCCGGGTGAACCTACTGGAGACTAACACAATAGACCGTCAGCACGCTGGTCATGGTCGCATTTTCCCATCGAATCGACACACTGCCTAAAAGTCCACAAAAAAGCAACTCAATGTGTCAATTGAGAAGAGCATCCAAGCAAAGCAGTTGTGAACTTACCGTCACGCTCGGCATCCCAGAAACACGACGAATTGGTGTGATAGCCGGCATTCCGCTTTTGCAGGATCGTGCAGTTTACTGTTCATGTATCAAGAGCCCACTCGGGCATTTCGTCAGTTGATATGCGTGCGTAATTGTTGCCCGTAACTATTTAACGAATTACAACATCCATTCCATACCGATATATTTGAATCCAGCTGAACCATTGGCCACACCTTTGAGCGCCTTGAGACACTGCGTTGATATATCAGTCGTCCATTGATGCACGTCCGATGCATGGTACGTTTGACCTGCTAGAACCTCTTCCGGGATCTACATACAAAGTTTACAATAGTCAGAGCGTCCCTAAGCGTCCAAAGTTTGTACCGAAATGTCAATCGTCTGACCTTGAGACTGATCTTCTTGACCTCGTCTTGAATCTGATGAAACTTATACTATCATAGCAATCAATAATGAGATACAAGGAGATCGTATAAGATCACTCTATGGCTGCAACAGACGCACCGCGACAGTCTCCATGTTGATCCTTTGGCGCTTTGACGGGCGATCGCAACTCATGCATTTCAACTCACTTACAAAATCTAGTATGTTTCACTTAAGTACGTATAAGTGAAAGACCAACATTCATCGTCGTGTTCGACCAAAGAACGTCGTGGCTAAAAGTTGTGTCGTAAATTGAGCTAGTAGTGTCGGTTGCAGGACTTTTTGCTGTCTATAACTACTTCCATCTTCTTTGCAAGACTATTGTGCATCGAACGACGTGTTTGTAGTGCTTCAACTCACTCTGTAACGTGCAATAGAACGTTTTAAACGTGATGGCAGTGACGTCGCAGACGTCGCCGAAGGTTACGACCAATAGTAACGGGCACGATTTGTTTGGTGCAAATAGGGTCGGCTTAGCTGAACGCGCAGGTGGATTACGCTTTGCTCAAGATGCTGAGAGACGGAATGTGGGTGCGGACAAGGAGGACGAGCAGCCTCATATAGTGGAAATTGTGCCTTGGCGCATGCGGGAGCGCATGAAGACAATGGATGTGGCACTGGTGTTGTGTCTCAACATTGGGACAGACCCACCAGATGTGGAGAAGGCTACGCCGTGTGCACGTAAAGAATGTTGGGTGGATCCATTCTCTATGCCGGCTAAGAAAGCCATTGAGACTATTGGCAACACGTTGCAATCCCAGTATGAACGCTGGCAACCACGTGCACGGTACAAACAGAGCTTAGACCCGACGGTGGAGAAAATACGAGAACTGTGTGTGAATCGACGAAGACTCGCCAAGCACGATCGTGTACTGTTTCACTACAACGGACATGGTGTGCCTCGACCGACACAAAATGGGGAGGTCTGGGTATTTAACAAGAGCTATACGCAGTACATTCCACTGTTAGTATACGACTTACAGTCTTGGGTAGGGACGCCATCAATCTACGTGTTTGATTGCTCAGCGGCAGGAGTGCTGCTGAGTCACTTTAAGTCGCCGCCCACAACCTCTGCTCAATCGCATGGAAGGAATGAAATTCCTTTAGCGAATGAAGCCATTGTGCTTGCTGCTTGCTCGGCCGATGAGCTATTACCAACGAACCCGGAACTTTGCGCAGACGTGTTTACTTCTTGTTTGACGACACCGATCACCGTAGCTTTGCGATGGTTTATCTCGCAGAACGAGCTCTCGATGGCGCATCTTGATGCTACTTTCATTGAACGTATTCCCGGAAAGCTTACAGACAGGAAGACGCCATTAGGAGAAATGAATTGGATATTTACAGCCATTACCGATACGATTGCATGGAATATGTTACCTCGCGAGTTGTTCCAGAAGTTGTTTCGACAGGACTTACTCGTGGCTTCACTTTTTCGCAACTTCCTATTAGCTGAACGAATTATGAAGTCTGAGGGTTGTTCTCCGTGTTCACTACCATCATTGCCACCAACAAATCACCATTCGCTGTGGCGGTCGTGGGACTTGGCTGCCGAGATATGTTTAAATCAGCTTTACAAGTTATCGAACCCATACCCGAACGTCGATATGAGCTTCCAGCCCTCACGGTTCTTTGCGGAGCAGCTTACAGCGTTTGAAGTATGGCTTCAATTTGGGTTCCCAGAGAATTCACCACCTCAGCAACTGCCAATGGTTTTACAAGTGCTTTTGAGTCAGGTTCATCGTCTTCGCGCACTCGTGTTACTAAAGAAATTTCTCGATTTGGGACCATGGGCGGTAAATCTGGCACTTTCTGTTGGAATTTTTCCGTACGTACTAAAGTTGCTCCAATCTCCAGCAAGTGAGCTACGTCAAGTGCTTGTCTTTATATGGGCAAAAATCTTAGCTCTCGATTCAAGCTGTCAGGCTGACCTTGTAAAGGATGATGGCCATTCATACTTTATATCTCATCTCGCTGCTGGTCTCCACAACGGTGGGGGGAATCAAAGTGCATATAGCGCTGGAGGCAATGTGATGCCAGCTGATCAGAAAGTCATGGCAGCCTTTATTATCTCGGCGATCTGTAACGATTACCTGCCTGGCCAAAAGAGCTGCTTGTCACAGTACTTGCACAAGATTTGCATTAATTTGCTACAAGATCCCGAGGAAGAAGTACGCAAATGGGTTTGTTTGTGTCTGGCCAAATTGTGGGAAAACTTTGACGATGCGAAGCGTATTGCGGTCGAAGATCAGGTTCCGCGAATACTTGGTACTAAGCTTTGCGATGATCGTCCTGAAGTGCGTGCTGCTGCCGCTTACGCGCTTGGCACGCTTGTTGGTTTCCAGTGTGATTCTAGAGCAAGTGGAAAGCATGTCGACCTGAGCCGCTTGGATGGTTTCCTCTGTCAACGAGCCCATGACGACATTGTTGTAGCATTAGAACTGTTACGGGGTTGTCAGGATGGATCTCCACTTGTGCGCAGGGAGAGTGTGCTGGCGTTGGCAAACGTCATCCTGCACAACTACCACCAGCCACGTTTTCAATCTGTGGCCAAACATTTCAAGAATCAGCCAATGCGGGGTCCAGCCACTCAATCCGATAGCGGATCCCCTCCAACTGGAATGGCTTTTCAAGGTAGTAATGATGCGCTAAACTCGAAGGAGAGTACGAGCGGTACAGATGTGTTTGTGAACGAGAAGCTACGGGACGAGATCGGAGAGGACGCAAAATATTACGCACAGATCTGGCACGTGTTAAAGGAAATGCAATCGAGGGATCCGTTTCCCCCTGTGGTAGAAATCGTGAAAGCAATTGTCAGCTTTGTGAATGCTAGCATCTTGGAAGCTGAGCAAAATCAGTTACGAGAAAACAATCTGACTAGCAGCGCGTTAGCTTCTCCCCCGCGAAGTGCAAACCCTGGAGTTCTCGCGGCCATGTATTCGGAGAGAAGCCCTAGCACTGTTTCTCAATCTCAACAAGAGGAATCAGTGTCTGGATTGGGCTATATCCAACCCCAATTGAGCCAAGGACGGCTTAGTGTCACCCCAGAAAATGTTGATCAACCCCTAGCATACTCTGAGCAAGGCAATGAGGTCAGAACCTCTGAAACACAGATGCACGTTGCTGCGCCTGTAATGAAAGGACTACGATCAGCCGTTTCGGTGGGCAACTTCCGCCAGTATCAAGAGAAATTCCAGCAAGGATCTGGAAATATGGTGGGGGCTAACGATAGTCACCTGTTACCGCCAGCTGCTCCCAAGAGCATGGGCAGTAACATGACCCAAGGCCAGTATCTTGGACCGGGTATGTCACAAGATGCAGCTGGACAAAGAATTCCGAGCAGTTGTTTTCCAGATGAAACAGATCTGACCCCTCCTGCATTGGAACGATACGGTCGTCATGTGAATTTTCCGCCTACTCTATTGTCAACGTGCTACGAACGCCTCAAAGCTCATTTTAATGACCCCATTTTGGAACCCGTGCAGGAAGATGAGGACCCGCTGAGCGAGAAGGGCGCTGAAAGATGGGAGCGTTGCCGCCGCTACAATCGCATCCGAGGTGCGGCGATGAAGCTTGCACCAGGCTTTGTGTCGCCTCGAAGTTTGGCGAAATCATCCGCAATTCAGAGTAGTGGCTTAGGGCTGCGCAGTATCAACCCGCAAAATCCTCCACTTTATTTCCCCCTCGAATATGACGCTGGGCGCCGTGTCTCCTCAACCCACGGGGATGAAGAAGAAGTGAAAAATTTCACGTTGAACCTTCGTCAGCGCGCTGTGCTGAATAACGACGCGGAAATGACATCGCTACTGCTCTTCCACCCTTATGAGACAATGCTCCTCATTGCTGACGAAAAAGACCAGATTTCATTGTACAACTTCGAGGAAACCGAGACGAAGGTGTTGAGCTTCGGCAACAAAAACCCACCTGGGTAAGTACCATGTTGTCTACTATCGCGCTCAATGTTGCACTGCTAATGTGGCGTATGATGTTACTTTCGCCTATAGATCTCGACTGACATCGTTGAACTGGATAAATGAAGCGGAAGAAAGTTTGCTGACATGCGGCTCCGACGACGGTGTGATAAAAATATACCACGGTCTGCACAACCCTCACCCACATACAGGTACCCCAAAGCTTTTGTCAGCCTTTGTTGCTGTGCCTGATCTTGTACCTGGAACGCGTGGGTCCGGTCTCGTGATGAATTGGCAGCAAAATGCTGGCATGATGTATGCTGGTGGCAACTCAGGCATGCTGCGCGGCTGGGATTTACGCCAGGAAAAATGCACTGTAGCACTCTCTACTCAAACTGATTCTTGCATCACTAGCATGACAAGTGATGAAAGTGTTCCAGGAATGGTGGTGGCTGGCTTTGGTGATGGCAAATTGAGAATTTTTGACTCGCGAAGTAGACCCGACTATGCTGTCAAATTGGTAATGAAGGAGCACACTTCTTGGGTGGTGCAAACACACATTTACCCTGGCCGCAAAGAGCTTCTTACAGGTTCTGTGACGGGTGAGCTGAAATTCTGGGATATGCGATATCCTAAGCACAGCGTCAAATCACTGGAAGCTCATCGATCACCGATGACAGCCCTCGCCGTTCATGATTATGCTCCGATATTCGCCAGGTATGTTTATTGTAAGCATCTACTTATTGAACCGTTTTGAAACGATACTAATCTTCGTGGTTTGTACGTTGTTCTGCTGTAGTGGCTCACACAATCAATTTATTAAGGTGTTCCGCAGCGACGGCGAGCAGTTGGCACTTATTCGCTATCATGAAGGCTTCTTGGGCGAACGAATTGGTCCCATTTCGTGCTTAGCCTTCCATCCTCATCGGCTTTTCTTGGCTGCGGGTGCAACCGACTCGGTGGTTGCTGTCTATTCGAGCGACAAATAACTTTTGAGTGAGATAATTTGTTTAAACTGTCTGTCCAAGAAATAATCGATGTTCAAACGCATCCGTGTTCATGAGCTTAATTAAACTCATCAGTGTGCTCCTCTTCGGTTCAAATTAGTTGCTGCTCACGGGGAACTCGGGGAGCGTTGCACTCGTGAAGCGATCGCGGTTATGCTTCAAGCTATAGTCGACGTTCGGGCCAGCCGGAACAATGCCAAACGCGTTTAGGTGGGTGTGCGAACCGTAGTAATGGAACTTGATGTGCTGCATCGAAACCGACTTGGTCACAGGTGGATATTGGTAAATCTCTCGCGTGTACTGTAGCAATAAGGTATGTTAGCAGTCTACAAAGAACAGAAGTAAGAGCGACAACAATTGTCTGCGTACGTTCAGTAGATTCGGGTACTCCTTGATCATCTTTTTGTTTGTCTTGAAGTGCACGTAGTACACCTCATCGAAGCGAATAAGAGTCGAAAACAACCGCAAGTCCGCCTCGGTAAACACGTCTCCTACAAGGAATCGCTGCTTTGACAGAATCTCCTCGACACGGTCCAGACTCTTAAACAACTTGGTTACAGCCTCATCGTATGCGACTTGCGTGGACGAAAAGCCGCACTTGTACACGCCATTGTTAATGTCGTTGTAGACCCACTCGTTGATCGTGTTGATATTCTCGCGGAACTTGGCCGGGTATAGATCCACCTTGGACGGCACAATGGCGTTGAATGACGAGTTCAACATGCGGATAATATCGGCTGATTCGTTCGATACAATAGTCTTCCTGACCTTGTCCCACAGCACGGGTACCGTGTAGCGTGTGTTTCCCTTCGAGCACATCTCGTACAGATCACGCACGTATTGTGCATTGTTCACTGTGTCTGGGATGGCGCCCTCCGATGAGTACTGACCGAGACCTGATGGACCAGGGAGCGAAGGGGTCGTCTTCGGGTCCACGAATGCCCAGCTCATGTGCTCATCCTCCGGGTCATTGGGACGCGTACGCTGGAACACTGGGTGCACGACAGAAAGTCCAATGATGTTCTGAAGTCCCTTCATGTAAAGCGTAGCAAGGCAACGGTGCGCCCATGGACACGCTAGCGATACATAGAGATGGTAACGGTCGACTGCCGCTGGAAACTCGGCGTCAGCCGTAAACTCGATCCAGTTACGAAATTTACTTGCATCACGCACAAATGTGCCCTTCTCCGACACAGCCCACATGCTCTTGCTCATCATTCTGGTAATAAAAGCTCTAATAACTGTAGTAATGTGCTTCCGTTCTAGGCCCTGTCGTGACAATTGAAGACTAAGACAAAAGTCTCGTTAACGGAGTCCATCATGCCTGTTCTCAGAATGGATTCCAAACATTTCCCAGATTTATGCAGTCAAGCTCCCGTTAACTTCAGACCTCATCATGACTTCTCTTTCGTATGCCATTGGGGTGTGTGACTGGTAGATAAGGGAGAGATACTACGACTGACGGTGTTCCCATCGTAGCCGACATACGGGCCTTTTCTTAACCATAACGGTTAAATAGACACATCGATGGATTACAAAGTCTTGATTTTTGGAAAGTAAACACCACAACGACATGAAATTACGATATTGTTCGATATAACTGTAACTGACATAATAACGGTATAAGTCATGACAAGCATAATAGGCTCGTCTTGGTGACAGACAGACATCAGACGTCATGAAGGACTTGAAAGCGACTGTAACTTTTCTATCGGTTATAAACTATTATCTCGGTTCTCCAAATGCTACCACAGCTTCAGATCTGTACAAATTGGCTCGAAAACTGACTGCACAGACTGAATTGTTTGCTGGAAACCACACGACGTTATGTCTACAGCTACTGGACACTTTGGCTGAGCATTTGCTTACTGTTGCAGTATCAAGCAAAGTTTCAGCTTCCATGGAGGAGGCATCGACCCAATACTCGCAGTTGACGCAGACTCAAGAGATTGCAGACGAGTTGCTGCAATTACTAGAGCTGGGCTTTCTCTTTGCAAGAAAAACGACAATCGGATATCCTTCGCACGCACTGTGTAAACTACTTCAGTGGATCGTGGATACTGTGTCGGTGGTTGCACTACAAAATGGCTGCGAGACTGATACAGGACTCAAGCTGCTGCTTCTCGTACTTGCCGAACTGATCAAGAACAGTGCAGGTGTTCGTATTTACATCAAGGAGATGAAGATGATTAAGGACTTTTACCGTTTGTTGACAATCCTGCTCAATCGGACCGAGGACGCAGAGCTGTTGGTGTTCAGCATGGCCATTCTAGCACGTCTTGGGCTGTCCGAGTCCATGGACAACAAGCTATTCAGTAGAAAGAATGTGGATCAGGTACTGGCATTGGTCTTTTCCGTGCTGGACGGCTCGCGACATGATGATGTCGATGAAGAAATGTCGACTTCTGCCACGATTCGGGATCGAAGATATCTGCTGCAGATGGTAAGTGTTGACTTGCTCTGTGACCTTGCCAACCGTCAAGAAGTCTTGGAGCTACTCGTAACGTACCCAAAAGTTGCACCAACGCTCGACAATTTCATCATGACGATCAATTTGAATGGCGACGCAGAACAAATCCGAGTTGCTGCGTATTTTCTCTCCTCCATCGTCCAGCTCAGCCACCTATTTCGGAAATTGCTAATCAAAAGTTTGTCTGATCAAGACGTCCTTTATCGTGTACTACAAGCGACACTCCACCCGTCTAAACTTGCCGCCATGACGACCACGCAACTAGTATTGAAGGTAATTGGCAACGATGCTCGTTCGTTACGAGACATCTTCGATTCGTTGGCAAATATAGAGCGGTTAAAACCTATAGTTGCTGGGATGATCCGCTGCACTCTCGATGCCAACCCATTAGTGCAAGGTGCCGAAGACAATGAGTTACTTAGCAACTCTGTCGATTATTGTCACGCCGTTGAGGTGTGTCATTTGCTTTCCAGATTGAGCGAATTGCCACCCGTACGCTCACTGTGCGCTGAAACTATCAGTCTCAACCAGGTCCGTTGGAAGACGTTTAGAGTGTAACAGAAAATATTGTACGCACTAACCTACCGATGTATATGCTCATAGAGTGCAACGCTGATACAAATCGAGTCTACCCTCATCGGCACTGTCGATCCACAAGACTTGACACGCTTCCATCCTCAACTTTCAATTCGCCTTGTGGTAAGAAATCAGTTTTATTGTTGATGTCACCCTGCGAACGTTGTACATTCTGTTTTTATCTTGGTGGTAACGACGTATGTCTAGAGTCTCCTCTCAAGCATAATGTCCGACGATAATCTGACCGACAAGAACAAACGCACCTTGAGCCAATTTTTTCAGACGTCTGAAGTAGCGTTGGTCCTGGGTGCTGCGTTATTTAGTTGCAAGAAAGATGTTGTGGTTGAAACACTGTTGCTGATCACACAGTCACTTACCAGCCTGAGAAGCAAACAATTTCATGATCTCGAGTTGGTCGAAGCGATAGTTGGCTACAGTCAGCGCGCTAAAGATGCAAATGACAACTTACGGTCAACGATTTGTTCCCTCCAGGTGAATGCAAAAGCCGGTCAGAAGACGATTGAAAAACTGCAGACGAAACTGCAACAAATGCTGCACTTTCAAAATGAACTCAAAGCACAGCAAGATCAAGCGATCAAGGACATTGAAGTCAAGTTCGCGGAGCAAATGAGGCAAAAAGAGGATTCGATACTGAAAATGCGTGACGCGTACGAAGCGAAACTTCGCGAAATTGCAGTGCAATGCGAAACTATGGGACAGCACATGAACAAAAACATCAACGTTCTACAGCACCGCGAAACGCTTCTCCACGATAGTCGTATTAAGCGTGGAATTTTGGAAGATGAGAACAATGAATTGAATCGTAAGGTGCAAGTTTTGGAAACTAGGATCGATGAGGTTGCCCAAACTCGTTTGATTGCCATGGAGGAGGTAAAGCTTCGCGACAAGGAATTGGATGAGGTGCGGCAAGAAATCGCGACAATATTTGGAGATTACACAGCTCAACGAGATGAGCTTGAAGCGGCTTATGATGAAACGAAGGTAAGAGTTTACGTGAAAATAACATTGTCATGTGCGAACAAATAGCTCACTACTGTTTGTTCACGTTTGTTTGGTTGACTGTATAGCGTCTGGAAAATGAGCTGAGCGAGCAGAAGCTTTCAAATGAGAATACGTACAAGGAATTGGTGTTGCTAGCAAAAGCTCACGAAGCTCTTTCATATGAAAAGAAGACCTGTGAGAACGAAATGGCTACTGTCCTAGACAAAGTGGCAAACCTCGAGTCGCTGAATATCTCCATGCAGTCGCAGCTGCTAGAAAAGAGAAAACTTGCTGATCAGTTGGAACGAAAGGTGCGCCGTATTCTCGTTTATGATCGATTGGGTTGGCTCACCTACATGTCAAATTACTGTCAGATGACATGGCTCGATGACGCTGCTACAGCTAGTAAGAATGCGCTAGAGGTCGAGCGAAAAAAGCACCAAGCTGTGGGCCGAGACCTTGATGATCTCAGGAAAGCACATCACAAACTTGAAAGCGATATGGCAATGCTTGAAATTCAAGCAGCAGAGCAGCGGATGCTGATCGAATCGAAGGACGAGCGTTTGCACAAGTACAAAGTAGAAATTTGTCACCTGGTAAGCACTCACCTAGGTCATTATGTTACAATGATTCCAAGGGTGCTTGTATTACTTGAAAGGTATGGCTTGAACCGTTACTGACATTGCATGAACAGACAAAAGAGGTTGGGAAACAAGCAAAACTTCAGGCTTTGATCCATCAGCTGAGCTCCGGTGTTGATAACAACGTCAAAACAAGTGATGGCTCGTCGTATCCTGCGCGTGACAAGTAAAGCCTTTCAAATTAACACACAAGAATACTAGAAGGATGCAAGCAGACTCCACAATAGATTTATATTTTCTCGTTTTCAGAGCATCCAAGAGCCTTAGATTGTCTCCTCTTCATCAAGATACGTCCAGTACCTCAGACGAGCAAAAGGAGCTGAGGCTTATAGAAGCTGCAGGATCAAAATGCCCTGAAAATGCATAGCAATTGCTGTCTACATCTAGTGGCGACGGCCGCCGCGACCACCACGACCTCCACGGCCACCGCGTCCTCCACGCTGGAACTGATTACGATTCGATCGCGATTGCTTGAAGCGCTTGTACCGGGCCGAGCGTGCATCTTCCCAGAACTTCTTCTCTTCTTCACCCTCGATGACAGCAGCATTGGGAATCTTCACCCCATTCACTTCCAGTCCACCGTCAGCAAACATGCTCACAACCTCCTTAGCAAGTTCAGCACTAGTGACGCGAAGGTAGCCATCCTTATCGTTAATCTGGTACTGGATAAATGCAACGCCATCACCGTCAACTGCCTTGTCACCAAGCTTCTCGTTTATAGTGTTCTTAATATCATCGCGTGATACCTCTCCGTCAACTCCATCAAAACGCACAATAAGGCCCTCTTCGTACTGAACATCAACCTTAAGCTCCTCGCCCACATCCAGAAGGTGGAACGAAACGTTCTTGCCACCCAATTCCGGCCCATCAAGCGCAGATAGTTTCTCAAAAAGCGAAGTCGCTTCAGCAACACTGACCTTGAAGGATGCAGTGTCCAGACCATCGTACTCGACATACGGCGACTGCGCCGACGGGTCAATGACGGTGGCAATGAGCTGCTTAATGTCGTCCATGCGCGTGCGGGGGCCAATGTTTGAGATATGAATAGCCTTCTCGTCGTCGCGTTTGCGCTTCCTGCTAGCGTCCTTTGCGTCCTTCTCCGTGTTCGAGCGGCGAGGGCGAGCTTTAATAGCCTCCTTGTCTGTCACGAGCTCGAACGTCAGCTTCTTCTCATCCACAACAATAGGCACTTCCTCCGTCACAAGCTTTTGCACCTTCTCAGCAAATGAAACCTGCGCGAAAAGCAAGTAGAGCTCCTGAGATTCATGAAAGTAGCGCACTCGGGCACGCAGTTTCGTGTCGTCTTTCCAGACGGGCAAGAGCTCGTCCAAAAAGAAGCTCATAGGCTTGTGCGGCACCTCCTTGGCCACCAACATGGCATTAGTAGCCTTGTCAAACTCGACCTTGTCTTCATTAGATAGTTTCTGGTATTCCACCATGGAAATGATGTTAGGCATGTGACCATTGATCATCAACGAAGACGCCGAGTCCACAGCGCGCTGGACAGCGTCCTTGTCATTAACTTCAATGTGCACAACACCGCAAAAATTGCGGCGAAAGCTCTTGCGGTCAATAAAGAGCAGCTCCACATGAAGTGACTTGAGGCCTTCCTTGATCTCGTCAATGGTAGGCAATTCCTTGCCTAAACCAGCCAGCACGATCGTACGTTCAGGTGCGTCATCCTTTTCAGGCAGCGGATTCCTTCGACGCAGTGCATTCTTGGCCTCATTAAGCTCGACAATGTTCGAGTCCGAGATGGCCGATTGCAGCACAGTCCCATCCACAGTCAGCGCCGCCAACTTCTTGAAGGTAAAAAGCACATCAAATGGCACAAAACCGCCTTCATGTTTCTTGGTTTCTTCACGCAGGAAACGGTCTCGACGGAAATTGCTGTCAGAGAAGTAGAACTCGACTTGCTTCTTCACTTGAACATCTACTGATGCCATCGTTTCGATTGTATGTTGTTGATAATGGACTGACTACTGGAGGAATGAAGATGCTGTTAATGTTGTGGCCTTGAAATGACTGGCCAGCAGCATTGATCAAGGAGATGGGATAACTTAAATCAGTTCAAAAAGTATCAACTCTCGTTTAAATAAGTACATGTAACAGTACATGTGTTGAACTTTTTTAAAAGGACCGTGCTTTATGGTTTCTAACTTACGATGCCTCACTAATACTTTCTCTTCTATTACATCACTAATTGACTTTCTTCAAGTAGAGTGAGGCGGCATCTAAATGTAGCAACTTACTCGTTGTTGGCAATAATTTCCACCACCAAAAACAAAATCGCGGCGTTTGGTACAACACGCATTAAATGTGCTGGCATGCCTGAGTATAATCCACGTCTTCCCTCTTCCTTGTATATTGTAATGATCGACTGAATCATTGATCGATACCTGCGGTAGAAACACGATAATGTCAACAAAGTGTCGGTACACTTGCAAAAATCTACCATTACTTACTTGAGCTCCTTTGAGTCCATCGGGGCGCGTTGATCTCGCATTCGAGTTCGAACAACCTACACAAAGAAGATCAGTCGCTGTGAACCGTTATCATTCACACGGGCTAAGAAAAATCCTGTCGCAGACGCACCTCGTGTGGATAAGTGCATATTGACGCAAGCAGCTTGCATGCACCAGCCGTCAAGAAATACTTGAGGTTCGTCGGCTTGTCAATGTGATCCTTGCATTCCTCGTACAAGGCAAATTGAATGGCGCTCTCTGATATTCCCCAGTATGAGGCTGATAAACCCCGGAAGAACGCCCGCGGGCCTTCTTTCCGGTACATATCCATTGCCACTTGACGAACACTCGAGAACTGCGGTCTAGCTTTCGTTGCAATAGACGTTTCAGCTTGTGCAAAACCCACAGAGACAACGTTTCGATGTGCAGTAGCAGCAGACGCTGCCATGGCATGCGCTGGCAAGAGCTGCTGACGTGTCTTGACGACCCAAATGGGGCAACACAAGGTCGCCGAGATGGATCCAGCCCCCGCAGCCGATAAGAAGTTATACATACGACCATTCAAGCCATATGCATTGAATCTGTCCTTAAAAGTTGAATAGGAGCCGAAGTAGATGGCACGTGCCGGGATGACACCGATCATTGTAGGCGTAATGCCTCTCCACAACCCCTTGACCGACTCTGTATGATACCACAGCCACGACTCAGTAAGTATGCACCACTCAACTTAGTTTAAAGCCGCAACAGCACGCACCGGATCGTCCTATTGAGCGCATGACACCAAACGTTGTCTGAGTACCAAAGGACCCGCTGCACATCACACAAAACCACAATGTAAATCCACGGCATTAATCCGTAGCAAACAATACCACACACACACACACACCTGCCACCTCGTATCTGCAGCCGCGTCTTGACGACTTCCAGTGGCGACGTGATAAGCGCAGCCGTCATGCCGCCAACAGCGCCGCCCGCAAAGTGTCGGTACGTGAAGCTGTTACTGGACATACGTACGCTCGTGGCACCTGGTTGTTGTGTAGATGCAGACTCTACATGCTTGACAAACACTGGCGCTGCTCGTGCAGCATTAACTAATGCCGGTTGGGTCGCCATGAGCTGCTGCCGGTTGATCGATCGTTCGGTTGGCGGCTTAAAGCGGCACTAATTGATCACCACCATCCACCGACAGGAATCTGCGACGTGTGTACAGTACAAGTTGGAGGCACTCAAATACAGGGATGAGGGACGTACAAAGAAGAAGCGACCTAGTGTGTTGAGAAATTAGCCAATCACAATGCGCAAATCCATTTGTTCGACAAGAGTACCGTAGTCATTTTCAATTGTGTACACAATTGATTTTGACATAGAGACACCGCCGCGCATGCAAATGACGTCGTATTTGGAGCGATGGGAGGAGCAGAAGATACAGAACTGTCCACAGCGTTCAATAACAAAGCCACAGCATCATCACCGCATCAAAGAGGGTGAAAATCTGAGCTTTATATCGACTGTGGAGCGCGAGACAGCGAGACAGAACCATCAAGACGGAGACGACGACAGCTTCGACCTGCCGCCGATTGACGCGTTTCTGACGTCTGAAATCGCATACAAAATGCAAGAAAAACAAAAGATTCAAAAGGATGATGAGTTTATGGACGCTGGTGCGTTGTACGTCTAATAAATAGCTTAGAAAGGCTTTGATATTGACGTTATGCTGTTGTTTTGTGTGGTTGTGGGGACATTTGGCGTAGCTACTTTCCTTAAAAAGAATGAGTTGGGTGGAAACGATAGTTTTTCTCATGATGTCGACGAAAATTGGGAGCACGTGAACTTTAATGGTCGACCAAGTGACTTTTTTGAACGAAAGTCGCGCAATTTGGACCATGTCGAGCTTTCATCGCCCAGCAACGTGGATGATCCAATGGTGTAGACATTGAAAAAGAGTCTTTGTGTCTTGTTGTAGATGCTGACGGTACTCTAGGACTGATGCTGACTGTGCAATGCCTTTGCTGTACAGTTTCAAGACGATGTGATCGAGGACGAGACGGTGATGTGTACGCCCCAGCAGCAATTATCTCCGACTAAAATTGGACAGGATGTGGTGTTTCGCGACCGTTTTGATCGTAATTCGGGACTTTCCGGATCAAGCACAAGGTTTTCGTCAGGATATGAAGTTCACTTTGACCAGGCACGGCTTATGTACACACCAAACTCGTTAAAGTATCTGCAGGTCTGTGAACATATGCTCACTTTGGCTTGCTTCCAGAGAGGCTGACATGTCGTGTTACTTTTCAGAAAAAAAGTCGATTGCAAAGCGACAGTACAAGAGAAGACAGTAAGATGTCTGATCACACCATTGCAGACCATTCTGGCGAGGCAGAGCTGGTGACGAGAAAGGATCAGCGTTTGCCTGACCAGGAAATTCCAAAAGATCCATCTCTCGAAGTATGTGGCCACGTTGCAGCGCGGGCCTGGGGTCATTAAAGAGGCACTGCATGAAATTGGTGCCCTCATTGACAACTCCGTCCGATTAGGATCTTCGCCACCGACGAAAAAGCCACACGGCGTTGAGCTGTCTGAATACATGAGTGACCTTCCTCGAGACCACGACCGTCCACTGGAACTCATGCTACCGCTTTCAAGAACAACAGATAGCTGGGGGGAGGACACCTCTACTTCCCAGATTGACGACGACGTACGTCGTCGAAGTCGGGATCTTGAATCGCTTTGTAGTAGAATTGAGCCCAATGGACAGATCAAGAACGGTGAGCGAAGAAGTAGGTCTCAAGAGATTTCGGAACTCGACACTATACGCGAGATTCCATGCCCGTCTAACATGGATTCTCCGAGTGAGCAATCAACCGATTCTTGCAAGTCTTATTCACGGGCACGACATGCACGAGCTCATGAACGACAAGCAGACAATACAAAGAATAGTCGTGCCGAAGCAAATCACTGTATAGATAAGCGTTCAAGTGGCGAGACATCAAGGAAGTCAAAATCCCGGACTACATCGGCTGCTCTAGATCAATCGCTGGTTAAAGTAGCCACGACGCAGAATCCGTCTCGCGATGAAACGCACTTGTCAAACGCTGATTGTGTCAGCGATGATGAAAGGCCTGCTGACGTTATCAGCAGTTCTCTCAAAGACAATGGTGATTCTAAAAGAAATCGATACAGTGGGGCGCAAGTAAACGCACAAAACCAATTCAAACATTCGCTCTCGGGTGATATCGATCCAAATGGCGTACGCTTTCATTACGAAGGAAACGATCACCAATCGCGGGGTGCAACGAGAAGGGAACATGAAGACGATCAAGTCCAAAAGTACATTGGTTTCGAGTCGAAAACAACAGCTGCACCGAAACAAGCAGTGGCGTCCCGCAGACTTATTGATGTGGTACGTTGCGCTACTACATGTAGTCGATGCACTTATTTTTGTTCGCACTCGATCGATTCTCACTTGTGTGCTACTGTTTTGCAGCCTGATCTCAAGACCCTTCGTGTGGCGATGGACGTTGCTATGGTAATAGTTCTTTACTCGATCGATTAAGCTCATTGACGGTTTTTTAATTTGGTTGTACTGTTCGCGTTTCGTAGATTCCACGTCGATGCCGAAGGTTTCTATGTTCTGTTGGTGATGTAATGACGGAGCAAATCGTTTTCACGAATGTAACGAAATCGGTTGGGAGAATTTGTGTATCTGTTCTTCCTCTCAGCACTGGATGTCAGCAATTCAGCGTGTCGCCTGCGGTGTTGGAGCTAGGACCGAAGACCTCGAGTGCGTTTCATATCACCTTCAATGCACGTTACGCAGGCGCAGTATCAGGAATTTTCCAGTTTAGAGGAGTCGGCATTGAGTCATTGTTTCATCCATATGAGGTCGTGATTGAAGCAAGCGTGAAGCGCAATTTGGAGTTAGAAGCTCCAAGGAGCTCAAGAACGGCACAGCAGCACAGGCAAACAGAAGCTATCAACGATCGTGTCAAGGAACTACAAGCTAGTTCAACAGTCGAACAAGTGGCAGTCACCCCCACGTTTATTCGTTTTGACTGTGTGCGGAGTAAAAGTGGTGACAAATTATTCAGGAAGGCGAAGCTTTGTTTGGTAAACAACACAGCTCAGGCATTGCCGTTTAAAGTTCGTGCACCTGAAAACCTTTGCGTGAGCCCAGCTTTTGCAACGATCCCACCAGCTTCGGAAATTAGCGTCTCGGTGCTGCTAATGTCGCAGCCGTTAGGCCAGCACCGATGCAGAGAAACCCGCAGTGCCAACTCATCTTCCAGAGCAGAAGACTGGCTGAGTACGCTTACCGTTCAAGTTGGCAAAACCTATTTACGCGAAGTGAGTGTTGTGGCGGATTGGCGAGTGATCCAAATGCTTCCTCCGTTTGACGAGATCGCACGATCTCGACACCAGCTCTCCTCACAGACGGATTCATTTTACTACACCAAGCGCGATAAGCGACGAGGCCTGTACTTCCACGCCAGGGCAGTTGAATTTGGATGCTGCAACGTTGGCGAGTCGCACGAAGTATCTGTGTATGTGTGCAATGGATCGAAGGCACCAATGACAGTCTTCTTACAGGATCTGCAGGAACCCTTCTCGAGTGCTTTCTCCTCGACCACTATCGAGCCTCGGAAGTTTATTGAGGTAATGGTGACATTTACCCCCAAAGTTGTCGGCAAAGTTGCAACTTCGCTTTTCGCCTACTCGCTTACTGATAAGGCAGTAGTTACGCTCATCGCTCGTGGAACCTAGCGTATAACCAAATCCAAAACGTAGTTGTGTCGTTGTCTATTGCATTCTTGGCCACGCTATGGGCTCTTCATCGTTATCCATACGTCCCATGTTCTGCAAGAAACCCCTCGACATCAGCGAGCACTTCGTCATACGAGGCAACGTCCGCAGGATACACACGAATCCAGCCTGCTCCAGAGTCCTGTAACATCTTCTCCACACGGTTCCAATGAAGATGTCGTTGCAGCTTAATCGAAAGTTCCTGTGCGCCTGCAGTTACTTGCCATGATGAAAAACCCGCACGTTGAATGCAGGGAGCAAAGTGTTGCGTGAGTACTTCTTCCGTAGCGTGAGCTGATGGTACCTCTACTACTAAGTGCATGAAGAAGTACCAGGTGCCACGGACCGCTTGTCGAATACCCAGCTTAATGCATTCGAGCTGAAGCATTAAAATGAGCCTCTCGTAGCGCGGATCTTCTTGGTCGCGCTCTTGTACAGGCCAGCGTACTTGCACTTCCAGGGTCGCACCCTTTCCCATACGCGATGCTAGCACTTTTGTACGTTGATGAACTGACGGGTGAAATGCTTCGGTCCCAACCTCCATGGCAGCAGCAGCTTTCAATGACACTGGAAAGAATGCATCGGTACGCTTAGTCCCAAGAGAGATCAGCTGTTCTAGCAAAGACACGGTGGGATTCAACGCTGGAGGCGCTGACAATAAATCATTTTCATTATGAGCTTGAGCTGGTGTAATTCCAATTTCAATCGGGTCAATTTTGGAGAGAACCAAGCGCCGGAGATTTGACGTGACAATTTCGAGCACAGCAACACAGAGTCCCTCAGGTGAAAACTTTGAGTGGTCTGTGTAACCTCCATGGGAGTGTCCCGGTAATGAATCACTCCGTTCCTCCTGCTTCTCGACATCCGCCCGGTAATGTCCAAACGACAAAGCCAAGTCATTATACAGATCTTGAAAGCTTTCACCAACGCTATCGTTCCCGCCATCATTCCCACTCACTGCAGCATCATCATCTTCTTCGTCTCCATTTTGAGTACAACTGTCGGTCTTATTCTGCCGTTGCTGGTGAGGTCCTGAAAGTACACTAATTAATAATCGATGTGAAATGGCAAATAACTCGGGACAGATTTCCATCGAGAAAGGTTCTTCTAGCTGCATAAGCTCAAGCTTATGTTTTCCAGTATATTCTTCAGCCTTCTGCATTCGCTTCATTTGCCACGCTGATAACTCACTTATCATGTGCAGAATAATCAGTCCCAACTACAGAAAGATAAGATTTGTTATTGCACGCAAATTTGACAAGTCCCGGATCCATCAAATACCTGCGATCTGCGCTTAATTGATTCCAAAACGTCTTGTCTCCCAATCAAAAGGGTGAACAAGCCAATGCTACAGGCAACATTCTGCTTCATGAGCATATCAGCATGATGACCATAGACATCTCAACCAGAGTAGAGCCCTCACCTCGTTCGACGATTTACTTTCTGCAACATGCATTCCTTCTTCTTGCAGCAAGAACAACTGTTCGATGACGTGCTTGTCTTGAAGGTCAACTCGGGAGTGAGCTCCTACAACAATACGCTGAATTGACGCCGCCAGCTCCTGCACAAACTGTTGCGCAGATGACTGCCCGTTTTCGGAAAGCAGATCTAGCTGGTTCCATCTTTTCCTGTTCATATCAGCAGTCGCAATGGTGGATCCTACCCGCTCGCGACTATTGAGCATGAGACACGTCGCTAGCTGCAGAAGACCACAAAGTGAACCTGACGCAACAGACAGTCTCTGCAGAGCATGTAGCGCGAGATCTCGGACTTCAGGCAAAGAAGAAACAGCTGCATCGTGCAGCCACCGCTGGATATTCCGTAGCACCAAGCCAGTTGAAGTGTGTACCGAGCTAAATGACGCTTCATGACATATGATTGAAACAAGTCCAAATGATTTTCCTGCTAAGATGGTCATGTGTACGTCAGCAGTGAACAACATCACGAAAAGAGTATGGCGCAGCTTCATTACTTACCACTCGCATCGACAGATATCATCGTTAATTTGATGGAGGTCACCAGCGATCCCTATAATGTGTGATAAAATAACACATAGTAAGCAACGAATGCCTCATTGATAAGCAAAGCAGCTTGCACTTGATTAATTATACCTTTGGTACAAGTATCCGACTTTCAGTGGTACTTACTACCACAACTGCCACCGTGTCGTAAGACATGTTATATCTAGAAATACCAAGCGAAAACTGCTCTGGTAGATAGTCTGGGTGCCATTTCAGCTCAATGGATGAAAGTGTGACTGGAGTGCTGAATTGGCACACAATCCACTCATTTGACTGTGGAACGTTGTCATCTGTCTTGCTAGCCGACCTCCAAAAGCTCGAGTTGTTTTCTAATACTCTGCACACACAAACAAATCACAACCACCAGTTAGTTTTATCACGCTCCTCAGCAGCAAAATTAATGCAGATTGACAAACTTGGAGGCTGCATGGTCGATATTAAACACGGAACTTGAGACAACTTCGTTCGGGAGTACTTTTTCATGTGAAAGCTGACGAGGAGGCGACCATTCGGAAAATAAAACAAGAGGCTCTAGCTTCTCCAGTATTGCAACAACCTAGTCGGGAAGAATACCAAAATGTACGTCGGAAGTGACATTTCGGTCGTTTTTTTTGTTATACAGACGAACCTGTCGGAGAGGCTCTACTGCAGCAGTTGAATCTGGGTCAAAAGCACCAATTACAGTCGACAATAATCGAATAGCAACCTGCACAGATAATCCATAGAGCCTAGTGTTAAGTCTTTCTCATCAGTTAAAACTTCCATCACTGTAGTCTACCTCATTCACCTGATGCAAATGGTTTTGTTTTGTAACAATCTCGACGTTTCTCGATCGATACTGTGGTTTGCCTATAACTTTCATTGCCAAGGGACATTTTTCAATCCTCTCAACTAGAAACTTGAGTTCACTCTTTGGCAACTGCACAGCTATGGGTTGTAACGGCATGCCTCGTCGTAGACAGCCCTCTACATGTGGCATACTCAGTTGAAAGTTCGATACTTTCAGATATTTCCCACTAGCTGTTGTCAATGGCTCCAATGCTGTACGTAGCGTCAGTCTTTCTCTCGAACGAGGAAAAATGGCACTAAAACAGTGTTCACAGATAAGAACTGTGTGTTCAATAGCCTCAGTCATAACAGGAAAGGCCTTCACCGTCTGCTGAATCTCTTGCAGTGAACAGATCCACATTGTTACAGTCGTGGGCGCTTTGCAACGTCGACATCCGTCTCGAAATGGTCGAGCAGTGTTTGTACCTGCTGAACACATTGGACACTTGGCGTAAAGTTTTCCATCCATGTCGGTCAATTGCTGCGTATAGAGTGAGCCATGTACGTCACAACCTGGGAATTCCAAGTATCGACACTTGCTACAAAGAAGCACAGCAAAGGATCGTAATAACGACGCATCTGTAGCGCCTAGAGAAGCTATCGAGGCGGGCAAAGAAGCCAACCCAACGCTATTCCCCGTGCGACTTGATACAGTCATTCGACTAATTGACTATAAAAACAAAAGATCCGGGATCAGATTTGTGGATTTTTTTTTAGTAAACCTATTGTATGGAATAGTACGGATTTTTTGAGTAACCCTATTCAATAGCCTTGGGTATGCTCTTACAGAGGTAGTCAGGCCGCTGGTTGACCCGCATTTCAAGAGTCATGTCGGAGCTGGGAAGTGCGAAACGTAAGCGTGATGAGAGCCACGAGCGCAAAGCGCCATTGACTCGGGATCGACGTACGAAGGTGCGTCAGGAGCGTATGGAGGAAGAGTTTGCGGCGACGTATCATGGACTTACAGCGCTGTATAAATTGCTGGAGGTACAGCATTTACAAAGCCCCTTGTTCCTCCCACGAACTCTAAGTTATCGTCTGGATCCGGCATGGCAGCAAAAGGATAAGAAAGAGGTGAAACATGTACAAAAGGACGAGAAGAAACCAGTAAAGATGGCACAGGGAGGGGCCTCTATGACGGACTTTAAGATTGGCATGACGTCGGATACAATGGAAGCTTTTCAAAGCAAGAAACGACGTCCAGGAGTATTGATTTCACTCTATGAAGCACATGGAAAGCAATTTGATGCCAATCTGTTCAAATTATTGGCTACGTGTTTGATCCCAGTGCCCTTTTCAAAGAACGTGTCGCTGTCTAAGGAGTTCTTGAACTTGAGCGCTGATATCAGCGTGATAGTCTTTCAAGTGGTGGAGATTAGTGACGTTGGTGAGACTATTGATACGCAGCCATCTTTTGCTTTTGCAACACCATGTGTGGCGACTACTGTCACTGGAAAAGATCTGCTGGCTACGTGTGCCAACGGCCGCAAACCTCTGTTCGGAAATTTGTTGAGACTCAATGTGTCGAGACGTCGTGTAGGATACATGACCGTTGAACTGCCAGCAATTGCGTCGTCAGTGCATGGCGGTGAGTGTATGAGCAACATGTCGTTGTGAATAGATGAGACTGATGTGATATACCCGTTTAATGAGTTGCAGGTGTCAAGTGCGAGTTCTGCATCTCGTGGGATCCTTTATCGAAGACAAAAAAGATGCAGCGTCTGACGGACATTTGCGACGAAAAGTTCAAGAAGGAGGACGATAGCAAGCAAAGTGATGAGTGTTTCCTGCTGGCAGCTTCTAAACGGAACACCACAGCGACTGCTCGGAAGCCATGTGCTGGAGTATGGTTTGATCTTGACTCAGGACATGTTGAATGTAGGACTTATGCTGACATAGTATGCTTAACTTGTGATGGTCTTTGTTGTCCAGGTGTGGTTCCACTTCCTCTACCATTCCATGCTACGCAGAATGAGCGAGAAGCGCTCGGAGTATTCATGCGCGTGGTGTAACATGTTTGCTGGATCGTTGCGAGGTCTCGTGGCCCATTTGGTGTCGTCCCACGATCGTTTCCGCTTTCAGGCCACCGTGAGTTTATTGCTCGGTCGTGCTTTCTACTGCAAAGTTTGATGAACTAAATATATATTCTTTTTCGCTGCAGGTTGGGCACGATAACATTCCGCACATTTACGTGATGGTTATGCAAGAACATCAGCCGGGAAAAAGTAGCGCTGGTTATCGGCCGGCTTTCTCTGAGCTTGAGATGTCCCCAACTGACGAGCTAAACCGCTTTGAGCATCATTTTACTCACATATCTGGGAAGAAATACGGCCCGCATGGCTCACAAGCAGTCGAGGCAGTTGAAGGCCTGATGCAAGAGTTTGATGATATGGATGAGTTGTCGCAAGAGCAGCCGCAAGACTTTTATGCGCCGCTTCTACAGCGTCAATACTTCCACTCCCGAACAGGAGCTGTAGTGTTGGACCATGAAAAGGACTATGACAGCGACGATGATGTGGATGAAACGTGGATAACGAAACAAAGCGAACGGGTACGTCTCCAGACTGGTAGCAACTGCTGACTGGTTGTTTGTTTTGTGCAACTTATGCCTAAGCGCCATCAACATTGTATCATTGTAGTTATTGGACGAGTTCGAAGACGTCTCGCTGGAAGAGAAGGAATTTATGAAGATGTGGAACCGTCACGTGAAGGAGTTCAAGTAGGTTTCTTACGCAACACAATGCTTGGCGCAGAAGTGGTTGTATCTGACGTTTGTTGCAACGTGTGATTACTGCGAGCAGGATCTTGGCAGACTTTATGGTCGCGTCTTCGTGTCGCATGTTTGCCAGGAAACATGGAAAATGGTTTGGCAGCGTTTTATACCAGCTCAGCGACTGCCTGGTGTAGTGAACGCGTGTGTGTTGTTTGCTTGCACAGGCTTTTGGATCACGGCCTACGCCACAACTTTTTGCTCCATTTGCTTAATTTATGGGACAACTCGCTTCTGAATTCGCGCGCAATCATCGACTGCATGCTGATTGTCGATCAGGTGAGATACAAAATCGAATGCTTGCCACTTTGGTAGAACTGACAAAGGATAATTAGTTGGTGCAGGAGCCTGAGACGGCGTCAGCAAATGAAGCGAAAGTGGAGACACCAGCAGCGAACGAAGAAGTGGCACAACGGGCGAAAGTGAAGGCTCAAAGCGAGGACAATTTCAGCAAACTCAGCGCAATGTTGTAACAACGGTAGTCGTGCAAACAGTCCTCGTTAGTTTTAACTGTTGTGTGCATGGTGTTTATAGTGTGGATGAATGTGCTTCCCGATCGCGGCACGTTTACAAAGCCCACGCTTGAATGAATATACAAGTGCTTCTCCCTTCTTTGTCTTTGCAGTATCAACATTGCAATGGTACGCAAGACTGTTTTCCTGACCAGGAGCTTCTCTACTGAGACGGCACAGGTGGCTTCTCCTCAGATGAAGACGGCGCACGCTTTTTCGACGTCATGCGACGACGTGGCGCTTTGTGCTTGCAGTCATGTTGGTGATGGTTCTTCTCACTGTCATGACCCGAGTCATCCGAATCCTCGTCGCTCTCACTGGAACTCTCGCCGAACTCTCGTTTCTTGTGGAAAATGCAGCATTCTACAAGACAACGGAGTCAGTCAGTAAAGCGACTCGGAATTTCTCAAACGTGATTGATCCAACGCACTCTTGGAGCGTCTACGTCCAAGATGCTCATTGTCCACAACACTGTTATCAAACGTCACGTGCGGTCGCGGCTGCAATTGAACGTGATACACAGGCGCTGTCTCTGCAGACGGTGGCGACGTCACTACTTCTGTCCTAGCTTCCTCGTGACTCATCACTACTATAACTGACAATTAAATGCAATAATTATCTATTTGAACAGAATAGAGTAAAAAATAAAATTATAGTAAATTACAGTCGATCATAATGCATTTCAATTAAATTATCAACTTAATTGACTTGATTATCATTTGTCATGGAAGTATTCATTGCATTGCGTCGCTTTTGACCAGTCACGTTTGCGCTTATCACCACACGAGACGTACAATTCACACATATGTGTAACGGTGCTATGACAAGCAAGTGGATTGTTACGTCGACATTCAATTTCCTGTACCATGCCACCCAACTCGTCTACCTGGGGAACAATATCACGTCGTGGCTTGATAGTCAGCACGTAATCACGAATGGATTCATCATCCACGTCGAATCGACCACGCGAGTATAGCAATCCTGGCCCTGAGAACGATACAGCGGGTGTATGAGTCTTTGCACCGACCATTGCTGCCATTGCACCTCCAAGACTGTGGCCAGTAAGGACAAGACGGTCACCAACGCGCTTTCGGACTTCAGTCACGTGGTTTAGAAGCTCCGAGTACACTGGAGGAGGCATGACAGCTCGGAGAAAATTCATGGAAAGCATCTCTACCACAAATTGGCTCGGAAGCTGTTTCAGGAACGGAATAAAGATATTTGCAGCTTGCATGATGCTTACGCCAAACCAGTAGTGGAGGTCCTCAAGGGCATCAGTCGCCGTAGCTGTTCCTCGAACGGCTATAACAGTCATGTTGATTCTAGGAAAGTAGAGCTCAGCCCACACTTGACAGTCCGATGCTTCGTTGTTCCGTGACACATAAGCCCAGTCGCCGAGTTCAGTGCCGTTAAAACGTTGGGTAAACGACTTCATTTGAACAGCAGTGTTCCATCCGTAGATCGAGTCAGCAATAAGTGCAAAATCCACGATGTCCAGTGAATTCATGTCTAATGCGCACACAGGATACGTTGCGACCTTTTTCCAGTGCATCCAGTGCATCGGCGGCATTGTTGGCTTCATAGCAAACGGGGTAGCTGAAGCAGAACGGGACTCTACCGTCGGCGGAAATACAAAGAAATCTCCACCGTGAACGAAGATTCCAATGGCCCATGTAGACGAGAAAAATACAAATGATAGGATGACGAAGAACGTGATGAAAGACTTGAACGTGAGGCCGAAGATCTGCGCAAAGTAAGAAACACGTATTAGTGATAGCACAATAACTGAAAAGAGCTGAGAAAGGTGAAACATACTTGAGGGAACTTGGCCTGGATAGTGTCGCCAAGCAAAATGAGGCAAAGGCCCATGATACCCCAGCCAGCATAGAAGGCATAGAACGAAATGATGGCACTCAAGATGACAATCGGGCATAGAATCCGCAGCCGACGATCGTAGGAAAATTTTGACCAAAGGTTCAATTCACGCATGCGTTTACCAATCTTGTGTACGCGCTGCTTGCCTTCCAAAGCCTCCTGGGTCTCGCTAGCGTCCACAACAGAATCACATGTGTCTTCAGCAAGCAGTTCCGTCGTCGATTCTGCTTGTGAATGCTCCGTTGCAGTACCAGGCTGTAGTGGCTGGGTTTCTTCATTGCTTGCTGTCATCTCACCTTCCACAACTGATAGCCAAGGACACCATCTCTCGCCGATATGCCCACCAAACTCAAAGATAGCTTCCACCAGTGTAAAAAAGCTGGTTTGAAATTGGTCCACCGCACGAAAACCAATGCTAACCAGCCAAAGATGTTCGGCACGCTTTTCGTTCTCCGTCTCCAGTAGCTGTCGTTCCATGTCACGGTATCGGCGTCGATAGTTGCTGACAAACTCCCTCATTTTGCGGTTTCGAGCACTGCAAAAGTGGCAGATCATCCAGAGGCCCAAGTAACCGGCTTGCATGTAGAAGCCACACTGGATGTAGTCCAGGAATGCTGCCAGGGGCGACATGTTTGTGACCAGCGAGACCACGAATGTCCACAACGTGATTAGCTCGAATACAAATGGACAAATTACGTCCGTGATAACGAGCGTGGAGAAGTCCAACGGCGGTCCGTCAAAGTGTGTAGTGTTGAACTTAACAGACGTGTTTGCAGCCTGATACGCACGTTTCCATCGGACTGATGATGAGTTTTCTTGGTTACTACTGCTGCTGCTGCTGCTACTACTACTACTGCTGTGGTGACGCAAGACGTAGCTACTGTGCTTGTGACTTGGTTCCTCACTCTGTTGTCTTTGAAACAACAATTCCAGTTCGTATCTCTTCTCATCCTCAGATTCCTTGTTTGTGTCGTCGAACGGATCGTTCGTGTAGATGGTACTCAACAAATACCTCGGCCCAGCAGTGATCCAGCTCACAAAGCGTGTCCATGCTTCGTGGTCTTCATCATTACCTCTAAATGCGTCAAACTTTTCTCTATCGAGTCGATCATCTGGCATTTCTCGCCAGTGTCGTAGGTAATGGATACAGACACAGAGCGAGAGACGAAAATTGGCCAAACTGCCTTCTCTCATGTCAATGGCGTCCAAAAACAGCCGACTGGACTCTTCAAAGCAATAGGACAGAAAAATCAGGGCAAATGGCAGAAAAGCCAGCAGCAGAATTGATCGTAGAGTGAAGTACGGGTCCATACGTGCACTGGGCAAGAAGATTGCGAAGAAAATCTCCATGAGGAACGTGACACTAAACATGAGAATGCACATAAGCACGAGAAATGAAAAGTAGCCTAATCGGAACTGACACAATGTGCGGTACAGCTTCCACTCGCCTTCATCACTTGATAATTTCTCTAGCTCGGCACGACGTCCTGCCCGTGTCGCCATCAGAACATCACGACTCGTCTCAGGGCTTTCGCCATCCTGGAAATTATGATACATGAATCCGAATGACCACCAACCACATCCATCGATGACGAACAGGTCGGACCGGTATGTTGGCGGTATGAAGCATAACGAGATCAAGTCATACGCTATTTTGCACGATAAACTATGACAGGACAATCAAGTGTACGCACGTAATTGTACGCACTCGCACTTTTTGATACAGTATCGAGAAGCTACGAAATATAATGATGCGAAAGGTGCTGACAGCCCAAGCGAGTCTATGCAGGCTGCGCAATAGCCGTTGCATGTCCGCAAGCACACGAAGCCGCGTGACGATCATCGGTTCGGATGAAGCGTATTCGCGTATTGCCACTGTACGTTTTGTTCTAGGTGTTTTGCGGAGGATTATGCGTGACATGATATCGCGGTCGTCGGTGTCTCTTGTAGGTGGGAACAGGACGCAAGGCGATCGTGTACTTTACGGCCAAGTGGTGTTCACCCTGTAAGATGATTGGTCCAATCTACGATGAACTGAGGTAGAAGATGTACTATTGAGCGAAAGGAATTGATGGGTGAACAAATATCTGACTGAGGTGCTGTGGTCGGTAATGCAGCGTCAAGCATCAAGACATTGACTTTGCCAAATTGGACGTCGACGAATTGAATGAAACAACGTCCAAAGCTGGTGTGCGCGTATGTGATGATTATTTTGCAATATGTGAGGATCGTTTTGCAATTTTAGTAAGCTACTGACGGGTTATCTTTTTGCTGTGTACATGCAGTCAATGCCGACGTTCTTTTACTTCCAGGATGGCAAGCTGCAGCAGTCGCTCTCGGTACAATAGCCAAGTTCTTATTGACGTGAATGCCAATGCTATTGGTGTCTGACTATATTTTCTGCTTGGTGGATATGGTCGTAAAGTTTTCCGGCGCAGATGAAGAACTTTTGCGCAAGAACGCAAAGCAGCTGAGTGATCTATAGCTCTGTTGTACCACCATCTCTTACACTAGTTGCGCCAAGTAAGTTGAATGACACAAATTTACGTGTGGAGCTCAGTCAGTTGTCCGACCATTTAAATTACCGTAATGATACAAACCAATTTAAAAATAAAAAACCGCTACCGGAAATACCGGTATCTGATCTTTTGATATCTTTTATGACAAAATAGATCCGGAGTTGCAGTCTTGCCAATGGCTGACCAAGTAAAGCCCCCTGCTGGCTACGGAGCTATCCCGAGCCATGTCCGCATGAACATTGGGAACAAAACACCGCCACTTAGTCCGTTAATGCTTCGTGTGAACAAGACGACCAATACACTCAAAGGATGGGAGTTTCCAGGATGGGGAGACAGCACTTCGACGGTAGCAAGCGACAGTGAATTGGATGAGATCCAAACACAACTTTCCATGGACCATCCAAAGCTTTCCGAGTGGCTAGCTACTGCTATTTGCGGAAACGATATCTTGTCCAGCTGCTTGTACGTGTCGGGGCTCGTAGCGTCCAAGGCCGGTAAGCTCGCACCTATAGCTCTTGCCATCGTGGCCGGTATATTGTACCTATACCGGTTTATTTACGGAGAGGTACTAAATGCTGTACCGCTCAATGGAGGCTCTTACAATGTCCTGCTCAATACCACGTCCAAACGCGTGGCTGCAATGGCAGCATCGCTTGCAATCTTATCGTACATTGCCACGGGGGTGGTCTCTGGTACATCAGCCTGCAATTACTTGGCATCGCACGTACCATCACTGCAAATTGTACCGGCTACTATCGGTCTTCTCTTTATCTTTGCGTTGCTGAGTCTAATTGGCATCACTGAGAGTGCAGTCGTGGCCCTTGTTATCTTTATCACCCATGCCACGACGTTGACGGTGCTCTGTGTATTGTCTATGGTATATATCGTGAAGGACGACTTCCAGACTCTATGGGCAAACTTTGGTACGGAATTCCCCGACATCAATCTCGCGGGAGACATCATCTCTGGAAACTTTTTCACCGCAGTCTTATTCGGCACATCGACCGCTATGCTTGGTATCTCTGGCTTTGAAACATCCTCACAGTTTGTAGAGGAACAAGCTGATGGAGTTTTCCCAAAGACCCTGCGGGTACGTTTTTCTTAGCTTATTTGAACTTGACGGTCACTTTTGTGTGACATATTTTTATTTTTGTGTCTACTTGCTTTGATCGATGTCTAGAACATGTGGTGGGGTGTTGCTATCTTTAATCCGATGATCTCTTTGCTTTCGCTCGGTGTGCTTCCACTGGATGGTCCAGGTGGCATTGTGGACAAGAAGGACACTGTATTGGCTGAAATGGGACTGAAGGTTGCAGGTGATAACATGCAGCTAGTGGTAGCGCTGGATGCGTTTGTTGTCTTATCGGGTGCTGTGCTGACTGCGTACGTCGGTATTGTCGGCCTTGTGCGTCGACTGGCTAGTGACCGTGTGGTACCAAATTTCTTGCTTCATGTGAACAAGGCACGCAGCACAAACCACTACATTATTATTGGGTACTTCATGGTGGCTACAAGTCTGGTGCTGATCTTACATGGAGACACGACGACACTATCAGGTGTATACACGTACGCCTTTCTAGGTCTCATGACGTTGTTCGGCATTGGCTGTATGCTGCTCAAGTTTAAACGCGCTGAGATTCCGCGGACGGTGATTGCGCCTTGGTGGAGCTGCATCCTGGGTGTATCGATGGTAGTGACGACATTTATGGGGAACTTACTAGGTGACCCAACGATTCTCACGTACTTCTCGCTGTACTTTATCGCTGTACTGTTGCTTGTGTACATCATGTTCGAGCGCACTTTTCTGCTGCGAATGTGCCTCTACTGCATGCGCCAATTATGCCCATCTCAACGCAACCACGACGAAAATGAAATCCATTCGCTGCGCACGGGTGCCCGCGGCGGTCAGACGATCGCCCGATTTATCCGCGAGATTAACGAGCCTGCCGTTTTCTTCTTCTGCAAAACCCCGAATCTTAACATTATCAACAAGGCCATCCTGTACGTGCGCACCAACGAACAAACGCATACGCTGTTCATCGTGCACTGTCATCCCCGTGGAGCAGTCGTGCCTGAAGGCTTCAAAGAGACAGTGTCTATGTTCGACAACGTCTACCTTAAGATCAAGCTTAACTTCCTGAGCGTTGAGGGCCCGTTTGGACCCGCCATGGTCGAGTGGGTGTCTCGCAAGTATAACCAGCCCAAGAATCACATGTTCATCAAACAACCCAATTACAACTTCGCTCACACAATTGCTGCGCTCGGAGGTGTGCGTGTGATAACCGGGTAAGCGTCAGCCGTTGCAACTTGAGTGTAACGTGACTCGGCATGGAAAGTATGGTAGATAACCTAGTATGCTGCTGTCCAAATGCAAGTTTTCTTACACTCTAAATGTCAAAGACGTCCTTATTGTTCTTGTGCGCGTAGTGAATGAAGTGATTTTGTAAGGCACCAACGTATTCACATGTAACATAATCGATGGCACCACTTGGATGAGGCGCAAGGATAAGAAAAGCTGCAAAGCTGCAACGTGCAACAACTTGGTAAGGTGTAACGTCTCTGTTTCTAAGTTCATATTGCGATAGATAAAAACTGTACACGGCAAGCGCCGCCTTCGATACCGGCAAAGCTTGACTAGGAAGGGCATGGAGTTCTCCCTAGTCAAGCCCTGCCGGTATCAGCTAATCCTCCTCAGGAATCGGCGCGAGCCTCGGGACACACTTGGGTTTCCTAGTCTGTGCTTGCACCGAGAAGCGTGCTTCAGCCTCCTCTAGCTTTTTGACACGCTTAGCAGCTGATGACAAGTGTACTTTGCGCGACCGCGGTCGTCCCTCAGCGCGGAGGGGGCGTCCGCCACCCGAAAAGCTACCGCGCGTGAAATTTAGCAGCTCGTTGCGAGCAAGTCCAGGGTCCGAATGACGAGACGTGGACGAGTTCGACTGTTGCTTGTACGCAGGGCGTTCCCTCTCAGAGGTGAGGCTCTGGCGCACTGCAGACAACTGCGTGTCATCATTCCACGAGTGTGTGCGTGCACGCCGGTCGTTAGAATAGGACAGAAGATTCGACGTCCTATTACGCTTAACGACCAGTCCGTTTGCATCCTGCTGCTGGCTGTCCACGTCTTCGTTCATAGACGCCTCCACCTGAAACTGATTTTCCTGTGAATCAGTTGCCAGTTCATCGCTCGTGTGCATCCACTCCCCAGTGCAACTACGCACAGCTTCATCGCGAGAGTACGAGTGGTTGCTCAGTCGGTCGAATCGGCTCACCATTGATGACGAACGGTGCGTCAATCCACTCATTGATAGGTTCTTCTTCCCCAAAGCGGTGCTGTTTCCTTCTCCATCGGTCTCGCTCATGTCAACGTTCAAATACGTGTAACGCATGTCGTTCACCAAGAGGAACTTGTCCATAAGTAGTCGAGTCTGACACGTCATACTCTCTCGACACGTACGTGCGTGTTTCGCGACAACATGCAAAAACATATTGAGTCCAGCGCACCGCGTTTCAAGCGTCTTTTCACGCAAATTACTGAACAGTCGACGACGCGGGAAGAGCACGAAACACGTGCGCTTTGACATAATGACGCAGTGCGCGCACATGTCGCCACTCTTAATAGCCTTCTCCAGTGCAAGTTTAAAGTTACGAAACTCCGAATAGCGTCGATAGACCGTCCAATTAAGATCAGGTGAACGCTCGTCCGATACACGTACGAGGAACTGCGTATGTGTATGTGCGCCAGAGATTGAGGACTTTGAGACGTGCGTGATGGTAGTGTGCAACACACACGATGGTGTCGTCGTAAGGACACTCTGCATGACCATGATAGTTGTCTACCTGTTATCTGGTGTCTCAATAAACTGCAATGCGTCCGTCACGAGGTCGTAAGAAGAGAAAACAGAGAAAACCACAGGTCGGACACGACGAAACAGGAATGAAATAATGAACGGTCTGTTGCTGACTTTGTGAATAAAGGCGGATCGGGGTGGCTGCGTCTATAATAATGCATACCTATCATTCTCGTTGTATCGACTTTTACAGGATATACATAGTCAATCTAACAGGATATTGTGATATATAATACACTGTCAAGAAGAATCAGTATGCGTTCAGAAATTTCGTTATCTTCTGCGTGTCCATCCCCCCCTAGGTTCAACTTCCAAAAAAAAGAAACTTTGGGTTCAGTTTTGAGGAGATCCTGATGGATGGACGTCTTTGTTCTTCACTAAGAAACTAGGCAGTTCTACGGAGCTTGACTTGAATTTGATCTTGACCTTGAGCTTGAGCTGCGAAAGACGAGCTCTCTGTTAGACCATGTCGATCGCAAAGCCTCGAGGCACAGACATGAACATATCTACGATTGGTGGGATCGAGTCACGAATACACAACAATACACTATTGTATGATTTCTATTAGCAGGAACCCCCTGCATGGGGATGCAAAGCTCAATACAAACTTGACCTAGAATGCTGGTACCATAAAGGACTTACGCCTTGTTTCTGTACATCTTTATTCCGATTCCGATGCTACAAGGCCAGTTACTGCAGGGACAGCCTTGCTGTGACGGCAAACTCCCCTTGAACCATGTCTTAAACCTTTACGATTCCCATCTGTGCACATGCCTTTTCGTGGCCCAATCGTCTACGATATTCGTTTTTTTTAACTGACTTTAATAGCAACGTTGCGTTTCTGACGCGCTGAGATGGGCACTAGGTCGGCTGTTCGTGCTCACAGCGTGGCAGATACAGATCCAGTAACACGCGGCTTGCCATGCGACTAGTTTCTAGCGCACAAGCTGTTTTTGCTACTTCAACGTACATCTGTGAAGCAGGTAAAGGAGTTTTATAGAATGGTCTCCTCGTACCTATGAGTCAGACAAGTTGTACCACGCATGAATGAATTCTTATTCTGTAACAATGATCTGGGTGATTGCACGATTCGTCATAGCATAAGGATGACGAGTGAATGCATACAAACATAGCGTTGCGAACATTTTACGCTGGTGCTACATGTACAATTGGCGGATCTGAGTGCATCACGTCGTGATTGGAGACACTACCATTGTCCAAGGTCAAAATGCTTCGTATCCGCTCCCTACCCAAGACGTACAAGCTCATTTCTCCGCCGACACACTAGGTATGGCCTCGGTCTCAGCAGCAGTTGCGTCTGGGATGATCTCCTCCAATCGCTCGATAGCTGCCGCCTGTACCATATACAGCTTCTTCTCTTCCTCTACAGCCTCTTGAAATTCTCCGACGATTTTTAGTAGCAACTCCTTTTTAAGGTTTACGGAGGCAAACACCTGTTCGGTGTCGTAGCCCGCATCCCGACAAGAAATGTAGGTGGCCGCGTAAGCCACCATGAATGGCGGATAGAGCAGAATGATGTCCGTCCGGTAAGAATATTGCACTAATTGCCTACATGATAATATCCAGTACAATGCATTAGTTTTAGCCACATGAGGCAATGACAGTGTGTAGTCAAGACCGACACCATCTTACCATGCAAGCTGAAGACACTCTTCGTGAATTTCAAATTCATCTAGGAGCCTGTGCAAAAGAGAAGGAGGTAAACACTAGCACATAAAAGAAAATGAATAGCGGTATAACGTACTGGAGAAGAGATGGAAACGGGTGATGCAAGATCAAATCGAACTGCAGGGCCTCAATCACGTAAAATTCGCATTCAAGAATATCCTTGTCTTGAAACGTGTACATGGACTCGTCTTCATCGACACCAGCTACAAGTGCAAAGAACCAGCCCAAAACAATACGTTCGTAAGTGCTATAAAACCTAGAAGTACTGCTGCAGTTAGCTCGCCATACTCGTGGTATAATGATGGAGAACAGACGCGACTGTTGTCAGGGACAGCTGACTCTCCTCTACCTTCGAAGCGAGAAAAAATACCGTTCCAACGATCAAATGTGGATCAAAGTTTACAAAGCTCTGGCTGTAGTCTCGTGCGCGTACAATATGACCATCAGACACCCTTCTCCACACCCGGCACAAAGTAGCAACGTCACCTTACGTCTGGTAGAAACGACGGTAGAAGATGATTGCCGTATAAATAATGATCTGGCGAACCCTCAACCGGGGTCCAATCTCCTCGAGCACTAGCATTCGTCATCAAGATGCAAATTGTCAGCTCTGCGATAGATCCCAATTGTCTTAGCAATTCGTCAACAGAGTATTCTCCAGTGACAGTCTATCACATCGGCCAAACGCAATCCTCACATGAAATATTGGCTAGATGGATGCTGTCAATCTCATCGTCCGTCAAATGTTTACGATCCAGTGGATTCCTCTTGCGCAAATCAGCCTTGGTCACGTCCTTCATCCAGTACAAACTGTATCATTAACAACATATAAACACAATTGACGGGACGTCAACTACATAAAAGCATTTCAACTCTTGCAATTCACAATCGACCCACGTACTAATGCGTAGAATGCCAGAAATTCATGCCCATGGTCTTCCGTAAACTTATTTTGCTATTTTGTACCCGAAATTGGTCCTGATCAATTAGCATCCGTCCAATACCGGTGTACAGTATACACTATACATGCTTTGGCACTAAACCAGTAGAGCCTCTGTAAACGAATCATCCGGTTAAAAACACCGGAAATAAAAGCGCACAAGCAGAAAAAAGACGAAGCAATATCTCGATGGTCGCGTCTCTACCTTCATTCCTGCTCGTATCTGCATGCCTGTCCACTGTCGTGCAAGCGGATGTTCCACCACTCAACTACCAATACGCTAATGCTTTGGAGAGCGATCCTCATCCGATTGTCCTTTATAAAGATGACGTATGGAACATGAACCGTGATGATAATGTCGGATTCTCACTTGGTATCATTAATGACAAAGAAGCCGCAAACTTGGGCAGACCTACGTTGACGGCGACCCCGTCGCTACTGAGGGACGGTGAAGATCTTTTAATTACCTGGAGTGGGGTGAATTATCCGCATCAGCAGGACTTTTTGGGTCTCAGCTGTGGCCCAAAGGCCCATGAGAATGATTTTCTAGTCAAAACCAGTATCACCGTCGCCAATCAATCGAGAACGAATGATCCTGAGATTCCTAATTCCGTCCGGATTTCGGGGCTGTATATGATGCGATGCAACTACACTGTCGAGTACTTTAATTTCCAGCCTAAAACGAACGTCTTTGCTCGTCTTGCTAAACTGCAAGTTGGAATGGTTGAAGCATTTACTGCCCCGAAACAAGGACATATTGCCTTTACCGACAATGTTGATGAGATGTCGGTGATGTTCAATTCGGCATCAAACGAGATACCTGTGGTCAAATACGGTCTTGATTCTACTGCATTGAATGGGCATGTCGAGGGCACATTTAAGACTTATACTGCAGCTAACTTGTGTAGCCTACCGGCAAATCTGACTAGCCAGCAATGGTTTCGTGACCCGGGCAATATGCATAAGGTCATCTTAAAGGGGTTGAAGCTGGGGACACGATATTTTTACAAGTTTGGTAGTGAAAAAGACGGCTGGAGCTTGATCTACTCATTCATGAGTCGCCCAGATCCGTCTGTAAAAGTCGCGAAATTCATAGCTTACGCTGATATGGGCGTCGATCCTGCACCTGAGGCGTCCTCGACGGCTATGCGGTCGTTTGAAGATGTAATGGACGGTTATGACAACTTCCTCTTGCACTTTGGTGATATTAGCTATGCTCGGGGTCACGCACACATTTGGGACGAGTTTTTTCACATCATTGAGCCGTACGCCACAAGGGTTCCCTACATGGTTAGTATCGGTAACCACGAATATGACTACACGTCAGGTGGCGCTAATGATCCTTCTGGAGCTGCAGGCGCGGACGGGAGAATGGACTTCCACCCGGACTGGGCCAACTACGGCGAGGATTCGTCTGGTGAATGCTCGGTGCCGATGTTCTACCGTTGGGATGCTCCTGCCAATGGCAATAGCATCTATTGGTACTCATTCGATTACGGTGGAATTCACGTCATCCAGATTTCATCAGAGCACGATTGGCGCCGCGGATCGAAGCAATATAAGTGGCTGGAGAACGACTTGAAGAGTGTGGATCGGACGCAGATACCGTGGATTGTCCTCACGTCTCACCGGATGATGTACACAACACAGGTCGGCGAGGAAGCTGACTACAAGATAGCTCAGCACTTTCGCGATGAGGTTGAGGACTTGCTTTGGGACTACAAGGTGAATCTAATGTTGGTGGGTCATCAGCACTCATACGAACGCAGCTGTGCAGTGCGCAAAGGAAAGTGTACTAAGGATGGCAAGGGGCCCGTCCACATTGTGATTGGATCCGCAGGCGCTGGCTTGGAGAAGCAAGGCTTCTCGAATAAGTTAGGTGAATGGAGCGTAAGTCACGTAAACGACTGGGGCCGCCTTCGCATCGACTCGACCGAGAAGTCCATGAGTGTGCAGTTCGTTCTAAATCGCAATGGTGTCGTCTACGATGATGTCACTTTGACTCCGTGGATGTAAGGAACATCGTAAGATGGCTCGGTATATCATTACATGTCATGAAATCAAAGCACTCGGTGAGCAAGACGCAGCAAGACATTGCGACAAGCTCCGACCATTAGTCACGTACTAAAAAAATGGAATTGTATTCTTTATGTCCGTCATTCCACTAGTCTGCCAACTCGCTGTCGTCTACAAATCCCTGTCTACCACTTCGTCATCATCATCCTCCGTCGCTTCCGATTTCGAGTGCTCGTCTTCCTCCTCGTCTAAGATCTTAGCAAACTTAGCGTCCTGGTCCTCCTCGTCTTCATCATCGTCCTTGAGAAGATCCTCGAGGTCCGGCACCTTCACGGCGTCAATGTTATCCTGATCTTTCTGTGACATATCGCTCAGGAGCTTGCCACTGTAAATATCGTCCGTGAACTGCTTTGTCAGCTCCATATACTCATCGAAGTCCGTCGGCTGGTTCATCACCCACACCGAAAAGCATGTGAAAGCAACAAGTCCAATAATGCGGTAAATACGCTCGGATGGGTCCGTCGAGCGCAGCGAGTAGAGAGGTACAAACGAGTCTGCAACCGAGAGGTTATCATCAAAGATGTTGGGCAGTAGCCAGTACTCGTAACCAATCATCCAGAGCATGAAGAAGATGAAGAGACGGACCACCACGAAGATAGCAACGAAGATAAGGAAGGTAACCGACATATACCACAGCGCTACCTTAGCCCATTGTGGCCAAATAGGGAAGCACGTGATTATCAAAAACCCAATGATCAGTAGCGCCGTCATAATGTTTCTCAGAGTCTTGGAACCTTCGTACATCCACGTGTAGTAGCCATCAGGAGAAAAGTCCTGATCGGGCGTCGGTTTCAGCAATTTCTTGTTCTTTGCATCACGCTCAGAGCGATGAATGTAGCTGTTTTGCACCAGTGCATGGCCCACAGAGTCAACATCTTCCTTGGTCTTGAGCTCTGGAAAGTATTTCTTCGCCATGGAGCTGGCAAGCAGGAACGTGGCCAGACGATCACCACGGAAATACTCCACACGTTTACCAAGCTCTACAGCATGACGGGAGGGCATACCCTTGCGTCCTCGCAGCAAGTCTGCCATCTTACGAATACCTTTCTCCGTTTCCCATGGTTTGTCCGTCGTCTGGGCATTCGAATCAAAAAGAGAAACAATAACATCAGTTCACGTAATCTTTCGTCATACAAAAAGAGCTCCATAGCGTACATACCGTGGACTCCGTGGCCGTCTCATGCGAGACTTCTTCACTCATTTTTTACTCCTTGTAATTGTTGGTCGATTCAACGCGTGGCCTATTTTGTAATGACACAACACACAAAAAACGCACTTACCATCAATTTCTCGACCCCCTCAATCAACAACCGTCTGTTTCAAATTCTTTTCCCAGCTTCTTAAGCAGCAACGAATCATTGAGTGACGTGGCTAACGTAGCAAAACAATTATTGTACCCATTTCATTTCGTCCAAAACAAAAATTAAATACACAAACCATTATTGGGCTCGGATGAGCGTCTCCGGTATCGTCCGTCCGCGCTTCCTGTACTCAGGGGCGGGATCGACGCTGCAATTTCCTTTAGACCACACACACATGTCCCAATTAGATCCTTCGTCCCTGGAAGGTCGTTTACAGGACGCGTATTTCGTTGCACCGGCGTCGCACATCGGACGTGTGGTCACTGGCGTCGTATTTGTAGCCGAACAGAGCCGCGTGAGTCGCGTCTTCGCTTCGGGTGCTGGTGGCATTGATCGCTTTGGCCTCACGATCATTTCGTTTGCTGATAAGCTAGCAGAACAGGGTTATAAGGTGCTAGTGCTGGATCTGTCCCAAGAAGGGAATGCGGCTCCGACGGACAGCGTCACACAGGAGCATGTAGCTATTGTACAACAAGCAGCGCTTTATCTTAAGAAAACACACGGTATTCAGCGTGTGGGGCTTTGTGGAGTGGATGCAGGAGCGGATATTGCGATCAAGGTGGCCATGGAGCACTCTGCGCCGATGGATTGCGTCATTGCCATGTGTCCCAAGGGTCTCGTGCCTTGGAAACCTTTTGGAGAAGAGCAAAGTGATGATACATTAAAGTCTTCTGTCATTCCAATACTAGTTCAATTGGGGGAGAAATCATCTTACGCTGCATCGGAGGCTGTACGGTTTGTTTTTTTTGCTGACGGCGTTGCTTGTTATAGGAGTAAGAAGTAATGTCACTGAGTACTGTTTGATGTTTTGTTTGTTTGTTGTTGCAGTACCAGACGCTATTGAGCTCGTGTGCGGGTAATCCACAGGCAGCAACGGCGCTTAAGGCGTCACTTTTTGTAAATCAGCACAGTGGTTTCGCATTCTCCAACATCACGGATGAAGATGCGGCAACGCAGGCAATTGCAGAGGTTCTCGACTGGCTTATACAGCATCTGCATCGTTTCAAGGTGGCTGCAGCTACTAGCGATACTGACCCATGGTGGCCTCAAGGCCGCAACGGTCCTTTTTTCAATGTCGGCCTGCACACATGGCAGGAATCGCGAGCAACTTGGCTTACTCCCACACAGGCACGGTGCGTTCTTGTTGTTTGCTTGATGTGTGCTGCGCTGCACGTTTTGATGGACCTGTGTTCGTACCGATTGATTATATCTCTTTAGTCCGCCACGCCCACCACCAGTACCTGCTCACTTGCTGTTCGACGGATTGTCGTCTGTGCGCAGAACTTTCGACTTGCCACAGCGTATGCGCCTAGGTGATGTCATTGAACTTTTCGCTGAGATTTGGGATGTACAACAATAGCCGCTGACTTCCTAGAGCATTTACGAAAACAATACCAAGTTATTCAGCCAACTTGTCACTCTTCATGTATCAGTAGCTAACTCATGTGTCTCTTCACGCTATCTACAGGGATGTGCGCATGCTCACTAACATTATGGTTGCTTTATCACTTTGGATATTGAAGCGTCATATCCTCTTTATAGCAAGAAATGAAATTTATAATCAATTAGAATCAAATCCAGTTTGCAGTCATTCTTATCATCGAGAAGTGCCACGAACTGAATGCAGAAATTGTAATGAATGTTGTGAAGGCGAACACAGCGCTGTAGCTTATAGTAGTACCAGGTGTAGACGGCCGCTTTGAAAGCCTGTAACGGTACATTTACACGACGGTTGGATAACCGGTAATAACGCATAGAGTGCAAACTTGATACTTGTCCTTACAATGGCATAAAGTGTCGACCATAAGATATGGTATCGGTAATACCGTACCTTATCGGATATGGCTCAATAAGCGATACAGTGGTACGAAGTACAACATACACTGATGACTCGCTGATGTGTCATCCATCAAATAGTTCTGCACGATAAGATCACTATCACAAGTGATTAGCCTTAGTGTAGGGTACTTTGGACAGGATTTATTATCATATCTTGATCATATAGTTCATATATTTGAGCAGAAAAGTGCAAGCCGGTCAGGACTTGGTACTCGTGAGCACTTTGTGTTATGAACTGTTAAGCTCTTTAGCTTGACTCTAAAGATACTGTAACAGGGCATCTAGTTATACGTAAACATAATGTATTATACTTAATGTTTGGTCTAAAAGTATCCATGATTACTTTTAACCTGTCACTTGGGTGCGATACACAAATGTGATCCACCCTCGTGAATGTGATATCCATTGATGGATTCACATGAGAAGGGATGACGCTAGTTAAAGCTAGGCATCGCGACGTCTCAGAAGGACGTCAGTTGCGATCTTAAACCTAGATTTAAGCTCATGCGACAGGATACGCTTTTAAAGAGTCGCGTATCCGATCTATATACATATATATATATAGCCAATCAGTAGTTAAGCATATATTTAGTTATAATTAATTAAATATAGCTCAGTCATGAATTTACTTAAACATACGCACCACGCACCAGAAGTTGCAAAGCTTCTGCGTGACGTCGGTGCTTTAGTGTTAAGAAGTTCGTGCACTCTCGCTCAAACGAGAGGCAACTGGTGGTACGAGTCCACCAACCACACAACTACCCTCGCACGCGAAGGCAAGACGGTCTAACCGCTTCCTCGCTTGTGCTGAAGGTGTGTGCTAGTAGCACGAGGCAACTTCGTAGAAATTCCCGTCTACAGATACTACCTAGTTCCTTAGAACGGATAGCCTCCTTCTTAGTCGTTGTTTTTAGTTTCACAGAGCTAAGTAGCCTTTAAGCCGATACACTTAAGAAGTTCTATAAAACTAAGAGGCTTTTTAGTAAAGGTCTTCCTCGGACTAAAACGTTGTGTAGCTCCGCTACACTTGATAGCACTTGTCGTCAATCCTACACCTAAGTCATTATGAATGAACCCTCTGTGAGGATGGTTTTATCTTTACAATTTGCCACGAAGGTCCTATTCGCTAGCGGTGTTACTAGCTGTAGAGAGGAGGTCGGTGGCGCTGTGATAAAAGGATCCTGACCTTTTTTTTAAGTGTTACTCTTGCTCTATAATGGACCAGCTGTTCTTGTTCTCCATCACTCCTTTCCACCAACCCAGCCTACTACGCTCCTGGCCACTCAATCTCCCATCCATCGATCACGTTCGAACTACTGTTTAATTAATCGCCCTACACCTTGCTAAGTCGTCAGCCGTTACTTCAACCATTACGCATGAATGCCTGATTCTAATAGGTCCGTTACTATGTAGCGTCAGCTTTGCCATCGCACTACATACCGGTGCTCAATGAAGAGTTAAATGGTCGTCCGATTGATCTAAGCGTTAAGACTTTCGTAAGGCAAGAGGGGGGACCCCTTCTCGGGATCCGAGATGTGGAAGTGGCAATGAGTGGCGCTATGCTCAGGTCTGAGCAACAACGAGTGGTCTTGGCCTTTTCCAAACTTGTTGGTAGTACTAGGGAGTAGGCATTAGCATGCGACGCGTCTGTAGACGCCGCGTTCCCCACATGGGATACGCTCAAGCAACAGATGTCCAGGTTGTTCGCATCGCCTAACCAGGCTTATCGCGTGCTATCACGCTTCTTAGCTTCCCGGCAAGGGAAAAAATAATTATCGGAATATGTCTAAGAGCCTAAAACTTTCCTTGCTGCTATGCAGATGAATCTCTCTCAGGGGAGGTCCGGGTGCCCATTTGTATGGAAGGCCTCCGTACTGGAGTTGCCAGGACAGAAGTCTTTTGTGTCCACCCTTCGATCTTCGAAAAAGTGGTCGATGTTGTGTTGAACGCCGAGTTCACCTTCAAATGCGGCTCGATTCGGTACCCATGGGCATCCTTCACGATCAATTGATGAGATCGAGTTCATGGACCTCAGATATGCTTATGGCGAAGAAGCTGCGCTTCAAGCTGCTGAGCAGCAACGTAACAACTGTAGATGTTACATGTGTAGAAGTAACAGGCACCTACGCCCAAGTTGTCCGCTGCGAAAGCAACGTCAGAACCTTTCCGTGGAGAAAAGCCTTAACCCTGCTCCAAGCCAAAAGGCGGGCATGGCGGAGTAAATGCTAACTCACAGTAGACGCGCGGCGCCCTACTGGGAATGAACTAAGTTTTGTAGAGCCTCTAAGAGGTAGGGGTGAAGATGGCTTACCCCAAAAGGCTTTGCGGAAACTACCCAAAGCGTGGAAGGCTTATTGGTTGTTTACCAAGTCCCTAAGCCAAATGCTCTGCCAGCTCCCTATGATGTTGGAATAGGTAAGGAATATCCCCCAATCCATATTGAGAACGACGCGCACTCACGCACGCTCAGAGAGACGGGTCATGGGTAGGACAACTAGTGGGACGAAGTGTAAACGTAAAGTGTAAACGGGCATATAAAAGAAGCTGCCACGTGCTACTCTGGCACACTCCTTCAAGCACGCGAGGAAGCGGCTAAACCGTCTAACCTCCGTGTGCGGTGGTGGGGCGATTGGTGCGACCACTTAAGCGATCATCCAACATTGCCGGTCGCCAAAGTGCAGCGAACATCGAAACAAGTGCCTCACTTGCGTCACGCAGAAGCTTATTCAGCTTCTCGTGTGGAGTGCAATAGTTAGCAAATTCTAGACTAACTTACATTTTTAATAATAAATAACTCAATACAACTGATTGGTTGATCATGCAAAAATTGGATACGCGTCTCTTTAGAAGCGTATCCCTACGTGCGAGCTTAATTATATTTAAGCTCGCTGATGACGTCTGACTGTGGCGTCATCGTGACGCCTCATCCCAACTGGGCGTCGTCCCCGTCGAATGTGAATTTATCAATGGATATCGCATTCACTAGGGTAGGTCACATTGATGTGCCTTACCCAAGTGGGAGGTCTAAGGTACAACGTACCGTTTTAGACCTCCCCACAAAGTATCATATACTTAACACACTCGTGTGACTATTGGCCCGTTACACTAAGGCTATTCTCTGTCGGTTTGTAGAGCAATGCTCAGAACTCAGTGGTCCAGCGCCAACAATTGTGTGCATCCAACATCATTCAACAAATAACTAATGGGAACTACTAATGTATTGAGTACTTCAATCCGTTTGCATCCATCTACATGCAAGCTACTTCGTAGACGTTCATCACGTAAGCCGAAGCTAGATTCAAGGTCTCCTCGCCCTATAGTTCATCTTTTTCATCGATAACGTTGGCTTCCCCAAGTCCAACTTCCCTGTCCAGATCTTCAGCATCGTCCTCTTCGTCAACTACCTCTTCTTCGTCCTCCGGTACTTCGATCTCAGGTTCCAGCTCTAGACTGGTGATGCCCATGCTATTTCTCATGATGCGGTGAATGCGTGATGAGAAATGATCGGTATCAGATAAATCGAAACCCGAGTTAATGAGAGCAGTGTCGTAGAGTAGCCAAGCAAGGTCCTTGGTCTCCTCATTTTGAGGGTCGCTTATCATCAGGTCATTCAGCTTGGTAATGATAGGGTGGCGAGGGTTCAGCTCCAAGATTGCGGATCCAGTGCCGTACATGGGTCCGTTTCGATCGCCTTTCGCAAGAGCCTGCGCCTGCATGATACGCTGCATGTTAGCCGAGTAACCCCACTGGGAGGTCACCATGACGGCTGGCGAGTCCACCACGCTCTGCGACATAGCAACACGAGATATCTTGTCTCCGTAAAGCGTCTTTAGAGCCGTCGTGAGGGTTACGTATTTGTCCGCGTATAGCTGCTTGCGCTTCGTCATAAGCGACGCATCCTCATCGCCAAACTTGATGCCTTCTTTGGTAATAGATACCAGTTTTTTGCCATCAAACTCCGCAATGTGTGACGCCATGTACTCATCCAGAGCATCAACGAAGTATAACACCTCCAGGCCCTTAGCGCGCATCTTCTCCATGAATGGCGATTTCTCGCAGGCTTCAGCACTTTGGGCAGCAATGTAGTAAATAGAGTCCTGCCAGCCTTTCATGCGGTCCACGTATTGCTCCAAGGAGGTCCACTTGCTATCACTCTCGCTTGTGGCAAAGCGTAGCAACTTCACAAGCTTACCGCGGTTGGCAGCATCATCCATCACACCCAGCTTTATGTTCTTGCCAAACTCTTCCCAAAACTTGTTGTACGACGCATTGCTATCTTCTTCCTCCTCCTCCTCCTCCTCCTCTTCCTTTACACTCTCATCAGACTTAGTTCCAGATGCAGCGTCGGACGAAGTGTTCGCCACATCTTCGTTCTCCTCATCTTCTTCATCGGTCTCGCCTTCATCCTTTTCCGACAATTTTCGTAGCATTTCCAACACCTTGCGAACAAGCTTCTTGCGAATGACGCGCAAGATCTTGTTCTCCTGCAGTGTTTCGCGAGATACGTTGATCGGCAAGTCGTCCGAGTCCACAACGCCGGTGATAAAGTTAAGGTATCGTGGCAGGAAGTCATCAAAATCGTCAGTGATGAGCACCTTGCGGACGTACAGCTTGATGTCCGCCTTTTTACTCTCAAATCGTGTATACTGATCACTTGGGGCCTGGCCAGGCAGGTACAAAATCGACTTAAATTCAATCTCTCCTTCACCCTGGAAATGTATCCACGTCAGTGGATCCACGTTTTCCGCCTTCCGCAGCGTGTGATAGAAGCTTGTGTACTCGTTGTCGCTGATGTCGTCCTTAGAGCGCGTCCAAATAGCCTTAACTTCGTTCACACGTTCCCAGCTCCACACTGTGCGCGTCTCTGTGCGGATCTTCGGAGCCTCGGACTTATCTTCTTCGACAGTTTCCAGTTCTTCGTCATCGTCACTGGTCTTCTCAGTGTTTTTCTCCTCGTCCTTATCAGCCTCAGTGACATCGCTCGGCTCATCTTCCACTTCGTACGACTCCGTCGTGCTCGTGTTTATGTAGATGGGGAACGTGATAAACTCGCTGTAGTGTCCAACGAGATTCTTCAGCTTGTCCTGATCCTGAAAGTCATTAGCGTCCGGCTTTAAAAACAGCGTAATCTCAGTACCACGGCCGAGCGTGTCACCTCGTGGGTCCTTCGTGATCGTATAGGACGCATTGGCATCCGATTCCCAAATGTATTGATCGTCATCGTGATTCTTGCTCACGACACGCACGCGGTCAGCCACAAGATACACAGAGTAAAAGCCTACACCAAACTGACCAATAAGATTGCTATCTTCAGTGCCAGACTGCATGGCTTCAACGAATTTAGCCGTGCCAGAACTGGCCACTGTGCCGAGATTGTTGACTAAATCGTCCTTTGTCATACCCACACCCGTGTCTCGGATCGTGAGCGTGTGTGCGTCCTTATCAAAACTAATACGGATCTCCAAGTCTTTCAGTTTACCGAGCAGCTCATTATTGGACAACGCCAGGAAGCGGATCTTGTCCAGCGCGTCCGAGGCATTCGAAATGAGCTCCCGTAGGAAAATCTCTTTGGTCCGGTACAACGAGTTGATGAGAATGTCCATGAGTCGTGAGACCTCAGCCTGGAACGCAAACGTCTCACCACCAGTCATAGGATCAGCTTGTAGCTCATTCTCGGGTGGATTCGACGTGTTTCTGTTGCTGAGATACCGACGAGAGAATTAGTTCAATTAGATAAAGCAACAAGACAATAGAAAAAGTAGCAAGACGTACCCTGATGCGTCTTCAATGATAGTAGACACTTCCGCGCAGCTGCCTGTAAAGAGCGAGCTGTAGCACAGAACCACAGTCCCTAGCAACAGCAGCAACGACGAGCGGCGGCTTCTTCTCATAGCGATCTTAACTTGAATAGTAAAATTGAATAATGAATTAGTTGAAATGGATGCATGTTTAGAGCATAAATTGCTGCGAATTAGACGATAAATATGACGATTAAGCAAACTGTCCACGTGTAAAGCGCAGATGTGGTTTCTAGAACACTTGCCAAAGTTGATATAACACGGGAAGATCGACTTAAGAAGGATACAGCTCGCCATTGTCCATTTGTTAAGCAAGTCATACTCAGTCTGGTGGACCTAAACATGAAGACAGTGGCATTTGCAGCCGTGACTTTTTTCCCGGCAGTATTTGGATGGACAGACAAGTGCGTGATGTGTAGAATGTTTGTCATGCTGATTGAGATGCTCATTCTATTGCTTATGATGTACATGATTGCCAATAGATGGGACCACTCCAAGCGCTTCAATGCTGCTGGCCACGCACAGCTCGACTGTGACGGTACAAGCCAACCGGCATCTTGCTGCAGTACGTCGATGCTATGAATTGTTTATCGAATCAAGCTTGTTCTTACAAAATGTGACGTTGCGTTTCTTTTTTTGACTTTCAGTCTGCAAGTCGATCGTGTTTGAGGTCGAAACGCAGCTGAACAATACGCAGGTCAGCGTCATTATCTTTGCAATGACAAGTAGGATGAAAATTCTGACACATTGACGTCGATATACGCGTGTTTTATCGTTACAGAATGACTACGACATGGACGTTGTCTTTCGCATCAGCGAAGAGAAGAAGCGGATTAAGTATTCCCGCAGCGAGGTTCATCTGTTGGCACCGTTTCATATTACGTCAAGAATGCAACTCTCATTACATTGTACTACCTCGTTGCATTCATGACAGGCTCGTATTCTCGAGGTATTGGATGATGTGTGCAAGCAAGTCCCGCTTAATTTTCCCAGCAGCAACAACGTGGCCACGCGAATGCTGAGTGCTGCAGTACGTATCATGCAACACATCGACCTCGGATCACGGATGGCTTTGGTTTCTAATAAGAAAGTCACCCGTGTATGCTTGTAGTGCAATGACTTTGTCGGTGAATACGAGGACGAGCTTACGCGCATCTTCTTTGACGACTTTACGCCTGCTAAGGAGCGGATGTGCGTAAGTATATTACAAGGTAGGCAATGTCGAAATGTATTTCCTGTAGACCAAGATACGTATTTTAACATGTGTTCTTGGAAAGTCTGCCCCGACACGACGTCAAAATTCGAAGAGCTCTAACAGCGCTGCTAAATTGGAGTGGACGTAGCTTGACTTTGTCCTGTAAACATTGTAGACAAATGGACAACGACAAGTAGCGTTCGTTTGAACTTCGAAGTATATCGCTTCTTCTGTGTTGTTATTTTTCTTTCCCGAAATTAGACAGGTTTGTTCCTTACATCAGAGTGTCCTGAGTAGAATCTTCGTCACCATCTTCGCCCCAGCACGACGGTTTACCCTTTCGCCATCGCTCCTCCAGGTTCTCCATCGTGCATTTAAACACTGGCTTGTGGATCTTGCGGTTTACAATGTTGTGCTGCTCGCACAGCCACATTGAGAATGATGTGCGCGACTCCACGCTACGTAGAATACAAATAGCGTCTTCAGCTATATTTAAACACCCTGCTAGTGCCGTAACTCACAACAACATGAGAACAACACATTACCGTGGTGGCGATTTAACAATCTCTTTTTGAAAATCGTTGGCGCAATCCACGCATGGATACATCAGTGCCAACGCCTCAATAAATGTCTTTGCCTTAGCTTGATATTCTGGTGATGGTTTATCCGGATAATAAATTCCCATCGAATGCAGCTGCAACAACCGGAAAGAAATCGTACAAACGTTAGGCCCCCTACACAAGTTACTGCTATCGTCACAAATGCTCACACACCAGTCCCCAAGTGGCATTGCCCAGTTCTTGTCGATCCAAAGGGCAATCGTTGGCTGGTGTAGGATGCGCAGCTGCCTTGCTGATCTTTTTGCTTACGGCTGTCTTGAAAAACTCCATCTTGTCGGCGCATGCCGGCTCCACACAGTTTGGGTCGCTCTTGGTTGCTACCATTACTTCCAGGCTCGAGACGAAATTTCTCTGCAACTTCTGCGCAACTTCACTAATGTTGCTCGATCCATAAAAGGAGAAATAGTCGACTTCGACTAGCCGTCTATCGGCATGTTTGTGTGCGTCCATTGTCTGTTTCTTATACATTTTCTGCTTTGGTGTTACATATCACTATTTCCATCTCTTGCTATCCGCATGAACGTCTTACCCAGGACCTTGGTGGTTTTTAGCACCATCAAGCACTGCAGTTGCTACTTAGAGACTTGGGCATGCACGTTCATATTCGCCAGCTGACAAGTTCGATACTATCACAAAAAAGTCAGCAAGCTGAAGACAAAGTCCCAATGTACTCATGATAATCCCGTGATAGGCTTTTCTCTTTCGTCTGGCATGTTGCTGATGCGACTTATTCTGCTTGCTGGCCTTGGCGATGTATGCTCGATACTCGCCATCGACTATTCCTTCATCTCGATCATTTTGATTACACCGTCGCGATTGAAGTTCTTTTCACTCGAAGCCTTGTCACCAACGTAGGCAAGCAGGTTCTTGCTGGGGTGCCAACTCAAGTTCTGTAGAGTATTCTGAAGTTGCAGATTGACGACTTCCTCCCCGCTTTCCACGTCCACCACAATCAAATTGGGGTCGTCCATGCCAATTGCTATAAATTTGCCGTCGTGGCTAAAGCGAACAAACCGAATGCCCGATCTGTCATCACGCATTTACAATATGTAAGCGATCTCGTCATTTTTTACATTTAGAGGTTAGAGCATAATTACGTACGTTGTGACGACAAACGTTTTGGCGCAGTAGAGCTCCTCCAAGTCCCAGAGGCTTACGAGCGAGTCCACCCCTCCTAAAACCAAGTATCTGAGTGGATACGACCACATCATTAGCATTTGTAGTGCATTGATCAATAAGAGCTGTATTCCACGCAATCCGTTACCTTCCAAACGGGTGAAAGTCCAAGCAAACGCAGCTTCCTGCATGTGCAGTAACCTATTCACATCCACAGTAGGTCTTTAACAAACTATGTCTGCCAATTGTAAACCGTCAGCAACAAACTCGCCTTAAGCGCGCTTTCCAGATTGGGGTTACCCTTCTGCTCGGATACCACTCGCATGATCTCGAAGGTCCCAAAACCTGCTGCATGACCAGCCGCTACGAACAGAAATCCTGACTTGCTGAACTGCATCTCAAAGGACTCGAAAGGGTTCACGACTCGCCGCACCACGCGCGCTTTGTGCGTGTCAATGAGTGTAATGCAGTCCAGATTTCCTACCACGACATACTTGGCGTCATGACTGTAGGCAATATTGACAGCATCGCTGGGTAGCGAAATGCTGTTGACGATGCGACCGGTCTTGGTGTCCCAGAAGCGCACGGTCTTGTCGGCACCCGTGCTCGCCAGGCGATGAGGCATCGTAGGGTCCCACATCAATGACAGAATCGATTCCGAATGACCACGCAACTCCATTAACTCCCGTTCCTAAAGACATATACAAGCATCAGCATTTTTATTGACTACGAGAACCGATGCTGAAGCTTACAGTGACGGGGTTCCAGATGCGGATACTGCGGTCATTGGATCCTGAGGCTAGCATGGAGCCATTACAGTTAAATCCAAGCGCATATACCTTACGCGAGTGTCCACTTAGCTCTGGAAGTTGCACGTGCGCCACCCTATTGCGCATCGTGCGCTGTGTCATTATTAATAATTAATTGGAATTCCATGCTGACCTCTAGGAAGGAATACTTTGCTGGTATTTTATTATAATCACATGTTATTTATTATACGGAGCTGCTCTATTCGGTGTGAATCTAGCAATTTTTTCCTACTTATTTTGTACGTCTTGAAACTCATGGAAATGTTAATAGCAACGGTATAATAAAACGTCAAGCCGTCACTACATCAAGCACATCGATAATACGAGGTATACCGTGCACTAAAGCTTATGGCTGCTCAAACTGAACGAGGTGGAGACATGCCGATACTGGAGGATAATCGTCTTGGACGCACATCTTCTGTCTCATTGGACGTCACGCATGGACCGTTTGAAGTCTCGTGTAGCCCTCCCCACCTGTTACGAGACGCCACCATTGGGTACTCTGATCGTTTGAAGAACGTATACGAACAAGAAAACATTGTCCTAGCGACGGCTGAAGGGAGAGAGGAAGAGCTGCAGGTGTACGACCAAGCTTCCAGTAAATGGCGCTTCTACCGGATACTGTGTCAAGTCCGCTTTAGCTATCTGTCGTTCCTGGTGGCCATGATGGTGCTCATGTTCTCCTTCACGCTATTGATGGAGATTTTCTTTGCCATTTTCCTACCAAGTGCCAAGTTTGACGACCATTATACAGTACGAGCAGTGATTTTCTTGGTGCTACTGCCGGTGGTGCTATTTTTTCTGTCCTACATCTTTGAGGAAGCCTCGAGATTCTTTCTGGATGCACTCGACAAGTCAGACGGCTCGCTCCCAAACTTTCGACTCGCGCTGGCTGTTGTAATTCACTATCTTCGCCATCGAACGGAGCTAAAGGAGATGGAAGAATTGGATGACCAAATACATGAAGAGAATGCAATACAAGACGACGAGCTGCAGAGAAGCCAGACGAGTGTAGTTCCTGGCGGGAAATTGCAGACAATAGGGCCGTTACTGCTGACGGCGAAGAATGATCCGTTCTTGGACGATGACAAGGAGGAAGACGACGAAGCCTGGCAGCGCAAGGAAGCGGCTGCGGTAAAGCAACAGGATGCAGCAGAAACGATGGAAGCGCGCAGTGCGAGGCTGTCGGCAGTAGGTGAAAGCTCACCGAAGAAGAGTGCGAAAAAACGATGGAAGCGCGCGCAGGCAGCTATAAATACCACTATTCTTATTAGAAAGGTGCAGGATGAAGGACCAGCAATCGATCTATCGACGTTTGTTGCTGTGGACATTGTGTGTCCTGTGCTTTTTGAGGTGGCGACGGCAGCTTCAATGGTTATAAAGCTCGCGACAACTTGGTCAATATCGGGCGCATTCTTGGCCTACGTGCAGATGGGTTTCTGGTGTGTCAGCGTATACCTGCTGCTGTGGATGATAGCGCATTTTTGGAGCAGCCGTAATGGTAAAATGCGCGTCCTTGTGAGCAACTATCGCCGTCGGAGGCGTATCATGCGTCGTGCTGTTCGCACTTTTGAGCGAGAAAAGCGCGCAGAACACTTGTGGCTGTTGACTGTCGGCTTTCGTTTCTTCCATTACGTGGGGCTTGCGCTGCATCCAACGCATTGGACTTGTTGTAACAAATTCAAGAAAGACAAGAAACAAAGCAAGATGCCTGCCGATGGGATTACTATTCCGACTGCAGCAGCTGGAGATCCTGACCAAACATTGACAATTGCTGCCAGATCTGGTGCAGAATCTAGTCCGAATGCTGGCCGATCACGTGCTACGTCTGTGTATGTCTCGCGTCTCCAGCAAATGCAGGTATGGGTGCGTGCGTGCAACCCGTGGCAGCATCTCTCTCTAAACGTCCGTGGTGTGATTTTGTTGGTGCTCGTGATCGGGTCAGCTTTGCTTTCGCTGGAATCTTTTTTCATCGGATGGCCTGTAATGGGTATGTGCCTTATTTCCTTGAGCTCTGTCGTACAAAAGCGATTCCCGCAGATCTTTGGCCAAATGTTCCGGAAATTCATTTCGGCTTTCGTCGTCGTATCACTATTTTTCTTTTCGTCATCTTTCATCATCGGCACTTTCGTACATGGTGGTGCTTTTCAGCTGGGCACATTTGACAACTCGACTGAATTGGTAACCAGCGAGCTCAAAATCACCCATGATGTTTCAGCTTCAGTTATCCTTAGCGGAAAAGTGATCAACTTCGACGATACGTCTGAGTACGCGGCTTGTAGCCTACGATATCATGGACTCTCCGTGCTGGATTTAGCGTTGATAGCCGACGCTGCCTATGGCTCCAGCACAGCTATCCAGAAATCTGCACTCGAAAATCGTTTTAACGGAACAGAGTTAGAAGACTGGAAATATGTTGCACGCAACAACGAGATTACGGATGGGCAAACCTGGATGAAGATTTACTTTCCGGCAGTCAATTTGACGGTCATCGCGATTCGAGGTACAGCCACCGCAACGGAGGCTCTTGAGGATTTGCATTTCTGGTTCGGCATCTGCATTATGCAGGCAGCAAACATCTTTTTGCCACTCCTAAAGCAGTTGCCTCGCGCTTTCGTGGTGAGAATGTTGTCCATGCGTCTCATCTCGAGTGTGATGCCGTCGCCTGTTTATACGGACGTGCTGAATCATGCTGTTGATACACGTGCTCGTGTGGGGGACAACCTTGTGATCACTGGACATAGTCTAGGTGGATCTATTGCTGCTATGATCGGTGCCAAGACTAAAACGAGCGCCGTGTCATTCTCAGGACCTGGATTACTCTACTCCGTAGGACGCTTTGACATCACCTCACGAGACGTTCGTGATTATGTTCTGACAATGAAGCCTAGGAAGGATATCGTTCCACAGGTAGATGAATTGGGTGGTCTAGTGCAGGAGATTCGCTGCAAGAAATCATCTCCAATGGGTTGCCACAGCACGAGTACTCATCTGTGCGAATTGTATTTCTCCTGCGGTGATCCAAGACAGCGCAACTGGTCGACAAACAAGCAGTGTATTGCGTACAATGCGCTTACATCGGACGACAATGATGAAGATACGTAGCTCATGCGTAGCTGGAAAGATGAAGCCTGAGTTTGTTAGTAGGAGTAAATGTGGTTCAGTCTGAAAATGTGAACTGGATACAAACATGAATTTATAGACTATAGAGTAGCACGTGGCTGAGGCTACTGCCTTTCATTGCGCAACGACTGACACATCTCGCTGTCGTCGCCAATGGAAACAACAGCTTATCCGTTGCCAGCAGCAGAAACCTGCTCATCATTGAACACAAATAACGAGCTTAGACAGCTTATGCACAATACAATACAGTAAGAAATAACTTACGCGAGGCACATCGTGATGTTCTGTGAGACTGCCAAGGTGCTGATTGAGCTCTTCGATGCGCTCTCTGTACGTCTTTGACGCCAACTTTTTTATCTCCTCTTGCTCCTGAAACATTGCAACATCACAGCATTAAACTGACTGTTGTATCGGCACGAAATAATACACAAATAGACAGACCCTTTTCTTCTGGTGCTCGGCGTGTCGACGTTGTGCTGGGGTCATTTCCTCCGTGTCCACCTCCACGTCACCGATTATCTCCTGATCATGGCGCTTTTCTTCTTCATTCTCTTCACGCTTGCTCTCCTTCTTCTTTTTATTCTTGCGCTTGGACGACACTTTCAGTTTGCTACCGTTCTTGAGCTTAAGTTTTCCTCTCTTCACATTCTCCATATTGCTACAAAGAGTGAATTTCGGTAATATTTCATAAGCGGCTATTGTCATTTTTAGGAAAGGTAGAAATACGGTATCCGGATAATAATACATCTTGTATACACTATTGCATTGACATTTGATATTTATTTGTTTGTTACACGAATGGAAGAGAACGCGGATACTCCGTCGATATCTGAGGCTGTGACAGCCACTGACAACGTCACGACAGCAACGATTACACCTGCAAGAACAGCCACTGATTCTGCAACTTCTACTGATGCGTCTATGCAGGTCGTCACTCGTCTAGGGGATTTGGGACATCCCAAGCATCTCAAGTACATTAACCACAAGTTGCTCCGCGCTTTGAAGCCCGGCAAGGAGCGCCAGGCGTATTTAAAACGCGTAAGAAAGCGGCACGGCGAGAAAAAGCGCCAATTCAATGCGCCTTCATCTCCGCCGGTAGTTAGCCGGCCATGGCTACGAGCTGATGCTGATACGCTCATACCCAAGACCAATTCATCTGCTACGATGACAAATGGTCGTCCCAAACGCAAAGGATGGTGGCCGAAAGGTGTAAGCACCAAGTCTTACAGATCTTTAAAGCCAGGAAGAGAGCGTCAAGAGTTGATGGACAACTATCGAAAAAAACATGGACTCGAGTCGAAGTCTGCACCGAAGAAGCCGATACCGACGAATTTTGCCTGGCCAAAGGGCATGAATCGCGAGGAATTTCTTGCCAAGAAACCAGGAAGAGAGCGTATGGCGTACTTGGCTAGATACATCAAGAAAAACGGTGTTGAACTGGAAAAGGTTGCAGCTCCTATTCGAGTGCCTCTAGGTCGTAAACCAGAGCCTCTATCGTATCCTCGTTGCGGTTGCTCCAGCTCTGAAGCATGTGCGTCCTGTAGCAGATGTGTGGAGTTGCATTGTGTCTGTGGATTAACGGGACGTCGACGTCGTGCCTTGTGTCAGGAGTCACGTGCCTGTAGTTGCACTTTGATTAAACCTACGATGCGTTGCGCACTTTGTCATGGCTGTCGACAGCCACACGGTTTTAGCCATTGTCGTTGTATCCTGCACCAACGACTCTTATGGATAAAGAGACACCCGGAACTTGACATGAAGCTAACAAAAGAAGAAGAGAAGGCAGTATGTAACTGCTTTGTGCTCATGCATCGGCATGGAGGAGCTGCTGCTACAAAGGAGAAGGAAGCAAAAGTGCTGAAAGAGATTGAACGTGTCCGGCGCATAAAGAGAGCTACGGGTTTTCCGACGAGTGATAATATTTATCGCAGCAAGAAGATTACAACATTTCTTGGCGATGAAGGGTTGGAAAGTGACTATGATGATGGATTGGATGATGGACTGGGCTCAGAAGTACTCCCTCCCAGCACTAAAAGTGTCGTTCCGCGCACGATGACCGCGAGGATGGTTGATGCTGAATACCATCCGGCCTCGTATCACGATTTATTTCGGTCAGAAGGATGTACACTCCTAGAGGGCATTGAGCCTCGAAATGGACGAGCCAGGTGTCGTCCGGCGCCTGCTGCGGTAAGTTATGCATGGCATGCTCCTTTTATCCAGCCCATGCCGCGATAGACTAATACTCTTGCACCCGTGGTTTCTCCAGTTTATAAGTGAAGCAATGCAGGATGAAGTTTGCCGCGGACTGGAGAACTATGTGTTTGAACTTGGTAGGTCGTCATTTTCAGGAACTTTAGCCATCCCAATGCACGTGACTTACAGCGTTGGTGTGATATTTTCGCTGCTCTTATACAGACCGAAACGCTACAATGCCACCTGATGTACGTATACGTATACCATTATCGAAAACATTCGGAAAATGACTGTTTAATTTGCTATTTGTTACACGCGATAGGATTTGGTAGACTATTTAGTGTACGTGGCGAGCATCAAGGCATCAAACATTGGGGAGCTCATTGGAACCTTTGAAGACTCGGCTGCAGTTGCCATGGGCATTGTTATTGAAGAGTATATGACACAGCTGATTGAAGACCATGTACTGCAGCAGCAGGCATTATGTCTTCTAACAAAAGCGAACGTGCAAGCATTCACGCGTGAAATGCTTGTAGGCTTCAACTGGCAGCTCTTCCAGGATCAACATCCGTATTCATGCTCAGAGACAGTGGACGCCATTACAGCGCTGATAGACAAGGAGGCAATCCTCAAGGACAAACTAGCAACATTGATTTTGCACGAATTGATTACGCTACAACCGCGAGACTTCAATGTGAAGCACTACAGCGACAATCTGTTCAAATGGATTCGAAAAGCTGTCGTTATTCCTCTTGTCGTGTTGACAAGTGAGACGAGCTGGCAGTCAAGTTCCGAGACGAGAACCGATCAGCAAAGTATGAATACCAGCAGTCAACCAGAAAATCGCCAAGAAAATGAAGTGGGGGAAACACAAGTGACCTCACAAATTCGTATGGCAGTAAAAGCGAGCCCTGTACATGGCAATCCCTCGTACAGCCTCCGTTTTGCAACAACGTTAGAGGATGGGCACCATCTGGAGACATCTGTCGGCGGACTAGACAGCAAAATTAGAGCGAATGCGATGATCTCGCAGCTAGCAAAGGTTGTGCGGCGTCAAGAAGAAAGAAGTATGGGCACGCTGAAGGACCCGCCTCCGGCTCCTGGACCTCCTCCCGTTCTTCACCCGCCACCCTCAATCGATCAGGAAGATCCGTATGCCAGCATGCTTGAACATGTATGGGAGCATTTTAATGGCTATGCGTTGCAGAAGTGGCAGGCATCTGTCGATATGTATTTTAGCTCGACATTGGGGGGCCAACAAGATTCGGTTTCGAGCCAAGGATCTACAGCAAAAAGACGAAGCACGAGGCCGCCGCCCGGGGCCACCTCCTCATCTTCAAAGAAACGGAGAAGTGCTTTTGACAAAGCTGAGACGAGATTTGCGAGCCCAAAACATGAGCAACTATAAATACCAAGATGGACGAGGAGCTGAGTAAGTTTTGGTTCAGCTTGCTATGAGAGGACAAGAAACGTTTTCTCACACGTCACAGATTTCATTTGTAAACACCCCCTATTCATTACAAAATCATCGACCTGAAGCTCAAGAATCAGGTATCCCGTTCATATGTTATCACAACTGGAAGCCGAACGCAAAGGCAGTCCTGTGTCTGCCCGTGACTTGGCGTACGTGCTGCACAAGAGCAAAAAGTCGGTGGAGAAACTGGAGCAACTGGAGCAACTGTTGGTACACGATCCCGTATTTAATCATGAAAACATGAATTACTTGACGCGCGGAGAGCAATATAAACGAGCGATGCAAATGTCGGCCAGAGTGGAGATCATTGCGTATCGCAACCGTCTGAATGAGACGGACACGGAGCAACTGCGTTGCATTTTCCAGGGTATCACGAGCTGCTCGGCCGCCACGACGTTGCACACGCTCATGTTCATTAAAAACCTGGGGCTGTTGTTTACAGACGAACAGCAGACGCAGTGGATGAAGATGGCCAAAAAGTGGCGCATGATTGGATGCTACGCCCAGACGGAGATGGGACATGGATCTAACGTGCGCGGACTTGAGACAACAGCCACGTACATTCCTGCCACCGACGAGTTCGAGATCCACTCACCTACGCTGACGTCTATGAAATGGTGGCCTGGTGCGTTGGCACGTACCGCCAACTTTGGAGTAGTATATGCGAGATTGCTGCTTGGTGGCAAGGACTACGGCGTGCACAACTTTATGGTACAGCTGCGTGACTTAAAGACACACGAGCCGATGCCTGGTGTGATGTTGGGTGACGTCGGTCCAAAGATCGGATTCAACAATGTAGACAATGGATACTGTAGATTCACTTGTGTTCGCATCTCACGACAAAATATGGGCATGAGATTTGCAACTGTGACTCGAGAGGGAAGATACAAAAAGAACTCGGGAGCTCCTCAGGAGGTGCTGTACTTCACCATGTTGCAAACGCGGATGGTGTTTATTCGGTCAGCTGGTATAAACTTAGCGAAAGCATGCACCATCGCTATCCGTTACTCGGCTGTTCGACAGCAAGGCTATGATGCCAACAACCCGCAGTCCAAGGAGGAATTGAGTGTGCTGGACTATCAGACGCAGCAGTACCGTTTGCTCCCTCTCCTTGCTGCCGCGTACGCGATCGTACTAACTGGTGTGAATTGTTGTGCAAGCCGAGGTTCCTGGGACGAACTGATACTCACGTTGTGCTTTGAAACATGGCTGCAGGGAACCGCGTGGATCAGTTTGCTGCTACATTGTCGGAACAAACGAAGCGTGGAGATGTACATTTGCTTACGGCGGGTCACGTGATGAGTTGTGGACTAAAGGTCTTTACCACGGATCTAGCCACTGCCGGCATTGAAACTGCTCGTCGGGTGCGACAAGTTGTCTTGTTTCAGCTTCGAGTGTGATACATATCTAACCAAATGTGTGATAATCTTTAGGCTTGTGGTGGTCACGGCTATCTGCTTTCAAGTGGTACGTTATAGTACGCCTGGGGAAGGCGAGTCCGTACTTCATACTCACAATAACTCTTTTTGTAGGCCTACCGGTGCGCTGTCGATCCTTAATAAGGTGGCTACTATACAAACTAATTGCTGTCTTCTTATAGATTTTGCTGGGAGACGCGCTGCAGACTGTCACTACGGAAGGTGACAATTTGGTGCTTTCCGTGCAGGTGTGTACTACTTTTTAACGATCTCCTTTCCTGGTACCATTGACTGAAGTAGTGGTCTATGCTTTTGCTTTGTGGCACGAAAGACCGCCCGCGCCCTGCTAAAAATCCTGGCGTCGTACAAGAAAAATGGTGCAGTGCCAGAATCCATGGCATTCCTAGCAAATATCGACAAGTTGCCAAATGTAAACCCTCGCACCAAGCGACAGTGGATCGAGCCTCCATGTTACGTTGCGGCCTTTGAGCAGCGCTTCCTGTACCAGCTTCGCTTCTACGCAAAGAAGATTTCGACAGAGGCTTCTGTCACTGCTGGCTTGCAAAACAATTCGATGGACACTTTGAAGCTGACGAATTCATATGCCAGCTTAGTTATCGTCAAGACGTTTGCCGAAGCCGTGCAAACCTCATCAACCCTTACTTCAGAATCCATTTCGTCACCTGCGGTTCTAAACGTCGTGCGCCTGCTGTGCCATTTATTCGCCCTCACGCAGCTGGAAGCTACCGCCGGAGAGTTCATGGAGAGCGGGTGCGTTTTTACCAGTGAAATGCCCATCATCCGTGCCAACATCGAAGAGCTGCTCGCGTTGATCCGCCCTCACGCCGTGACGCTCGTGGACGGCTTCAACTTCTCGGATCACATGCTGAACTCGACACTCGGTCGGTATGACGGTAACGTATACGAGGCTCTGTTCGAGTCTACGCAGCACGATCCACTGAACCACTCGTCGGACAAGGTCGCGTTGTACGAGTTGTTACGGCCAATTCGCGACGAAATTTCACAGTCACGTCTGTAAGAGACTGGTGAACTTGAAGAGAACTTGGGTCGTCTGCTTGAGAACCAGAGTACACGTGAAGTTTTCTACGGTAAGAAGCCATGAGCACCAGCACACTGTGACGTTTCAAGATTTTTTTATAATTTTATATAATTTTCATGAAATGTTCCTAGCTTACCAAGTCAATGTACGACATTTTTCCAAAATTCGAATTCGTAATGTTCATATAAATTCACAAATATGACAAACTCATACAATTTTTGATGATATTGTTTAACTTAAATATTCAACTTTTTGTTTAGAAACCGCGGCATTTCATATCAAGTCGTAAATTTCGTCCCAGTCAGGAACAATGGCGGATAGTCGACGTCTAGCGCTAGAGCGATGGCGTGAGGAGAAACGTCGTCAGAAGGAGAATGATGTCCATGCAACCGTTAAAGCCTCTCGTTCTACACGTCGTGCGATCGCTCACAGGTACAGAACGCATCCATTTCAATGCCATACACCACGTGCTAATTGAAAGCTCATTTTTTGGGGGTTTTTAGAAAAGCTCGAGGAGCTCCAGAGCGTACGCGTGTAGCCAAACAACAGCGAGAAATGCCGGTAACTGTAGCTCGTCGAGCGTCTCGAGATCTACAGCCATTAGCATCGATAAAGGAGCTGGAAAGGGAGCAGGAGCTGCTGTTCAAGACCTCAGCAAAGGTGAAAAGTGATACTGAGATTGATCAAACAACTTCCACAGCGCCAATGGAAAGTATGGAATTCAGCACTTTCTCGACTAGCAAGAAGAGACGCAGAAGACGGAGTTACATCTCTCCAATGTCTAATGCACCGTCCCTGGCTGGAGGAGCACAGCGAGTGCGGACGCCCACGCAACCGCTGCTAGAAAATGAGAGTGGCGATGATGGAGGGATGGACGAAGATGCAGAAGAAACGACCCCAGATACGGTGTCAGGTCCAAGGCGTGTTAGTGTGCAAATGCGACAGAACAAGAGCAAGAGCGAGGAAGCTGCTGGGGTGACACCATACAAGACAGAGCAGGAAGGGAAAGAGGGACATGGTTCCTCGAGAGAAATGGTCTCGTTCGGAAGTATTGGTGCGGCACTTCGCGTACCACACGATGTTTTGAGGAAAGAGAGCGAAAACAAAAGTGATGCTGGTCTGGAAATACCACTTAGTCCTACGTTGCAAGCAAAGAAGAATCTACATCTATCTCTAGCTGTGCCGGATTACGATGATAGCGCAAACATTCACGTTGAAATTCCACGGTCCGAAGGCAAGCTGGTTTTTCCCGATCGTGTTCGATTGGATCCAGCACAGATACCAACAAGGACCAGCATTGATCGAAGGGCATCACGTAAAAGTTTTTCCAGCCGCACATCACTTGACGATCCGAAGTCCGTTCAGTCGGTTAGCGAGCGACTGGCAGAAAAATCCAAGTGGGCAATTGACGACTTTGTTGTGACGAAGAACTTGGGCCAAGGCAAGTTTGGAAACGTGTATTTGGCGAAGGAGAAGTGCACAAACGTTTCAGTTGCTCTCAAGGTAAGCCTGTTCAAGGAATACGTTTTTACAAAGCCATTGCTAAGATGCAATGTGATCAGGTCATTTTCAAGTCACCACTGGTGCATAACGGAGATACCAGTAACCTAAAGCGCGAGGTCGAAATTCAAGTGCGACTTCGCCACCCCAACGTTTTGCGCATGCACGGCTACTTTTACGACGACTCATGCATATATTTGGTGCTCGAATATGCGCCTTATGGAGAACTATACAAGGAGTTAGCCAGAGGGAAATATTTTTCCGATGACATGGCTGCACATTATGTGGCACAAGTAATTGAAGCTCTGAACTACTGTCACAGCTGCAACGTGATTCACCGGGATATCAAGGTAGCGACAGTCGCTATTCGCATTCTTGTCATTCAAACTAACGTGTGTATATATTTGTTCGTGACCTATCCCAGCCTGAAAACCTCCTGTTAGGGTACAACAAAACCATCAAACTTGCTGATTTTGGGTGGTCAGTGCATGCGCCTAGCCCCTACAATCTTCGCAAGACATTCTGCGGGACTCCAGATTATCTGAGCCCGGAAATAGTGATGGGAGAGTCATACGACTATCGGACAGACTCTTGGAGTCTAGGTGTGCTAACGTATGAGCTGCTAGTTGGTTCGACGCCGTTTCACTGCACAAATCAGATGGATATGTATCAGCGAATTCGACTCGTCGATTACCACTTTCCGCCGATGCCAGTGATTTGTGATAGCGCAAAGAGCTTTATTGCCGGATTACTCAAACGAAAGCCGAATGATCGAATGAGATTGGAAGATGCATTCAAACACCCGTGGATTCACAGTCGCCATTCGAAGTAACATTAATATAGGCCGGCGCGGAGCAGGCCGATTTTTAATTCTTTGTACCAGCGACAAATCACACTCGACGGTATTTACCGTTCACATGAATGACCAACGCGTCAAATTGCAGCTGTGAATAGAGCACACAAGTCACAGGGTCAGCACAACGTCCGTCACTCAATCAAAACAGAACTGACGCACATTTGCAAGAATGTCCATGATTTGATCGACTGGCAGAACGGGGAAGGCAAAACGGAGGTCTGCGACAGAGCATCCGATACCATTTTTTGCCTCCAGTTGCCGAAGAACCAACGCTGCAGCGGTAGCAGAACAACAAAACATTACGTGGTAAATACCATAGCCTAAACAACTAAATCGAGTTCACAACTCACTGCTCCACTCTTCCTGCGATATTGGCGCGGAGGAACTCGAGCGAGGAAGAGCTAGCTGGAATACAACAAGGCCATAATGCTCTTCCTCCTCGGCGCTAAAAAACTGGCGGTAATGGCGTTCCGCAGCAGCTGCCGCGTCAAAAATCTCCGCTCCCAAAAAGGAAGTTTGGGGAAGCAGCGCGTTCATGTCTTCCGTTTCCACAACGGATTGCAGTCTCGAGTACTTGCGAACCGCTACAACAATGGTAAGCGTTTTGCCATTGATCGTAATCCGGTCATTCACATGAATGATCGAGTAAGGAGCGACGTTCAATCTACAGATAAGTAAAAGAATGAGCACTGCTGCCACGATCGATTTTTTGCTACTCGAAAACGTACCGGATTTCAAGCGACTTTGTTCCTTGCTCGACCAGCGCGTGGTCTCGTTCAGGTAGCGCGAACTGATAGTCTGCCGGAGGTATGTCAACATCTTGATGAAGAGCACCAACACTTTGCCGCTCCCATGGCTTTTCAATAAGAGTCGAAGAAGCTTCGAATTCGTTTGGTTGACGACCATCCGAACACTGTCGAGTAACCTCGGAACCTGGTTCTGACATCAGTGTAGTAGTGCTATCCATCGGAGGAAAAGCAAGCAGCTCGAGATCAGCAGGAGGTGAAGAGCTTGGAACCGCGTAATCAGTGTTGTACCTCGTTGCAAATGAAAAAAGTGAATCGTCAAGAAATGGGAGTACTACAATCTAGCACGTCAATAGAGCAATAGAACCTACAGATGAATAACTTCGAGCATCCTCAGTGTCTCAACGTTGCGATCCTGTATTTCATGAACACTGCACAATGAAGAGATCACATGAGTATTTCCATCATCATTCGACAAACTCTAGTAAGCACTTGAAAGTAGTAAACTTGCTGCGTTGCATTTAACCAGCGTCGTGTACATGTCATTTTTGACGGTGGCCATGGCTCCTCAATGGCTCCTACGCACTCCACCTACAAGCAAAAGCTTTCATGAAACCAACGTCTTGTTTTACTGCTAAAACAAATTGATGCATACAACAATACTCACCAATGCACCCAACTGCAGCTCTTGTCTGCAAACATTTGGCGCAATCTTTGCATCCAGTATCCCTGTGCCATCGTCTACAATATGTATCAACTTATTTAGAGATCGGGCGACGAAGTACAAAAGATCTCCTTTTTTTTCTCGTCTAACCAAGCTTGAGCTGCATGTCAAGCCTCTTGATTAGCACTCCGACCACTTGGACTCGACTCATCTTAGCATGTGCTACTACATAGCTTTGTGTCTCCGTATCAAACGACACAGCTGAGCTATGGAGCTGCGCAATACACAATCGTAGTGCACAATCCGTCTCCATCCAAATGTAGCAAATCCAATGAATGACTGAGTCACACAAGATGATTGATATCAAACATCCTTCAGCATACGAAGAACATCGAAACAGAAGATTAGAGCATAAGCTAACGTCTGACTTTGGACAGGATCTCATAAAGATTAATTGAGCTTAACGGTCAGTCATTCACAGGTTCAGAGCAGCCTCCAGCAGCACCTGTGTAGCTTCAGCAACTTCGCGTACGTCCGGATCAGGTTCCGTCTCGGCGAGGGTCAAAGGACGAATGATCTCTAGAGTATTTTCCGTTGTGCTTACGTCGTTCAGTCTCGGAACCAGTAGCCCCAGCGTTCGCAATGCACGAAAACGCAAGTTTGCTGTTTTAGACGTGCACTGCTCCACCACGGTCTCGATCACGTTCCCTAATGTACCCATCTGCTGTAGCTCTGGTGCAAGAAGCTCCACTGCCATCAACCCAGTGAGCCGTCCATGGAACGTAGAGTGGAGGCACACAGACACACGAGGCACACACTTTTCGACCACCCACTCACTACCTAACGACTTCCCAAGAGAATGAAGCTTTTCGCACACCACTGCACGGACTTCATAAACTGCATCGCCAAGTAACTCTAAACACGCATCAGCAAAGTCTCCAGGAAGTGCTGCACCATCTTCACGCTCAGCCCACGCAGCCACACAATGAACAAACTTAACACGCACTCGCCACTGTAGTGAGGTACGTAGAGCCTGGATGGCCGGAAAAATCAGAGCCGTCACAGTTTCTGACGAGCCGTCACAGTAGCGTGCCATCTCTTCTAAGAGCGACGCACGCACAGTAGCATCTTGGCTATCGTCTAAGAACTGGGTAAAAATCGGGATCAGCTCATCGTAGTAGTTTCTGGCGATGAACTGCAGCGAGCGACCAACAGACTGAGCCAATGCTAGTCTTACAGCCACGGACACATCGGTTGAAAGAGGGTATGTTGCAGGCAACACGCTGCGCACATACTTGACTTGAGCAGCAACCACAAATTCAGAGTCCTTGACCGAAGCCGCATCACTCGACTTGTTATTTTCTTCTTGTGGTGCACTACCTTCTGGCTGTAAACCAGGCGTTTGTTTCGCAGCTAAGTCGCGCAAGGCGTCACCTAGACGATAAGCACCTTCAGCGCAGGCACGGCGAACTTCTACAGTAGGATCACCAACTATCGACACAAAATGGTCGACAAACACGTCAGTGTATTCCGAACCGAACGCTCTGCAGAAAGCAGGCAAAGTACGCGCTATTTCTAGTCGCACTTGCCAAGACGAGTCTGATGTGTATGTGTTCACCATCGGCACCATTTGACAATACAGTAAATGTAGTTTCTGTTCAGCTTCCTTGTGCAAAATACTGTTGTCTTCCAGTAGTAAACGGCGCAATGTGGTGGCTAGCGTGATGCAGCCTTTCACAGCGAAAATACGAACAATGTCGTGGCTATCTGCTGTGGACTTTTCTAGCAGTTGAACCGTCCAACTAGCCACGGAAGAACCACCCGCTGTAGCCAGGTCGCCAATGACTGAAGTGACAGCGCGACGAACCAATGGGTTGTCGTCGTTGCACATGCGATCCAGCATACCACGGAGCTGAACACGTACATCTCCACGTACATGTGGATAGACCATCGGCAGAAGCGCCACAGGTACAATTCGTGCTGTGGGGCTTGAACTAATGCTAAGTCGGGCGAACATCGGCACCAGTATCTTACCTACGTCAACATCCGTCAGTGACAACATCAGCATCTTCAACGCGTTCACCATGACATCCCATGTAGCATGATTTTCAATGATCGATAAACTTTCAAATACATGCAGCACCACCGCAAATAATAATTCATAAGGACGGCGTTTGGTAACTCGGTCACCATCACTTGATCTTGATTCTTTTGCATCCACAAATTGCTGCATTCGTGCCGCGCGGACCGCAAGCCAACCAAGAAACTGGATAGTCCGAATGACGGTGCTTTCACCCTTATCATCATAGTCGTGAATAGATGCAAACAGGTTCAGCAAAAACCGGCGTTCGGCGCACATCTCACCGGAACGCTCCTCCTCCATGGTTTCAATATCGTCCAGTATTGCAGCGTCCCAAGCCTCATCTGCCGGTAATAGCTCCTCAAGCGGATTCGGATAATGCGGATTCATTGTCGGAGGGTGATATTCCTCTGTGCTAAGGTAATGGAATAGGGCTTTAGTCACAAGCTTCGGGAAGACCAGTACTCCCTGATGAATTTTAATCTGGAAAACACGAAACGACATTCGGTCCTGCTCCGGGATCGGACGCTCCGTTTTCTGTTGACGAATATTCATTGACAATTGTCTCCGGAGAGCCTTGTACTCATCGGGCGGAACAACAACAAGTTGAAGCTGCAATGGTCGGACAGCGGTCTCAATCAAACGCAATGTCTCCTTATGAGTCAAATGCGTGACTCGCTGGCCATTCAGACCAACGAGCCAGCTAGAGCGTTTGACATTCGCACGCTCAGCAGCACCTCCAGATTTTATGTCCACAACAATCGTTCGCTCTAGTATATTCTCAACAGTAAGTCCAAGCGGGCCTGCTGGAATGAACGCATCGTAGGGCTCGTTAGCACCCATGGCCGTCGAAACTGGATGCTCTGAGTTTCGATCACAACCGATAATTCCGCGAAAGTCACTGACAATACGGCCTTCAGTCAAAAAGGTGTTCACTGCGCGGTCCAGGCTAAATTCTGAATTCAACAGCAAATCCACCAAAACCTTGGGTTCCACAGCTGAAGGCCCCGCAACCGCATCTTGAATGGACTCCACAGCCTGGCACAGCATTTGGAGTCCATATTTCGGTTGTACGGAATGATTCGCAGCCGCGTCATCCACTAACGTCATTACCACATCACCATCACCGTCTCGCGCAGGGGATATAGCAGAAGCAGACGCCGGTCCAATGAGGGGTACCCCATTAGCTTTCGGAACAGCGTGCTGAGGGTTATGAGAGTCTGACGCACGCCGAAAACGAAGCGTAGATGGAACAAGCACTCGCTAATGCACAAAAACACACAAAGAGTTTGGTCAAACGAAGACACATTTGGAAGCATTCACAAAATCAGCAGCAGCGGCAAACATTACCTCCTTAGATAGTTGCTGCACTATAGCAGCACAATTTTCCTCATTCAGCACAGTTTCACGAAATGCCAGCAGTACGTCAGCTTTCTGGATGCCAGCAAGTGCTGCAGGTCCACCAGGTTGCACTTGCTGGACAACTGCACGGCCAAAAACGTTGCCAATCTGCCAGCGGAAGTTGCTGTTGGACATCACCACCTCGTATGTTCCAAGTCCATATAGTGATTCCTCTTCAGCCGTAGAAGCAGGCGCCATTGCATCTGTGGCCTGTCTATCGATCAAAGATGGCGAAGACAGTGGAGTCAACGGGTGTGACGCGGTCGACGTCACCACTGACGCAGTTTGCGGTAGTGCTGATGACGAGTGAGACGGCGATTGAGGAGGCTTCGTCGCGCCCGACGGCCGCAAGATTGTTCTCGACATCGTCGAAGGTGATGGCGGCAGATCCGTCCCGTTCTCCACACAGCTTTTAGGTGTAGGCGGCAGTGGCTTCTTGGCAGCAGTAGCAGTTTCATCGTCTTCATCGTCGTCACTTCCTTCGTTAAACTCTGCATCTGCTCCGTTCTCTGAGAAATAAACTTCTACCGCTTGTTGCAAATCGTTATTGGTTCGATAGAGTAGATCCAAGATAAGGTCGCGCTTCACGTCTCCACCCAAAAGTCCACTCAGCTCCTCGGCTTTAGACGTCCATTCACGTGGCCTCTCGGCAATAGCCACGGCTTCCCGTGCGTTCTTCTGTGCCCATGTTACGTCGTCTCCATCCTCCTCATCGTCCGAGCCTTCCACGTCATTTAATTTAAATGCAACGCCATTGGCCGCCTCTGACTGGAAATATAAGTCCACGGCCTTGTTCGGGTCGTTGCCCGCCTGTTGTAGTAGCGCGAGAATGCGCTCACGCGAAGCGTCATTGGGCCCAATAATGGCGCGAATGATGTCCATCAGCGCGTCCTGCTTGGTCTCCATATCGCGTCTTTAATGGATGCTGAGAGATCCCGTAAGCGCAGAGACAACAGCAGGCAAAACCTTTCCAAATGGTCCGATCCCAGGATAAAAGTGCAGGGGCTTTGACCTGCTTGAAAGAAAAGAAGAAAGAGAAGATAGTCACTTTGTTGTCCAGCTGTTGAGAGATCCAGTGGCAACGACGACGGGCGCAGAAGGGGGAAGCCCTACACAGCTCAGGTCACTTTGACGCAAACCTTTTTCTTTGTCTTTAGGGGGAATTCCTATTGGGGAAATGTAATTGGCTGAAAAGAGCAGCTAGGACGAATCAATTGGTTGAAAGACGTAGTATAATTGTTTTTATACATTGACCAATCACAACGCAGTCTTGTGGCAAATACCAAGCTTTTCGATTGGTGAATAACTGATATGTGCTCCGGTTATGCGATCTGAAGTCTATATATCGACCAATCAAAACGATTATTGTAATGTCATAAATAAAAAAAGTTAATGGCTCAAAGCTTCATGATGGTCTTGGTACGTGTGGACTCTACGTGGATATATGCGCGTGTCTAGTCTATTCTGACGCTCTTTCTCTCTCTTTCTACTCACAAACAGGGGGAAGATATGAAACTGAAGCTTCAGCGTGCCAAGATTTTGGTCGTGGGTGCTGGTGGCATTGGCTGTGAGCTGCTAAAGAACCTCGTGCTTAGTGGTTTCATGGATATTCACCTCATTGACTTGGATACGATCGACGTGTCCAACTTAAACCGTCAGTTTCTCTTCCGTTCGCATCATGTGGGTCAGTCCAAGGCATTGGTAGCCAAGGAGATTGCCATGAAGTTTAATCCAAAGGCCAAAGTCACTGCACATCACGGCAACATTAAGAGCAGCCAGTTTGGTCTCGAGTACTTTCAACAATTTTCACTAGTGCTCAATGCGCTAGACAATGTGGATGCTCGTAAGCACGTGAATCGCCTGTGTCTAGCCACTGACACGCCGCTTATTGAGAGTGGTACGACTGGCTACTTGGGCCAAGTCTCGGTCATTAAAAAGGGCGAGACTGAGTGTTATGAGTGCACACCCAAGGTCTCACAGAAACAGTACCCAATCTGTACGATCCGTAGTACTCCTGATAAGATGGTGCATTGTATTGTGTGGGCTAAAGAGTGCTACAAGCTACTCTTCGGCAACGCAGAGGACTCGATGTTGTGGGAAGATCCGACCAACAACGATGAATCGGCCTTCATGGACCTCGTCACGCGCTCGTCAGATATGAAGGTTGACGATGTGGCTACGCTGCAGGAGTATGCGTGCAACGTTTTTCGCGGCCTCTTTGAGTTTGAGATCAAGAAAAGGCTTGAGATGAAGACATACAAGACTGCTGCAAAACGTCCACAGCCACTGGTGCTGGAAGAAATTGTTGGCGCGGACATTGTAGAGGCGACCAATCTCAATGATGCAGCTAAGAAACAGGTAGATAACGGGAAGATCTGGAGCGATCGTGACGTGTGGACCGTCTCTGAGTGCGTGACGCGTTTTCTCTCGTGCATCACCCGTATTTTGGGAAGTGAGCTGACTCGTGCCAACTTGGGCAGCTATGAGTTTGATAAGGACGACGCCACGGCCATGGAGTTTGTTGCAGCGGCTGCTAATTTGCGCGCATCTGTGTTTTCAATTCCAATGGAGTCGCTTTACAGCTGCAAGGGCATTGCTGGTAACATTATTCCAGCCATTGCCACTACAAACGCCATCGTAGCAGGTATTCAGGTGCTGGAAGCTTTCCGAATTCTGCAAGCTGCAAAACCGGTGGGAGAAGCATGCACGTACACGCACTGCAATCGCTCGTGGAATAGTCGTGGTCTGCTGCTTCAGCCTAGTGCGCTTGAGAAGCCCAACCCGCAATGCTACGTGTGTTCAAAACACACCGTGGAGTTGGCCGTTGATACCAATCGCATGCTTTTGCGCAACTTGGTTGACCAGGTGCTGAAGAAAAAGTTAGGTGTAAACGAGCCTACGATTTCAATTGGCGCGAACACGATCTACGAAGAAGGCGAGGATGCTGAGACAAGTTTGGCTGTTAATTTGGAGAAGAAGCTTGTGGATTTGCCTGGCAAAGGTATTCATCACGAGACCACTGTGTCGGTCGAAGATTTCTCGCAGGATTTCCGGTGCAATATCCGTGTGCTACATCGTAACGAGGAAGCATTTGGGGAGGATGCAACGGAGCTATTTGCATTGGGTGGCGACATTGTCAAATTGGCGACGGATTTAAAGGTGGAGAAGGCCAAGCAAGCGGCGCTCAAGTTGATCACTCATGATAAAGCAGACGATGACGACGAAGATTATCTGGAAATGATGGACCCAGTGGATGCTCTTACGCATAAGCGCAGCAGGACAGAAAATGAATCTGCTGGAGATGGGCCGACTTTAAGCAAGAAGGCCAAGTCAGACGTTGATGGACTGTAGTATTCGTACTTAAACGAGAGCTAATGCGAAGTCGTTTGACTTGTTTTTTGTATGGTCCGTTGTGAACTGCTGTCCCAAAACGTTGGTCTCCTTGGGATCGAAAGTGACCGCAACGACAGGAGAGGTCACGTCTTGAGAGCCCTCGAGCGAGCGCTGGGCAGCACTACGAGTCACACAGATAGATCCAGACGAAGAAAACACTCTCTGTAGCGCTGGGTGGAATTTTGACGGACTATGAGCAGCGCACAGAGCCAGAACGACGTCGCAAGTCCGGTAAATGAGCAGTCAATGGACATGAATGAGCAAAAATCATCGACTGCAGCGACTTGTGCGCCTCATAAAAAGGCTCAAATGACGCAGGATCATCACTTACATGATGTCTACGTAGCTGTGGATGCGTTGGACAGCGCTAGCCCCAGCAAAAAGCGTCGACGGATACGGAGAGACAAGAAGGAGAGCATTTTGAAGCCATTTGAAGCTGCTTTTGCCTCCCAGAAGCACAAAAAGTCTAGTTTAGAGACGATGAAGGACAGTGGAGAAGTTTTGGAGGAAAACAGATATGTGGACGACAAAAAAGACGTTCCAAAAGAGACGTTGGAAGACGTTGGAGAAGTGTCGGTGAACGAGGAGCCAGAAAATAATGAGGAATTAATGTCTCAGTCGTTAGGAGATGAGGAAAAAGGCAACGAAACATATGGTGATGTGTCAGAGGAGAAGCAAAGAAAACTGTGTGCAACAGACGAGGTGTCGACGAGAGAGGAAACGGAGCCTTTTACAGCATCTGTGCCGTCCCAAGCTGGTTATATCTATGGTGTTGATATGGTGTTCCCAGAGGACGAAGTGCCGATTGAGTTGTGCCCTTTTTCGAGCGATGGAAGTGTTGATCCGACGCATGAGGAGTCACTACCTCGCACATTGAATAATGCAGAGAAGACTTCGCCACAAGTTGCATCAACTCCACCAAACACTACTGCACCGATTCCACCAGGAATACTAGTGACACCAACAGTTACTGCTCCCACAACACCCGCATTAATGACAACAGAAGATTCAGCGACACAAATCGTTGTAAAGCGTCCGGTGGGACGGCGAAGACGCAGAAAGAAATTGAATTATTCATTTGCACGAAATAAAGCAGCTACCAAAAAAGCAAAGCAGGAGCACGACAATGTGCCAGCGTCAACTGCATCAGAGGGCACATTGATCACTCCAGTTAACGGACACTCAGCCGAAAACGGGGTGGAGGATGAAGTTGACAGTACGGCACCTCCGTCACCAGTGTATCCTAATGCTGGTACATCGTACCTATACCCGTCTACATCAAAAGGCGCGCCATGGCAATGGAAAGATGTTGAAATGTATTTTGATCCGGTTGCACAGAGCGACCTGGATACCCTGATACGATGGCGCAGAGAAAACGCTAATTTTATAGCTGCGAATCCAAAAGCATGGCGCGGTGTGTCAGGAATGGAGAGCAAGCGTGCCTTATTAGAGACCATGGTTGCTGATGCTTCAGATGCTTTGGGGGTGCATGTGGACTTCCCCATTCGCCGGGGACGTAGTTACCTTGACATATGGGAGGAAATCGACTTTCTTGATCAGCAGAAGCGCGATAGCTCTGCAGGCGAAACTCAGGTGACAAGTCAAGTGGTGAAGATGAAAAAGAAGCGCAAAAAGGTTATCATGAGAGCGGAAACATCGTTGCTAGTATCTCATCGCGACCTGGTTTATGGATACGATGATGATCGATTCCAGGATTTTAGAGACCACTTGGCGTGTCGCGTGAAGGCTTGTCAGTCTGACTTGCCTCCAACTACACCGCCGATGCCTTCCATAAGACGACAACAAAATACCAATACGGAAGTCGTCGAAAATGTTGCACAGTCGATAACTGAGGAAGTTGAATTTGATGAGGAAGTTCTGCCTAATTTTCCCATCTGTCAGCTGCATCCAGCGTCTCTGGGACTTTGGAAGCTACGCAGAAAGCAAGATCCAGATTATTCAGTTGTCCATCCTGCGTCTGTTAATCGTTCACAAGTTCCAGCTCGTTGGAAAGAGGAGATGGAGCATCATAAACAACAACAATATGAGCTTCAACTCCAGCAAACGGATAAATCAGCTCACCCGGTTGATGATGACCGTACTAGTGACAGCACGCGCGACCGACTTCATGTTACGATTTCAAACCGCCAAGTTACTGGTAAACTTCCATCGTTTGGCAACAGTGTGGAAGAGGATGAAATATCGCAGACGCTCGCTGCTTCGGTAAGAAGTCTGATATCGCTATCCATTTACAATTGGCGGACCGCTCAGATCGTGTATGAAAGAGCAGCATGTAGTATCCAGTGTGCACCAATCCTGGAGAGCGAAGCTGCCGTTGCGCGAGAACTGGAGGATGTGTTTTTGCAGTTGTGTTCTCCGAACGACACCAGCACGGATGCTGCTGTACTCCCTGGTAGCGATCTAACTCGTCTACCTCGGCCGTCACTGATAAAAAAGAGTACTCCACATGACATGATTGCGCATAGTGTACGCCACGATGTTGCGGACAATTGTTCACTTGCCGTAGCGGCGTCGGTGGAATTTGCCCTTCAATTGAGTGTAGGAGATGCGGTGGACGTACTCGATAGAAAAGGATGCTGGAATTATGGCGAAGTCGTGGAAACCTACTCGGAAGACACGCTGGGGGTTGCTACGTTTTTGTTAATTCGATTTTCGTTGTGGCCCGACGACAACGTGGAATGGATCGCAGCTAGCGAAGGCCGCATATTGCCTCAAGGTGTCGCTGACGGCTCGCGACTCGCTTCCGTTGGCCCCACTCGTGCCCATCGAGTCCGTATTCGATATGATCAAAACCTTGCAAGAGATCTCGAGCTTTCATTTCCGCAGCGACAAGCTAAACAGGCGACCGCTGCGTCGCAAGTGCTAGCACAGCGGCAACACAACATTATTACACGAACTCCAAGTGATGTACAAAAGACGTCGCAGAAGCGTAAACGAAAACGCCCGGCCAAATGTGCGGTTGTCGCTACAACTTCGTCGTAAACAATGAAAAACATTTCGACAATGGTGGTAAGGAGTCATGTGGGCTAGATCATGGGCTAGATGAAGAGGTGGCGAACAAGACTCGTGATAGCAATTTAGCAAAGATCGTTTTGCTAAATTGTCTGTGAGAAATAACCTGGAGGTCAAAGATCAAGAATTTGCTTGAGGCAGGAGTAGTCACACCAGCGCCTTTGCAACTCAAACAACTTATGCTGCCCCCCCCCCCGATGAATCCAGAGTGACTATGCTGCCTCGCCTGTGTCGGTAGTTGTTGCCGCGCTAGGACGTGGTGAAAGTTCTGAAAAGCGCCATGCTCCGTATCCTATCCTCGACAAGGCCAGCGCCTGCGATTTGGCAAACAATTATTTATAACGCAATTCCATTGCAGAGGCCAACGGTCGTTTCAGTTCTGCGTGAGCAAATTGCGACTGCTGCTTTCGAGGAGATGCGTTGACATCACCGGTGACTTGCCACAGCGTCCAGACCCAGTCAACTAACTACAAAGCGGCTGCTTCACGAAAAGTAATGTCACTGGTTGTGTGAAGAGATGTCTGGCAATTGAGTGTCTTAAGCCCAGCCAACAAATGCAGGACTGATGAACGTCAAGACGCTCTGGTTTCCACGACTAAGCCAAGTACTAAACTGCACGACGCGGCATCTGCACCATATCTACCTGAACTGCTGAATGGAGGTGGTAACAACCACCACTAGCTGAAGGCAAAATCTTGGCGTTGATCCCCTTAAAGATGCACGTTGCTGATAGCAGGAGAAACGATGCTAGCATATAATTGCGCAAAGCTGTGCGATATGTTTATGGACAAGTTTTCAATGCGCGCACTTTTGCGAGCTTTGCGAAACCACGGCAACGACATGATCTTGGCTCATTGCTTCTACGACATGGTTGAACCTGCTGAGGTTGTCTTGAATCCTGGTGAGACGAATGCAATCTAAAACAACTAACAGTAAAATGGTGACAACACTTTGGCACACCAAAGAGTTTGTACAAGCTGTTTTTACCATTTGCTGGAGTTGCTGAAACAATCGGCCCTACCGTCAGCGCGATCAAGAACCCATCTAGACAAGTGCAAGATCCGAGCTCGTCGCTAATACTTTGATACCACACTCATTCAAGTTGTCGCCGCGTTCTCAAATACGTATCAAGTAGCTACGCAAGCAGGTAACTGATGAACTTCATCAAAATACGAGTCAGCAATGGATGTGCGCGGTAGCAAGCCAAAACAGCTTACAGACGCCTTCAAGATTGTTGATGCGAATAAGGACGGGTCCTTTTATACGTGAGGTGGACGATGCGCTGACACGCTTCACGGATAGCGTGCCAGGCTCTGGAGGTTGGCTCGTGAGTGACATACGTGCAACGCTGCAGCTCATGGCCGAGTGAGCGATGAGTAGAACAGTCTACGGAAGCTTGTGCACTACTTTGCTATGCCAAAAACCTCGATGTGCCTACAAAAAATGACAGACAATGGACGCAAGAAAATAGACTTACTACCAGCTCTGCACGTTCAGCATATAACGGATTAAGCGCTTTGCGAGAAGGTTGATCTGTGTGTTGCTCTCTAGAAAAGCACCTGCTTCACAAGGAAGGAAACCGCACGACACTCGGATAGTAAAACACAATCTGAGTCGAGCTTCAGCTCTATCGCGAAAGCGAGACGTCGTTGGCACCATCAACTTTAACCTGAAATCGACCGTCGGGTCAGCAACATTGTGCGGAACAGAACGCCCTGTATCTCCAATTTTGCAGGATCGGTTATTATCATCCACGGACTGGACCCATGTTGGCCTAGAAGGTTAATGGCGCAGCTTTTAACATGTTGGCCTTGAAGGTTAATGGCGCAGCTTCCAACATGTTGGCCTTGGAGGTTAATGGCGCAGCTTCCAACACAGAATCGTCTCAGTCAAAACGCTTCTTGCTACAAGCAGTGAAGCTTGCAGCCTCTACATCTTGCGCTGAGCTTGGAAATCGAATCGAAATGACCGCAGTGACCATAGGATGTGAACAGAGTGTCGATTGTATTCTTCAATCTAAAGCTTTCCAAGAAGTTGTCGGACGATAGTCGTTCCAGTCGACAATTAGCCCGAGAATTCCTTTACAAGCTCCGGGGATGAGTCGCTCGACTTGATACGGCGAACCCATTTCCTTGTGACTAGATCCCGCCGATATTCGGCACTCCGGTAGTCGTATGGAAAGTTTTGTCGAAGGAAACGAGCGTCTTCGTAGATCTCGTGGATTGCTTCTTCCACCTCCGTGTTCGAGAAAGCAGCTAATTCACTGTTCCAGCATATATTAACAATATAAGGATATAATGAATCAAACACCACAAGTTATGACGTACGTGAAATAATTCTTCTGGCGGGCTCCCAGCTGATGCAGCTTCCTCACACCTTCCTTTAAAGTGCTGAGATAGGCATAGAAATCCTTGTACATGTCCTCCTTTGAAGGAAGGACCACGGATCCACCAAACACGCGTGCAAGCCATCGAGCTTGTAGCTGAAAACAGAGGAACGGCAGATTGCTAAACGGAAGCCCAACAAAAGCGGCCGTGGGATCCTCGATGGCAAATAATTGTTTGTAGACTGGTGCCACAGCATCTCCATTTTCTGTGCACTCCAACAGGTCAGCCGCAACGTCATTGCTCACAACGTTAGGCTGGACGAACACTTTGGGGAATAGCAGTTCGGACGGGAAAAGGTCCTTCGTCGTGTACAGGTATCCAGTGCAGTGCATGATCTCATCCGGCGAAGCAATCGTAGATCCATCCAGAAACACCACTGAACCATCTTCAGCAATGTGGTCAATGGCAGGTTTCAGCAGACGCTGATCTTGGGGATCCACGCACTCCTGGTCATAGTCCAGAGTCGCAACAATGACCTCTGAAGCACCACTTCTAATAAGCTCAAGGGAAATATCTTGGCCCGACGGTCCTCGTCCAATTACCACAACCCGCTGCATCAACCAGTTTCATCACACAGATCTCAATAGGGAGCATTCACTACAGTAAAGGAAATGCAAATCTACGCTGCAACCAATGCAGTACCTTGCCCTTGTAAGGCCCAGGCGTACGGTACGATCGAGAATGCGATACAACACCCTTGAAGTGCTGAATCCCGTTTATTGTAGCAAAAGAAGGCTTGGAGAAATGGCCATTACAAATCACCACGCGATCAAACTTTTCTTCGTAGTCCCCCTTCTCCTCCGACGTCACACTAATTTTCCACTTCTCCGCCACTTTTGAAAGACCAGTCACAGCTGAGTTGAGACGCACACAGCTATCTACCTCATAGTGCTTGGAAAAGTTCTGCAGATACGTCAGTACATCGACATGAGACGGGAAATTGGGCACTTCCTTCTCGAACGGGAACTCCTTGACTTGCATGATTGCAGTCGGCAGATTTGTGTGCAAAGACTTGTACAATACCGACGATGAAGCGTCCACTGCCTTGTCGTATTTCCACACGCCGCCCACATTTCCAGCCTTCTCGAACACAACCACCTCATGTCCCACCTCGCGCAAACACTTGGTTGTAACTACAGCAACAATTCACACATGTATAAATTACATCAGTCTAATAGTAGATTACAAAGAAAGTCATGACGCACTGATGCCAGCGGCACCACCACCGACGATTCCGACTCGAAGTCTCTGCGACGTGGTAGACATTTTTGATATTCAAAGACTGATGTGACACAGACAAAACTATAGGCCACAGACAAAACTATAAGCCACAGACAAAACTATACAAAACTATAGATCGCAGACAAATGATCCAGCCAATCACACGCTCAGAAAGATCAAATATCAAGTATTACATTTGCATTCTTACTGAGTATCCGTAACCCGAAACCTACTTGGTATGTCGGTGTTCATGATGCACCTTGCTGTGTAGATACTGTTGCGAAGCAATTTGTATTCGTAATCGAAGTCGAAAAGCCCTAATGAAGCAACTTTAAGTAGCAATATGATCGAAGCAAATGTAAATCTCCGCTAAACTCACGAGCTACTACGAAAATCCCAATATTCGCCCTTTATTCGGCCGTAGGAAGGTCATTTTCAAGCGAAACAAAAGCGAATAGGCATGTAAAAGCACTATCCGATTGTTCCTAGTCCTTTGCCGACGACTCCATATCTTCCACAAGTCGAGAGCCATGTTTCTTCGTCAGCCGCTCCGTCAGCATCTCCTTGAAATCATTCATGATTGAGTTCTCCCGCTGTTGTTTCTCCTCAAAGTTAATGAGTGCTAGCGCTCGCTTCTCTTCAGCAGTGTACACTTGGTTTTCCTTCCGAATACGGACAGCATTCATGCGCTTGTGGCGACTACCACTCATCACGTAGCCCAGGTTCTCCAGGTTCTCAATTTCCTCACCGTTCCATCCAACTTCACCGCGACGCGGAATACGCATGTTTTTCTGCACAAACTGAGCAATAGCCGCACCTTCACCAGGTAGCAGCGCCTTGCCGTAGTGCAGCGACGAAGCGGCCGTCTCTTCAGCTGCCGCAAGCGGTTTTGGTCCAATCTCCTCCTCCTCCTCGATGTTCTGGCGAGAACCTTGCACCGCTTCCTTAAACTTGTTCGCTTCGCTTTTCTCATTTTCATTCATATCATCCAAGCTATCGTGGCTATCCACGCCCGAGTCATGCGAGTCATCGCCATTGTGACTGTTGCCACTGTCACTCTCACTATAGGAGCGTTGGCGTCTTTTACGGCTCTTTGCGCTCTCCTTCTTGTGTTTTTTACTCTTTTTCGAGCTTTTCTTCGTATGAGAACGACGTGAAGACTTGGTCTTCTGCTTGCTCTTTTTTCGACGTCGACGACGCTTCTCTTCACTGTCCGAGCTAGAAACCTCCAAGTCACTGTACGATCTAGATCTAGAAACTGATCTAGATCTAGAAACTGATCTAGATCTAGAAACTGATCTAGATCCGGAAACTGATCCAGATCGAGACCTGGATGAAGACAGTAGCTGCTTTTCCTTTTTAGTCTTCTTCTTCATAGGAGGAGGACTAGGAATCCCTGTCCAGATGCTAAATTCAATAGCATCTCGCTCTCTTTTTCTCTTCTCATAAAATTCATCACTCTGGTCGTTAGTATATCGGCCATTTCCTCTTCTGCTACTGATTCCATTGTCATTAGAGCCACTGGAAGGTCCGTAGCGACCCATTGGTTCTCGAACACTTAAACTTTGACGCTCTCGCCGCGGAGAACGAGAGCGCGAACGAGAATACCGGCTACGACTACGACGACGTCTTGATTCTCTACAGGCGCTACGACTGTGACTGCGTCTGGGCGACGGACTCCGGTACCGCCGGCGGGGACTCGACCTACTACGACCCATGCTGGAATAGGGCACTTTATAAATCCTTGATACTTATTTATACAAATGGTTCAAAAAACGTATTTAAAAAAGGTCGTTACAAAATCTGATGCCTTATTGCTACTTTAGGCAAGCATAGCTTGGACTGCATCGATGCGTGCATAATAGTCGCTAGTTATCTTGTTTGCAATGGCCTTGCGCATCTGCTTGACCTCATGGTCGCCACGGATGTCGTCTAAAAACGAAAGCACTGCGTCGAACTCGTGTTCAATGCCTTGAGAAGTGGTGAAAGCTTGTGATCTCGTAATCTGCGGGGCCTTGCGCACTATTTTCGAAGCTCCAGTAGCAATCGTCGACACTTCATGTCCTTGCTCTTCTTTCTCAAGCCGTTCCAGCTCTGCGTCCACGTCGTACGCGTCCCACTTTGTTCTAAGTTTATTGCCCTTTAAGTCGAAATGGTAATCTTTGACAACAAAAGACCATTAGCGACCATATCACACTACTAAACACACCAATAAACACTGCAATATAGCAACGAACAAGAGTTTAAAGTAGAATTGGCAGTGGGGTCCTCGTCCTCTGTCTCCCCAGCCTCCTTCTTGGCCTCATACTCCACCAGCTCTTTCACTTGCGTCTCCAGATGCATCAATCGTATCGCCACTTCTGTTGCAATTAGTTCCACCTTTCGCAACAATCTGGTAGCCTCACGACGCTTCTTCAGCTCACTGAATCAATGCACACGATACGTCGATATCAAGAGCTCCATAAGCAGCGAAACATACAAAATTGCAAGATCTCTACGCTACAGCAATATCAGATGGTACGTATTATCTTGCACTATGAAAGACGCACGTGTATCGCTGGTATTGCCAGTATGCAAACGGTACAGCTGCCACTACCGCCGACGTCGCCATCACTTTCCACACTTGGCTTAACATGGTTGAAAATGATTAGTAATTAGGCTAAGTTCGATCGGAAATAAACGAAAACCAATCGGACTTTATACCAGTAAGAAATAAAAACGCGTTTCTAAAGCATCACGAGCTTTACTGGACATACATTCAATGGGCAAGAAGACCAACTGGACGACGACCGAAGATCAAACGCTGTGTCGTGTGTGGTTAAGCGCGAGTGATTTACAACTGCATGGTGTAGAACAGAAGGCTTCTAATTTTTGGAATGTGGTGATGGAGTTGTTTCATCAGGAGTTGGGGTCTCCAGTCGAGCGGCCACTCAATGGACTTAAAGTGCGTTGGACTCGCATTAATCGCGACTCGCAGAAATTTGCATCTATTTTCAATGAACTGCAGAATAAACGGATGAAACAGGCTGAAGAAAGTGGAAATGATTCGTCTACAGAAGTGGCTTTACTGACGGAGCAGCCGTGGATCGATGACGCCAAGATTATTTTCCATCGGATTTACAATACGAAATTCGCTTTTGAACCCTGTTGGAAGCAGTTACGGTATTCTCCCAAGTGGGTGCAATTGTTTGCGAATTCTAGCAATTACCCAGTGCTTGCAATGAATGCATTGCCAGGTACGCCCGATGTAGCGACGGAGGAGTCTACACATGCAGAAGCGCTTTCTGACGATACCAGTAGTGAACTAGAGACGACAGAGAATCCTACATTGCCATCTACGGAACCGAAAGTGGAGATCTCGGTGCCTTCTATTAATGAGACAACGACGTCTCCTATGGACGCAGTAGCTACTGCTACTCAAGTGTCCGATACGAACGCATACGTCGTTCCTCCTAGTCACAAAAGGCGCGCAGATGTACCACTCGAATCGTACGCACAAATCGCCAACCAAAATCAGCTGCAAGGACTTACCAGTACGTTGGTTCATGAGCTCAAGCGACAGAATGACTTGATAGAAGATCAGAACACCATCGCGTTGCTCAAGATCAACGGCGAAATGATCGTGGATGCAGACACTCGACAATGCTATCAACTGTTACGAGCTCGTTATCTCGAGAAAGCACGCAATAATAGTCGACCTAGTACGCTAGTATAAAAGTTCAAATGCATGTACCCATTCATTCAGGATCGATTGATACTACTTGTTCATTGGTCAATCCTAAAGTTTTGAACCTAATTTGGGTTTCAACTCATCAAAAACCGGTATCGACAGTACTCAATGAACCCTGACGCTCTCACCACCATCCAACAATATTGGGGATCGAAGCATGAATACAATAATGATGAAATATTTACAATAATTTTACGTGAATGGGAGCGTAAACGAAATATTGATAATGAGGTTAGTACTCGAGAATTTGTGCTGCAGGTAATGGCCTGTGAATTGGAAAATCAGCTTTTATTGTGGTTATTACAAGCTCATGTCAATGATGTGGTGGACGATATCGAAATCTTGTTTTTTGTTTGCTCAAATTTAAATTTTACAGTAAAAAATGAATTGCAATTATTGACAATAGTATTGGATGCAATACTAATGGCTACAATGATACGAGCTGCTGCTTGTGATCGAAATATTGTGAACCGGACGAAACGACTTGATGAGATTGGAAATATGACAGAGGGTGGAACATTATTGTCAAGTCAAGGTCATAGTGTGCTACAATTATTGAGTAAATGTGAACCACATGATGACGAGATGAAGCTTTGGATGAAGTTTGTGGAGCTTTCGCATACGTTGGATACTCGAGATTTTTATTCACGAAGTGATCGAGCTTTTGTGGATGAAGCAAGCCAAATTATTTCCTTGCAGCAAGCTGAGCTAAGTGCAGTGCGAGGAGTGAATGGTGGATATGCTGGTGTGGAGGTGAAAGAAAGACAGATATTGACATCAAATAAGCTTTGGGATCTTACAAAGATGTTAGTGGAGTTGATTAAAACAAAGACAGACGGAGGTGGTGTCCCGTATGATCATTGCCTAGATCCTGATACAACTACATTGCGTGTAAATGTTGTGGATAACATAGTGGACTTGGAGTCGCTTTTGAGAGCAAAAGGAATTACTGGTCTACGCTGCGGCTCCTCTGATCCTGTTCTTGATGATGAAGATGCGTCGCTATCTGCCATTGAACTGCTCTCAAGTTCTTGCACCTCACCAGATGGACTAGAAGTCATTTCGAGTGACATGCTTGAAAAGGCTTTTGATGAGTTGTCCGCGATAAAGCAACTCGGTGTTATCTCAATTCAAGCGTCGTTCCTTCTTGGTTTGCAGATGCGTCTCAAAGTCTGTTTCCTAGATCGCTTCGAGTCCGCAAAAGACGAATTCGAGCGAAGAATTAGACGCGTGTTCAACTGCCTTACGGACAAAGCCCACGATACGGAGCATGTAGCATCGTTGGTGATTCTGTCTGCATTTTGTCCCAGCCAAGTCATTCGACAGCTTCTTCTCGGCGCTCGAGCAGACGTATTACATCACAGTTTGTACGTAGAGGTGCTTCGTGCATCTCCCTTGCTACTAAATTGGACTAAAGATGCTGAATACGGAAGCGAGACTGTGCTGGAATGTGATTTGCAGCAGGCTGTGCTTGATGTCTCCAGCACCCAAAGCAATTTTGACCGAGAAAGTCAGAATATGATGTCATTTCTTCTGTCCGTTGTAGGGATCCCTACAAGCTCTTCCTCAAAACGAGAAGCTCCGGTGATGACTATCAACAACCTACTCGATAAAGTGATAAATCCTGTATGCTGTGCCACCGGTCTAAGCATTTCGCCGCACCTCTATTTGTACACATTCATCCAGCAATTATTCCAACACTTCGTGACGCTAGATATGTGTCGAGATCTCGATCATACCAGCTTGGAGTGCTCGTTCAACCTAATTTCGGGAGCACTGTGCTCTTTCAATGCTAGTGACTTGCGATTAGGAGTCCTCGTTCGAGAGAGATTGCTCCTTTTACTGAAGAATATCATGGAGTTGATGCCTGATCCCGCGTCTGTGATCATGGTGAAGCAGCTAGACACACCGCTCAATCCATCACTGTGGACACTATTGATTATTTTTGACAGTGATTTGATTAGCGATGAATTCTGCAAAGGTTTGGAAGATGTTGCATTAGTGGAAAGTTTCATGCAGAGAAAACCAACTGGAGATTTACAATTGGTCTTGCCACTACCAACTGTCATTTCAGCAATTCAAGTATTGCTCTGGGGATTACTCTGGGATACAACACTACCTGTAAAACTGAAAGTAAAGTCCACGAAGGCTGAAGCGTGGAGTCTTGTGGATAGCATTGCTTGGTATGAGTTTCTGGGGTCAGAGTCTACAGATGAGACAACCGCGGGTGCTCTTTTGATCCGATCTGCAATCGCAGAAATCATGCTCGAGTGCGGTAGTGACCTCTTCCAAGCACTACTCAGCAAAATTATTCCCTACCTGCTGGAGTACGAGTCGGAAACTTCTGCAGAAGATAGACTTGTACAACCAAAGTGGGCAGCTGTCAAGTTGTCGAAGCTGCCAGAAATGGAGCAGCAAATTTCGTGTGGGTTCGTTTCGACCCACTCAATAATGCGCTACGTTGCAAAATGCTGGGGTCTCTCGGCTGCTGTCAACATCCAGCTAGCTACGCAAGAAAATGTGCTATTGCTACATTCTCTCAGCCATGTCCTAGCTGCTTACGACCCAGCTATCACATCATCGCAAGGATCACTATCAGGAACTTTGTTTTGCATTCAATGGTTGTGTTTCTTGGCGTCTACTACACACGACATGCATTTGGACAAGATGTTGGCATGGCCCACCGTTCGGACACAGTTAGAGCTGTTGCTGCTTCGTTTATTGCACCAGCTAGAGCAACTGAAAGAAATCTCTACGAGCGAAGCAAGATTCAGCCAGTATTTTGTAGCGGCATGGCTGGCCTACCTGCCTGCTGGTCAGTTTGATCAGGTATTCAACTTTGTAGCGAGTAGAACAAGGACCTAAGACAAGCCGTAATCAAGTACTTCAAGTGTTCAACACTGCTCTTTCGCTTACATGTCAGTTGCGAAGAGTGATCTCAAATGGTACGCGTGTACGGATGAGTGCGTATCTCAGGCACACATCTCGTCGACGATGTGATTTGATAGGATGTGGTGCGGGTCCACGTCGTCACGAGCCTTTTTGAACTTTTCCAACGGGTATCTCTTCTTTAGGCGATCACGCATCTTCTGGCGTTCGGCAGCATCCTCAGGCCACTCAATTTTCGCCCAGTGCTCCATCGCTCCGAACGGCTCCATAAACTCGCGGTACACGGCGTAAAATTCCGTAAAGCGGTTTCTGATAGACTCGCGAACCTTTTTATCAGTGGTTGGCAAGTACAGGATAACACCCACCCATGAGAAGATCTGGTCCGGGTTGGACGACGACGCAGGACTCATCAAAGAAGCACTACGAGCTGTCCAGCGCTGCTCGATTGGTGAGTGCGCCGGTATGTCGTTCTCGTCAATGCGCTTGAGAAGCTTCTCCATAAAATCGAGATCCAGCGTGCCAGTGCACGGGAAAGAGACTTCCTCCACAAGCTGTTGACCGCCACAGTCAAAGCCAATGATGTCGTCCGAGTACGCAACCCGGTAGCCTTCGCTGAGCTTCCAGAACTGCTTTTCCACCTCGTTCACACGAATGACATGGTTTGTGTCCAGCGGATTGATTTCAAGCAGTTTGTCACGCATCTTCGTGAAGCTCCAGTCGAGATAGTCCGGCGCCTGATTTCCCTTTGTCAGATCCAAGTATAACTTCCGGGGAGCCTCCATACGCACCTCATCACTGTATTTCACCGGTGGAAAGCGTTCCTCGTCAAGAGGCTCGTCATCTTGAGCACGGCGGCACTGCACCACAATAATCGCGTCCGTGTACGGGATCCACATGTACCGTAGGTGCTGAAATTCCACAAGCCAGCGGTTGTGATGTTTCCGAATCTCGTCCAGCGTCATCACAGTAGTTTTTTCAATAAGTTTGTGCATGGGCACGCACTGCAGCGTCACTTTGGTCATGACACCGAGTGCTCCAAGACCGCACTTGGCCAATACAAAAAGGTCAGGGTTCTGCGTGGCACTCAGTGTCATTTTCCCTTTAGCCGGAGTCACAATCTCCATCTCGACGATTTGGTCGTCAATGGGCGGAATGCTCGCTCCCGTTCCGTGACATCCTGCTTGGCAGATACCACCTACCTGTTGGTCACGGATAGATGCAACGTTTTGCATGGTCAGACCGTCGCTGCGTAGTTTGTCCAGTAGCTCACCAATGATCATCCCGGTCTCCACCGTCACTTGTTTCTTCTTCTTGTCTACTTTGATAATCTTATCCAGCAGTGCCATCGTCATCAGAGCCTCATGAACATTATCATTGCCCTCTGTTTTGCTAGAAAAGCCTAGTCCATTAGGCGACACGCCGGCGCCCATGCATCGAAGTTTCTGCTTCTTATCGTGGTACGTCTTCAGTAGCTTCTCCACTTCTTCCACCGTCTCAGGCACATGAAAGCTTTTCGGACGACATTCGTGCGTGGCCGACCAGTTCAAAAACTTGTGATAATCTTCGGCCAGCGCGTCGTGTGTCCCTAGAATTCCCACGGCAATTAATGCAGCACCAGCCGCAGCAAAAAACGCGGTCTTCTTGGATGAATCCCAAGAAATGCGTCGCGGATCCGTGCAAATCGCGTGATAATTTTCAGCTGCCTGTCCAATTCTGATTGAACGATTAGCGCCGTGGAAGCGCAGGGCGCGGGGAAATGTCGTCGTTGGTCGAAGCATCGACACGGTGAGATATCACAAATCTGAACGTACACAAAAGGACATTGGACGAAAACGTGCTGCTATTTCTGTACGAATGAGATTGTTGAAAATTAGTCGTACACAAAACACAATCTGGGTACGTGCATGTGGTACCTTTCTCGGATTCTTCAGCGATTTGTATGTTGTACGTATGTAGCAGCTTCCAATCTGAGCACAAAGACCCCAAGAGTGATGATTGACGCTTTAGACCGGGCAGTTGGTCTGGATGAACTTGACGGCGGCGTGCCAAGCCTTCATCACAGCTGTCTTCGTCGCAGCATTGTCAAGGTCTCCACGGTGAACCCAACCATGGTTCTGGTCGGCGAATAACAGCACGTCGGACTTGGAGCCAATGTCTGCACGAGACTTGAGGATCTTGTGCACGCTGCCATCAGGTTTCATAAAGTCTGGGTCGTCACCGGCAACTAGGAGCAGCTGCGGGACCTTAATCCTCTCGGCCAGTTTGTCGACAGCACCGTCACCGTTGAGAACATTCTCGACCTTCCACGAGGGATGAAATGACACGTGGCCCAGTACAACTGGGTCAGTCTGTGCAGTTTGCGTGGCACCGACCCATGCGCCCCAGCACATACCGTAGCTGATAAGGCGTTCGGCACCCACCTCAGTCTTGAGGTAATTGATGGCGTCCTGAATACGCGGCCCCAAGTGCTCGGCGAACGTGTATTTCTTCAACCAGTCGGCAAGTCCATCCGTGTTCTCGACATATTCACCGTCAGCAGTGTCTACAACCACAACAGCGTAGCCGAGTTTGCCCAGCGTATCAGCGTCGGCCTTGGTGCGTCCACTGTCGAGGCCGTAGATATCTGGGTACGCAATGACGCCAGCCTTGGCGGACGCAGGGCCTGTCACGTAGATGTTTGTATTACCAGCCTTCTTCATCACGCCTGTATGGTCGGAAGGGCTACGGGCAGGCTCAGCAGTCACGGGGCAGCAGCTCATAGTAACTTGCGGTAAAAAGGTCGATGGAAGTGTTGCTTGATGGTAAATTCAAGAATGTGACGCAAGTTTTCGTTTTATTTCTATAGGTTAAATCAGTATTAAATATCTTACATGCTGTAAGAAATTAATTTCAGCTAAGGTTTTTTAGTTTGAAAGTTATTTCAGCTGCAAAAAAACATAATTTTTTATTTTTTTATTCGAAACAAACGCCTTGGAAGAAATTATGCGTTGTTACAGTAATGTGTTCACAACGAAGCTGTAGTCGATAGTCTCCAATTCTTTAGTTAAAGTCGATTCCCTGAGCAAGTGGCAGCTCCTTGCTGTAATTAATGGTGCACGTTGATCGACGCATGTATTGCTTCCACGCGTCGCTGCCCGATTCACGACCACCGCCAGTTTCTTTTTCGCCGCCAAAAGCTCCACCAATTTCAGCACCACTGGGTCCGATGTTGATATTGACAATGCCACAGTCTGATCCCAATGGACCTGTCCATTTGAAAATGGCCGACTGATTCTTCGTAAATAGAGACGACGACAAACCTTGCGGGACGGCGTTGTTCTTCTCAATTGCCTCGTCCAGCGTCTTAAACTTCAGTGCGTACAAGATTGGCGCAAAGATTTCTTTCTGATGGTACGAAGCACGCAAACGATGCGTCAAAAAAGTCAGTAATGCACAATCGATGACTTTAGAAATCAGGATACAAATGTACCTGGAGAATCTCAGCATCGTCGGCGATCGAAACGATGGTCGGCTCTACGAAGTTGCCATCACCTTTGATCTTCTTACCACCAGTGAGAATCTGCACACATGTAGTAAAAAGATTGTAAGCACACCATTGAACGCTGCCTCCTTTGTAATACAAGAAGACATACCTTGCCCCCTTGTTTCTTGATAGAATCAATTCCATCCAGATATTTCTCCACTGCCTGCGTGTTGTGGAGTGGACCGCATAGAATGCCGTCCACCAATGGATCGCCAATTTTTATGTTCTGGTATGCAGACACTAGACGCTGAAGGAACTCATCATGGATGTCTTCATGGAGGAAGAGACGACGGAGCGACGTGCACCGCTGGCCCGCTGTTCCCACTGCAGAGAACAGCGTCGCACGCAGCGCCATCTCCAAATCCGCGTCCTTGTCCACGATCATTGCATTATTGCCGCCCAATTCGAGGATTGTCTTGCCAAAGCGAGATGACACCACTTTGTTTACGTGACGGCCCACTTCCGTGGAACCCGTGAATGAGATGAGCTCCATACTCCTGTCGTGCAGTAGCGCCTCGCCCACTTCGGCGCCGTTGCCACAGATCAACGAGGCAATGGCACCCGAGTGGCCGTTGCGTTCCAGTACATCCGCAATGATCTTGGTGCACGCTACCGACGTCAGTGACAATGACTCAGACGGCTTCCAAATCTGCGTGTTGCCGCACACGAGACTCAGCGCCGCGTTCCAGAACAACACTGCGCAGGGAAAGTTAAAAGCCGTGATGATACCGACGTGGCCCTTGAGTGGATTGTAACGCTCCATCATGAAATGTCCTGGACGCTCGGATGGAATCACTGACCCGTTTAGCGTACGACTGAGTCCCACAGCAAAGTCACAAATGTCAATTGCTTCTTGCACTTCACCAACACCCTAAGAAAATAGCAGCAAAAGCACATAAACATAGAAACCCCATCAGCAACAACAAGTAAACAGCTACAAACAAAAAATATCCACTCACTTCGACATAAATCTTGCCCATTTCCAGTGCAATAAGCTTGCCTAAAGCATCACGCTTGTTGCGCAGCTCTTGTCCGATCTGACGGACAATTTCTCCGCGCTGTGGAGCCGGCAGACTGCACCACTCAGGCTTGGCGTCGTCCATGGCGGACACCACCTTTTGATAGTCGGCCTTATTGCCAGAGCGGACACTAGCAATGGATTGGCCGTTCACGGGACTCACAGAGGTAAACACATCGCCGCTACCAAACCACTCGCCATTGTACACACCGTGATTCTCCTCCATGAGGCCCAGTTCCTCTAAGAACGGATACTGCGTAAGACGACAAGGAGACGAGAACATGCGACATCGTGTCAACTGCGTCAGGAGACGTATAGATTGAGGCTGTTTATTATGAATGAGACTCAGCATTTGAAAAATTGTCAGGTTGATTGATACAGGAACAAGCAAATTTAATTATGAGGCGAACTTTAACGCAGTTTTAGTGATATGCGACAGACACACTCGGACATCCAATCCCGTGTTTACGACGTCACTTGGTCTTACCACAATCGATGGATGCGTTTATTGAGTTCTTTAGGCAATATTTGACTGTTAATTTCCCTGGAATGTCTGCTTCTCAAACAAATGGAGCGTGAGTGTGGACAAGAACGCTGGAAATGAACGACATGTCGTCAGGTAGGCAAAGACACGCTGGTTGATCTGGGAGCAAAACTCGCTCTCTAGCAACTCCAACGACCCATTGGCTTCCATGCAAACCAAGAGCTCGTCGTCGTCATGCTCGGCGTAAACGGAACGCAAACGCAGTAGCTCTTTGCCATCGCTCTTTTTAAGGTCCACCTTGTAACCCGTCAGCAAATACACGGCCTCTCGGTATTGTCGTATTTGGTCTCCGAACACCTGCATATGTTGACATCCAACAACGTTAGAAGACTAGACATGTTACTGCAACAAATTAGTGAGCTATGGCACCTGCTTCAGGCGCTGATTAAGCTTCTTGAGACCCTCCACCGTATCATACGAAGTTGTTGTCGTAAGGTTGTCCTCAATACGGACACTCGTAGACTGCATGAGCAAGAATTCATACCGACATCAATTTAGAACAGCAATACACACAACGCAGCATGTGCTGATGCGGTTACCTTGGTATCTTCACCATCTGTGAGCATGTTCAGTCGTGCGCGCAATGCCTCGTTTTCCTGGCGCAAGTTTTCAATGTCGTCCGACTTTGCCTTACTTTTGAGCAGCTCGCGTGTCGGATTTACAGCCAAATGCACGATTTTTGTCGTCTCGACATTGAATTCGCCTCTGCCTAGCCGCTTCTCAAAAATTGCGAGCTCCATTTCTGCCTTTTCAAGATGCTTTGTCTGACTCACATTCTCTTGCTTTGCATCAGCCAGTGCCTTCTCCAATCGCTCGATCCGTCCTTCGTACTTTTTAACGGCAGCAGGTGTTGCCATGGATTTCTGGGTGAGTTCCATGCACGCGATCAGCTGTTGTGACTGCTTTAGCGAGGATTCCAGCAGACCAACGCGCTTCGATGAAATTTCGTTTGCAGCTTCGTCGTCAAGATCCTTGCCATACGTTTCAAGGATCTCTATCAGCTCTGTATTGGTCTTGCGCAAATGTGTTGCGACATCATTGTAACCGTTCATCTTCTCCTGGACCTCAGCTAATTGCATTTCAAGTTTTGCGCAATTGTTTCCGGACGTGATGAGATCGCTATGAAGCTTTTCACACTGCTTCTCGAACCGCCGGAGTTGAATTTCCACGTTACCCTTTTGTTCAAATAAGATTTCAAAAGCATTCTGGCGCGCTTTATACAACTCAATGATCGCTGCTGATGGTCGAGTCTTCAGATCTTCCAGTGACACTCCAACTGCAAAAGGTAAGATGTAACATGTTATCATCATGTCATGAACGAACAAAAGAAACAACCTTGCTTACTCTTAGCTTCCTTTACAATCCGCTCAAAGTAGTCATAAAATTCCTTATGCATGTCCTCCACGAGCATTGCATTCTCCTGTTGAACCAAAACCCAGTCATCACCCGCACCAGAACGTAAGCATATAAGTTGCACTCGTCTAGTCAACGTACGATGCGCTTAAGTGACTGCGCGTTCCTTTTTTCACTTTGCTGAAGCTTTTGGTTCATCTGGTATAGTTTTTCCTGCAACACAGAAGATGATCGGGATGCCTCAATCATGTCCACCAACTGTAGCAGACACAATGCATTAGTAGCCCGCTCTTTGTGAGATCAGCAACAGATCGTACGCACCTCAGTCTTCAGTTTGCGTTCTGTCGATTGTAGCTGCATGATCTGCTCATTTAACTCGCGAACTTCACGTGCATTTTCCAGTGTCTCTTGAGCGCCAAGCAAATTAGAAGCATTATGTGCAGCCTCTATGCTTTTTTGCCTGAGCTGGGATTCTAGTAAACGAATCTTTGATTCAAGAATGTTATCCTCGCTCTGAGGAACATGAAACGAATAAATACCTGGCAAGCAGAGCAATAGAGGGAATTGGCTGGCACTAACCTGAGAGGACGTCGACGATGAGTCATTAGCTGCCTCCAGCTCATCTTGCAGAATCTCGATCTGACATAAACAAACACAAAATCAGCCACCGTTGCTACCAGCAGCTCAACGCTCAGCTCTTTCTTCTCGCTCACCTTCATTGCTGACTGCCTCGTTTGCGTACGGAGCTGGCTAGTCGTTTCCAAAGCTTTTTCCTTCCATTCATTGAGCTTTCCTTCGACAAGTCTTAGTTGCGCTTCCAATTCAACCACTCTCTTCTCCAGCTGCAACTTCTCAGCCGAATGTTCATTTGTGATAGCCTTGAGCTCCTTCATTGTCTCCTCCTCTTCCGTCACAGCATACTTCAATTGACGTCGCAATTGATCCAGATGTAAGTCCCGTTCCTTCAGCTCAATCTGATGTCGCTGCGACTTCGTCTCCATCTGAATCCTCAGCATTTCTACTTCTTGCTTCAGCTCATTGTTCTATTGATCCATACACAAAACACCCATATGAAGCATTACGCTCGACCACTCAGTAGCTGCTGCTTTCTCACCTTGGACACTGCAATGCTCTCAATTTCGAGTCGCTGGCGCTTTTTCTTCCTCGCGCTATCACTCACTTCCGTCTGTTTCACTGATTAATTGCAACATATCGTCCTTAGTCAGTTCACGATGCTTCATATTCCATTTCTCGTCTCCTAGCCGTCATACCTTCTCTCTGTTCCTTCTCGAGCTCTCGTACACGTTCCTGAAGATGCCGAACATACTCAAGTGAGAAACTGCTGTTGGTCTTTGATGGCGTGTTCATGTCGTCCAGAAAATTGTCACTGGATCCGCCTTTGGACTGCACAAGTTTTGGATGCAAAGCGACAAAAGATTGTCGGACGTGTTAAACGATTTATCAAGCAATTGAGACTGCTTTTTCAGCATGAAACAGACCTGTAATGAGCTGCTTTCTTCTACAAAGAAGATTTGCGACGGGTCCTTAGGAATTGGCGAGCACAGGAACGACGAAGACAGCGTCTTCCGCTTCCCATCGGTCATCGCTCCCTTTAAATGGACTTTTTTAGTAGGTTCGTTAACGCGACATTCACGCAACCTAATCAAACATCTTGCAAGTATTGTACCAATAATGCCAAGTGAGAGCGTGGAAGATGTGTGTGTACGGTACGCGTGCAAATGCGGACACCTGGCGCCTGTAAGCTCCCTTTTCTTCAGTGAAACATGTGAAAAGCTTGTGTGTCGTGCTCCAGGCTGCAGTGTTGAGGAGTTTGAGTCGTATTACTGTAGGAATCTGGCGGTGAATTTGCCGTCCAAGGAGGCGAGCATGTACCAGAATCGCTCGAGCCGATGCTTCAGCTGCCCCGAGTGTGAGAATACGCTGTCGACGGCCTTTCACGAGAGCAAACAGCGCTTCTTCTTGCTGTGTGCACACTGTCGCTGGGACTCGCTGAAGCTGGAGCTAGTGGATGACGATCCGGACGCTCTCATTATGACGGTCATCACGCGGGAGCGACAGATGGTCCAAGAAGACGTTTTTCAGACACTACACTCGTACTACTCAATTATCTCAAGCTCCTTGTCGAACGACGGGACGACAGCAGCTCTGTCGTCGAGCTCTGAAGCTGTTTTTGGTAACAGTAGTTCGCTCGAGTTGTTGGCAGATTCGATGAAGGAGCTGCAACGTGAGCACCAGATGAAGAAGTTTAGACTGCAGAGAATGGAGGAGATGGGAGGATGGAAGTATGACCAGGCAATTGCAAAAGTACAGGAAAAGGAGCAGTGGCTGTTGGAGCAGCGACGTGAACATCAGTGGCCAGAGCTGACGAAGCAACTTGCAGCATTGAAGACTCATGGAATGTCATGGAAGAAAGAAACGCCAGAGAAGACTCGTGAGATGCTAGAGAATCTCGCGCAGAAGCGTGACATGGGTCAAGTGTCGACGTTGCATCAGCGACTACTAAATCCGTTGGATCAGTCGCGCGAAGTAGACAATCTTTTTCCATCTCGGCCACTGCTGCGAGTAAAGCGCACATGGCGGTGTGTTGATTCTATTCAACGTGGCACAGCTGGCATCCTTGTAAAGCCTCAGATCAGTCCAATGAGCGGAGATAGCTCACTTCCTATTTCCGCATCTTGGTTTAAAAAGGCCAATTTAGCCGCACAGTACGTGCCCGTAGTTACATTCCAGCAGCTGCCTTACCGCAATGCTGGTGGTAGCATTGAATGTGTGTTGCTTGTGGAAAACCCACTAGACGACGCCATTCGCATTACATTCCGTTCCGCCCCTCCGCCTGAGGTTGATGAAGATCTGTCTGAGAACGGACAGGTACGTTGCACACATGACACCTTTGTATCCGTTGATACCAGAACTAACGGTTGTTCTTTGACAGGTGGTGCTGCAAGATTTGACTCCGATTATCGTTGGACCGTATGAAGACCCTGACCTTGCGGATGCTTTTGTCGATGATGAATCGTCATTTGGTGCTAACGGTGACCACCATAATGCAATGTTGCTTCAAGCTACTCGTAATCTGATCAAGATCAAACTTCCTGTAAGTCGGTATCGTGAATGTGATGTGATTCGATGTGCTGCATCTTGACATAACACTGCACCGTATGATTACAGCTTGCCGTTCATCTTGCTGCTGCGTCTCCAAAGTCGACTGTTTCAGCGCGATTTATCATGGACACGGAAAAGTTCGATGAAGATGCCAATGAGGTTATTGAAAACTCACTTCTGAGCGTCCCGATTGTGATTACGGCTCCGATCTCGCAATAACGCATATTCCAGCGCTACTTCAACGGTCGCTATCAGCAATAATATCCTACATGTTACCTGTCACGCGCTTGTGTCGTAAATGACGTCCTTTTGCTCGTTCAGAATAGCGGTATTTGTCCACTAAATGTTTGAGAATGAACCTACCAGTGAAATGGACAAATTTTAGGGATTTCGAAGCGCTGGATATGTGTTCAAAACGAGATAGGAGACTGCTGCCAGGACTTTTCAGCGGAGATGAGAAAGTCCCACGCTTTATAATTTCTCACACGTCGATGTCTATTGAAACCGTAGCCATATGTAGCAATTCAATTAACTGCTTTTGGTGGATGTGTAAAGATTATTGCTGCTAGCAGATTTGCTTGCTCGGGTTTTTCTTGTTATAACGTCAGTCATATCAACCATGTTGTAACTTTGATGTTACCGATTCTTGAATGATGCAGCAATTACTTGAAAAGAAGGACGACATGATCAGGGGCTACAAAACAGCAAGTAGATTCTAGTGGAGCTTCAACTCAAACAAGACTAAACGCTGCCAAATGCTGTTGTGGATACACGGTTTTGCGCTGAATGAGTTTCGTTTTTTTTTACTTACAGCATGTACTTCTGTCGCGGGGCAGAGGCGATCATGGTGTGTATAGTACAAAGAAGCTAAGTCATCTACCGTTTTCCTAGTGGTAAGCTTTTTCAACTTGATGCGTGTGGGCTTGGCTGTATCATGTTTAGATCTTACAGAAGTACGCTATCGGAGACGGCAGTAGCGAAATGGTAGGCCTGGGTAAGTGAAAGATGAAGAAGCTAAGAGCTGAGATCACTCACGGGATGCGGCATTGTGGTTGTACCACCACCATGTGTTTTCACGAGTGTGAAGTAAACCGAGAGCGATGCTTACTCTACTGGGGCTAAAAATCGTTTTCTAAGATGTTGTAGTTGGCGCCGAAGACCTGAAAACAGAGCGAGTTAGCTGATACTCTGACCAAACAACATACGTGTCGTATCTGACAATACCTGCATAGTCTAGGTCTGCGTACCGAAGCGCGTATAAATGGTGGAGGAGATTTCTATTGATCATGCTGGTATCATTGGTCGTTGGGCCTTGATCAGCTGACTTTTCCGCAGCCTCGCGTTTACTACACAGCTTCTCATAGATGTCCTCTGCTTCACGGATCACTTCTGTTGGCAAACCGCTCAATGCTGCTGTCTTGATGCCGTACATGCCAATCAATGGAAACGGCCCATCTTTCAATACATAGCGAAAATGCACAGAATTCTAAAACGGAAGCAAAAGTAAGCACGGGTAAGTTAAGCCAACTGCAAAACTTGATGAACGCACGGTATGCGATTCAGTGCCCACGTGGTAACACCGACAGCGAGGATAAAGACGGGCGAGGCGATTAAGCTGATGATAATGGGTTGCAAAGCACGTGTAGGATCGTCGATGAATCATCTCCTCGCCGATACTCCACGCGATCGCAGCACCTTCGTCGTTGGCTGTGCCTCGGCCTAGCTCATCAATGAGTACCAATGACCTCGCCGTACATGATTCCAGGATGAAAGCCGTCTCTGTCATTTCGACAGCAAACGAGCTTGCATTTTCTTCCATATCGTCCGAAGTTCCAAATCGTGTACAGATTCGATCTCGAATCGGAATAACAGCATCAGAAGCTGGAACATAGCACCCCATCTGGGCCAGTATTGTGATCAGAGCTGTTGCTCGTAAATACGTCGACTTTCCTGCGCAATTGGGGCCAGTGATAACTTCAACCGTGTTAGACTGTGCTAGTCTTCTGAAGCGTTCATGAAGAGTTGCTTACTGTGAAAGGTGCTCAGCGGATCAAAAAACTATTCATGAAAAAGCGTCAGGGATAAAGGATAAATAATCACACCTGCTAGCACTTACCGTGTCACTAGGGATATAAGCCCTATCTTTTAGCACACGCTCAACTAGCGGATGCCGGCCCTTTTTAATGATCAAGTTGCCATGTTCAGTGATAGTTGGCCTTGTGTCTACAAATCAGACACCCCACAGCTTGTGAGTAATGCATCAACTATGGGCAATAAATGTAGCTATACATGGATGGTCTGGCGGCGACAGGGCTACGACATTCACAAAACTGTAATTATACTTAGTGCCATCTCCGCGTTTTACAAAGAAAAGATGGTGGATAGTAAGTACCTCAAAAGCATATCAAGCAGCGCGATACTTTCAACCATCGCGTGCATAGTAGAGGATCGAGGGCGAATCTTGTCGAGGAGCTGTTGAATGACATCGTTCGATAGCTTGTAGACTGCGGTAAGCGCTTCATTGAGCCGCACATTGAGAGAGGCCAGTGGCTTGGTGGAGCAGCAGATCACTATGGCAAGCATAGTCCAAGATCAGATTCAGGATCATAATGAAACATACTTTCAAAATCACAGCACCGGTTTTCATTGGCACTCTCTCGATAAAACTTGCAGGCAAGTCTTTCGTATTGATCGGAACAGCCAAATGGTATCCTCTTCGAGATCTAGTTTCCGACATTTCCAAATCAAAGAAGTCACTTCGTCAGGATGAAGCATAAGAACATACGTGAAGTAGCTTACGTATAAGTGAGCCGAATGGGAATCCCAAGATTCTCTTTGTATGTATGAATGACCTCGTGGATTTTCTCGATCGTATCAAGATAGGTTCGCCGTGCCACATCAAGCATGCCATCAACGCCTGCTCGGACAGCAAAACACTCTTGTATGCGCTTCTGTGCAGCTGAGCGGCAAACTTTGACCCTATTTGAAAGGTGTGAGTTAAATTGACAAAAGCAAAAAGCGCGGTGGCAGAGAAAGGTACCTGTCGTTTACAACTCGCTCAATATCTACCTTGATCTCTGTAAATTGCTCGTCGCGCAAACTTGACAGGCTTGTTAAAACGTGATGCATTGGCAGCTCATCGTGCACAAGCGTACCTTTGTATAATTGAGTCGAGAAGAGGGCAGGGGCAATCCAGCTTCACTGAGGTTGTTTCCAGACACGAAACTAGTTTCGGTAGGCATTCCAGCGTGTGTTTAAGAGCAATGACACTGCCTACAGCGATTCGGGATACCCGAGGGGTGATCACTTTGGGAACAAAAACAAGTTGGCCCTTGAAGAAGAAACACACAACAGGTCACAAATTGCAAACCGATCTCATGAAAAAAAAGCGGATCGGTCAGACCAGTAGCCGATCTAAGTCAACGAAGTCACGTAACGCTTCCATAACATCGAAAAACCACGCGGGGTTATCAAGGAAAATTCCAACAACTTCGTGGCGCGCCTGACTGGAGCACACGAACTGTGAGGATAGGTAACAATGGAAACTTAAAGAACGCTGTGCAATACATCGTTTTCAGATGGCATGTTGGCTGCAGCATCTGAAAACAGCAAACGCTTCTCGGTTAGATGCCAGTAATGAAGCGCAACTCGAAGTATTTTACGTACCGTAGATCTTAACAGTCGATTCCCTGCCATGGTTTGCGTGTTGTTCAGCATCTTGCAGAGAGACTTACAACACAATGTTTACCGTGAGAGAGTAGCTAATACGAAAACATCTTGGGAAACTGGAGATCTAAAATAAACCTGGCTGTCGCTTCTTCCTCGAGTACCCTGGACTAGCTCCAAAGCGGAAATTGTTGCTTGGTCCATGAGCAGTTTGCGTGTTGACGGACTAAGCACAACCTGGACAACACAGCTTTTAGTTTCATCGTATGATCTGATCGATACTTAGCAGATCTAATAGTGTGACAACCTTTAGAGTCTTCTCCGCGATGTAAATGCCCTGTATGTACTCTATGTATTTCATCACACACGCCACCGACGCCATGGCAACGTAATTCTGACAATGTTTTGATCGATATTAGTAGAAAAGTATTCAATAGGAATAGATGGCGAAAGTAACCAACAAACGTGCCCTTCCAATATTGATATCGACGTTGTTTGCCATCACGCGTTTGATATCTTCTGCTCCTTTTGTCTGACTGTAAACAATCGAACTCGTTAGTAAAAAATCAATATGGACAGCATACCAGTTTCGTTTAGCCTACTCAAAATACTTCCGCGCAAGCGGTACGATTCGGCAGTTTGATCCAGCAAAGCGCTTGGAGATCTCGTCGTTGATTTTGCGAGACTTGGATGTTTCAACCACGAGAATTTCCACAGGCTACATAAGATATCTGTCAGAAAAAAAGATTTGCACACAGGTTTGCACAATGCAATGCTCTCACCTGATAGGCTTGAAGCAACGACATGGTATCGACGTAAGAGTGCGAGTCGATGACCGTCCACAGTAGTAGCTCGTGTGGCGACATCAAGTCGATTGCACATATCCCTGGCCACATTCAAGTGTCTCGGTCAGAAAAAGCCTACATCGATACACGCTGAGACGTTACCTATCTCCCGTGCACGGTTCTCCGCCACGGCAGCAATGAGAAACGACGATTTGGAGTCCATATCGTTGGAAGCTGATCCTCTTGACTCTCCGCGAGTTGAAGGAAGACTGAAGGAAGCAGGTCCTTTCGCGAAGATCATACCACTATCAGGAGTTGGGACACCGTACCGCGGAGGCCTCACAGCGGCCTCATCGAGCTCCACGCGAGGTGCATTCGTATCTTCCATTGCACACTTAGTGACTAATTCGCAACTGAAACGGTGATGAACTCCAACGAGTGCGCAAAAGAATGATGGTCGCTTCAACTTCAACTTGCTTTATACCTGTCCATTATTTTTGCAGTGATACAAAAAGCGACTGCTTTTTCGAAATGGAAAATATTATTAGCGCCTTTCAAATGACGTTCCTGTCTATTTGAGTGGGAAGGAAATGTCAAAATATGACGTCCAAATAGAATGTAGATGGGTCAAAAATGGCAGACTGCATTATTATAGGCACTCCCTTTACTATGTCAGTGCTGTATTGTACTGTAAGTTGTTTTGGGCTCGAGTCTTCGTGAAAGCGTCTCCTAACATACCGAATAAGTCTGAAATGGAAAAAGTGCTGACAGCAGAAGCTCGATAGCGATGTATGTATATAATATGAAAGTTCATGTCGCCTCAATCGGAACATAGTCAGACACCAAAGACTCTGTCCTTCTGCTTCGATGACAAAAGCAGCCCGAGTCTCGCGAGCTACAGTTTACCGCTCTCAGTTTCGACTATGTCTCTGGAAGCCACACATCGATGATTCATCTCAGCGACGTAGCAGGAAGGTATTTCTCGATAAGATAGTAACATCGCTCTTTTACAAAAAGATGGCAACCATTTTGGTTTCCCTATGAATGCTGGTGCTGATTGAATGAGACTTTTGATATGTCGAGTGCAATAATTGTGAGTGCTGGAAAATTATTCTGTGTCAGTTCACTATTCTCATTTATACACTAGCACGTTGTTGTCTACCTACTTAAAATTATGTGTCATGACATTCCCTACAAGTCTTGAAAAACCTTCTACAAGAAGATCGAACACCAGTACACCGGCGATGCTAGCGACAGTGGCGCGATACTTATTTTGACATAAAAAGACGAATGCTGTGGTAGTATCTGCAGCTTGACGGTCACGCTACATCTCAAGTCTTGACACCCAGCGGCATGCAATACCCTTTTACGCTTTAACACTTCGAATTTGCTTGTTGTGAATTGTTTCCGTATGAATGCACGAAATTGAAGTGATAATGACAAGCTGGCATGGATATAACAAGATTGTCATTATCGCAAGGTGCACCTCGCGAGGTATTCCACAAAGATTATTTACATTCTCAAGCTCTACCACCATCCCAAACAAGGTGGCTTTCCACTGACCGGACCGAAAAGCCCGTAAACTATTTGCTTACGAGCTTGGTCATGACAGAGTCGAGCATTGTGGGAACGATAAGCTACTTATGGCAATTTCGGTGTCGTGCTTAGCTGCCAAGTGAAGGAGCGACATTGATGTGCACGATCGATGTCACCTGAAGAATACTTTATCAAAACTAAAGGAGCCTATGTTTTGAATTAGTGGGTGTGAATACGGTTGATTCCGCATTACAGGAGACTATCGGAGCGTACGGTGCTGCAGAGTTTAGTCCCACGACTTTGACTGTACTACAATTGATGACAGTGGCCGCCTTGGATCGCTAGGCAGACGTTCGAAGAGATGGCTTTGGAGGTGATCTGATTGCTATTGGCCACATGACGTTGGCGAACGGATGGTGCAGAAATGGTCGAGGCATCTTCGCGCATTATTGAGAAGAACAGACCGTCTATTTCAAACATTAAGGATTGGCAAGATGTCTGGAGTGCTTCTACCAGGACTTCGTCATTCTTCGCCCCGCTGGCTCAATCTGCTGGCTCGAGACGTCGGGCGTCACGGGGGACACTCCGAAAAGGGCACGTGGAATCGGGTATCCAGCCCGAGGTGTAAACAGTGGCTCAATGATCGCAACAAGCGCCGGGCACCACACCGATCAGTCCCGATCGACCGCTGATGCACCTGGACGGGGCCGATCAATTCACGTTCTTGGCAAGTTCACTTCGTGGGACCGAGATTCGCGCTCAGCGATCGAATCGGCGTCTTGAAGGCTGACGTAGAATAGCAGGAACTATTGGGGAAAGAGGGAATGATAACCGCGGTCGTCGATCCTCTCTTCCCGGGGGTAACAGGGTTGGTGCTCCCCTTACGGTTCGCACGCTGCGCTTGCCCCCCATAGCGCACGCAGCAGAGGGAAAACCTCCCCCCTCTTATCCTGGGCCTCCCGTTGGAGGGACTTCCCGCCCTGGTCGGAGGGGGCCGGTTGACCGGCTCTTTGTAGGTCTTCGTCTCTTGGCCGTTGTTGCTCGAAGGCGATCTTCGCGCATTATTCCGCTGTAGTGTACTCCTAGAAACGTGCAGGGCAAGCGGTGCTCAACATTGCTGTCCTTTTTAAGCAGCAGGATCAGCCCGCAAACCAGATGAGGAATAAAAAATAGCCTGAGTTCTCACCTTGGCAATGCGCTCAGGAACCTTGTAGCGGGAGCCTTGAAGCTTTCTGGAAGTTGCCGCACAACAACTCAACATTTGAGGCTAGGTATTTAAAGGATGAATTTCGATTTAGTGAAGAGATTTTCACTATTTTACCTCAATATAAAATGTGGAAATAGTGGGTAAGCGCTATTTTTCGATTTGGTGCGTTAACATTGTAGCTGTCTGTCAAGTATTTGTATTTATATTGAACTATACTATAACGCGATACATGTATTTAATGCACGTATCTGATTATCAAAACATATGATGTACATGACAGTTGTTTTGCGTAGTTAGGTGCTCAACATCATGTGCTCTCTAACATAATACAGTCTTCAGCTGTGCATCTTTTTGTGGCAAAAGCCGAAATACACTACCAACTCTGCGCCAACGTCCTTCTTGTGAATTAACGATGCAATAAAAAATCAGATCACCTGATTACAAACCACTACTTTAGCCGAATACTGCAAATAAATTTAAGAGAGCAGGAAAAATTAGACGTTGAACAACCAAGCGAGACGAGGCAGCTATATCAGAAGTTTTGCGTGCTTGCTTTATATTTGCGTTTATTTGCTTTAAGCATGCATCAAAACCCCCAAACGTCCCAAACGAGAACGGACAAGAGGCTCGGAGTGGGAAAAGCAGGCGCACATGCAAGTCTGCTGGGAACCCGACACCGTACACTTGAGTCGATAATAGTGTCACTAATAAACCAGCAAAGCGGCTGTCAGGTTGCGCGGTCGCATCGTTACCGCTATCATATGCAAAGCGCAAAACCCTAGCGCGCGACTATGAACATATTCGAAAACACAAAGCGAGAAAGTCATCGAGTATGCTAACAGCAGAAATATAGCATCGCACCCAGTAAAATAGTGTGCTTGCACGGTATGAGCACGAGTCTCCACGCAATCGTCACTAAATTTAGAAATATGCAGCATGCTAAGCAATATGCAGCATTTAGTATCTGCGACTAGGGGAAGAACATTCTTTGCTGACGGTTAGGGTCAAAGATAGTTCTGGCATCCCGTCTGGAATACATAACCGAGCCATTCTTGCCAGACTTCGCTTTCCCGAAACTCTTTAGGGTCTCATTCGGAGATATCCCCACTAGGCCACAAGCAACATCGAGCCAGCCAGCCAGACATGAGTAGCCAAGACAAGGACGAGCGAGAGGAGAAACCTTTGTTTCGCACGCTCACGCCGAACGACCAGACAGACCGCTTGCAGTATCGTTCTATAGCCATAGCGGCGGCCCCACCGGCATTCGGCATGATGGGACCACGCAACCCGCTCGAGCAGATGGGCACTGCATTCCCTGGACCCATGGGGTTTAACATAGCCTCTAAAAAGTCTGCGGGTGTCAGCAAGATGCCCGAGGCCGCGACTGCGCCGCCCTCGTTTGGCACTCGTGTGGACCGCACCAAGTACGTGAACGTGACGCCACGCAATTTGCCGCCCGCTCCGTTCCGTCTCGAGTTGCACACGCATTTCCACGTGAAGCTTGAGTCTACACAGCGCGTGTGCGGCATCGTGGGAATTAAACTTTGCGAGCTGGACACGGACTTTGAGTTTAAGGCTGACAAATGCAAGTGGAAGATTGAGTACCGCCGCAACGCGCAGCGTGTGAGTTTGAACATTGTCATCTTCAAGACCAGTAAGGACGAGTACGTCCTTGAGGTGCAGCGTCGTGAGGGCGACATCACAGCGCTCATGTACCTCTACCACGAGCTGAAGAACATGTTTCGACGCAGCCAGCTGCTTAGTGACAAGACCTCTACAACCAACGGCGTGAAGCGTGCGGCCACGAAACCGCTGCCCAAGCTTCCTCTTTCCTCGAAGAGTATTCAGGACGGCGTCTCGGCACTTAAGGGTCTGCTTGAGAGCAAGTATGAAGATGCACAGATGCAGGGTGTACTGGGAGCTATTACCATGTCAACTCGTGAGGAGACGCGAGCAGGAATGGCAGGACTTGTGCCTCAGCTCGTGCTACTAGGCCAGCACCACAACTCAAATGTGGCGCGGTTAGTGAGCGTCGCGCTCTCACGGCTCTGCGATCACCCGCAGTGTCGTCAAGCATTTATTCATTCCGACGGCTGGCAGTTTATTGTGGACTGTGCTGCCGGCGGCTCCAATGTGAAGCCAGAGGTACAGCGAGAGAGTCTCCATGTGGTAGAGACACTGTGTCCGCTTTATCATGACGAGCTAATCAAGTCTGAAAGCGCCGGGCGCGTACTGAAGCTTGTGCAGGAGTGGCAGAAGATCGAGGACCCGCGTCTGAAGAAGCACGCGTGTAATGCGCACCGCGCGCTAAAAGAGGCTGGTGTCCTCGCCTAATAATGTCAAGGGTAACGAGAAGCAGCTACAGCGTTTGCAGTGGCAATGCTTCGTGCTGGGCGTATAGGAGCTAACCCAACTAACAAAGCCAAGTTGTCTTGCTTGTAAGATATACTAACCTTTTTCGAGGTCTGCTTTGTTTCTTCGCTGTGCTTTTGCGCCGGGTAGGTACGTGCTGTACGTTCGTATGATTGATAAACTCTATCAACGCCGCTGCCGAATAGTTTGAAGTACAATCCTATTGTCATGACGCCGAGACAAACGTTACACGCATTGCAAGATAGGCAAAGCACTATATTACTAATGCAACCCGATGTCAAACATTTTCCTGTCGTCGAGACGTGTCTCGTCATGCAGACCTTTTAACCTTTAACGGATTTTCTTAACAACCTCACGGCAGATATTGATTGCAAATCGAAACGATCAAACATGCGCAAAGCTAATTAGAGAATCAGCGCATGTTTTTACGAAAAAACGCCTTGCCTTGCTCCTGTGACGATATCTCCTAGCATCACCTACTGTACGCCAGACTCTCCGTGCGGCTTAATGCCATGAATAATACTATACGTTCCGATGTCGTATGTCTCCTACACGACCTCAGAAGCGTGACTATTAGGAACTCTTTTTTCCACGGACCACCCTCCCTCCAGTGTTTCGGTGGTCATGGTGATGGAAGCGTCGGACACGCTGTCATCATCCAAGAAGGTATCCATATCTGAGGCCTCGTCTTCGGAAAATATTAACTCGTGCTCCATCACATAGCCCAAGATCTGGTTCTTGACAGACCTAGGCAAATAAAACGGACACGCAGCGGTTAGCCATTGTAATGACTACGCGCAAACTATAAGCATCCTTACGAGGGGAACCAGATGTTCACTGGAAGAAGCCAATGTAATGCGAATTTGCATTCCACGCCGCCAAATACTTCGCGCAGACCAAAGTTTTCTGTTACTTCGCCCTTTAGACGGTCAATTTGCGTCGTTCCCGTAGTAATAACACTGTACTGGTCGCACATCATGCACATGGTGAAGAGTCCAAAGAGTACAGCTTCCAGAATCAAGCAGGCTACTCGAATAGCTCCATATGTGGGGCATCTAGCGTCACATCAACACATCAGCAGCAAGTTAGAATGGCAACCCCGTCCCAGACTAAAGACACTGACGTATAGACGTCATACGATTCGTTAATGCACTTGGCGTAACGGAAGAACACGAGCGTCAGCGTGTAGGCGGACAACACGAACACGTAAAAGATAAAGAGCAGGAAGAACTTGTGGTTGCCCACACCTACGCAATTGTTCACCCAGGGGCAATGGTGATCCATTTTGATGATGCAGCGATCACAGATTGAACAGTGGTGTGCTCTCCCTGGTTTGAATTGGCGACACCGACGACACGTTCGGTATCTCTGCTCTTCCATTCTACAAAAAAATCTTCATCGTCAGCAGCAGAAAAAGCAGCAACATTTTTTTACAGCATCTCGTCTCTACCTTGCAATCTCATCCTTTGATGCATGTGCCAATGCCACTGGCAGTGCTGACTCTGGGACAGCTCCAGGATCCGTTAACATGGCTACAATTGCATAATCAACAACAATAACATCAAATGTCAATAGATGTGTCTATCAAAAGCTTTTAACAGCAATAAAAGACCTTTTCCGTGTGACACAAGGGCCAAAAAGCAGATCCCCGTAGTAAGAAAAATGTGCAGCAGACCTAGAGGTGACAGACCCATCCACGGATACACCACCACGCCCTAAAACATAGAGAATAACAATGTTAATTACTTGAAAAGAAGGTTACTGGCTTAACGACGTACCACGATGGTGCATTCGGCATACAGCACCAGGAACCACGAGACAACGGCACATACAATTCCGCACGGGTCTTTATTGCACCACAGACGTACGTTGAAGCCCGTTCCGCATGACGCTGGCCGCTTACGCTGCTCCAGAGACGGCATCTATCGAGAGTTTAAACTTGGAGCGGGTTGTTCGTTTCCTTCATTATAGCATGTAAAGTCTATCTCATAGGTATTTTATAATTGACCATCACTCATACTGTACTCTTACATAGCATATATGTATCCATGCCATTTGAAAGGTCTTACGATTCTATCTACGGTCATTCCCATATCTTCTCGGTCCGTGCCATGACGTCCGCGAAGACTACGCAGATGTACGGCCGCATCGCATTAGGCGATTTAACGCCCAATCAAATATCAAAATGGACTGTTCGTGCTGTAGCTGGAAGCTCACATCAGTACGAGCGTCCGCAGCTTCAGAGTGATGCGTCAAGTAGCTTCAAGTCTTCGGACGTGGCTACTACTGCACGACGCCTCCAAATAGCGGCGTTAGACGAGCGACTGAGTGCTTGTCTTCGCTGTGGGACATGTGATATCTCATCATTTGCGTCACTGAATGAGCAGTATACGCACTTCAAGTCAGCAGCACATTGTGTAAACCTTAAACGTCGAGCTCGTGGTCTACCGAGTCTGTCGGAGGAGGACGCGCTCCAGTATCAAGAGAAACACAATAAGGAAAAGCGGAAATGTAAAGACAATATGTACAGGGGCTACGTGTCGTCTTCGTCTTCTTCTTCGTGGTCAGAAGAAGAGAATAATGAAGTCAAGGTCGTTGCAACATCAGAGCCAGTGGTTGAGTTCTCGGATGGCAAGAGCGTGTTTAAGGTGGGTGGGTACATGTACTTACAGCATGGCTGAAGCTGCTACTGACTTGTAGCGATTTTCCGTATCCTGATGCTTTCTCTTTTGCAGGTGTTTAAGAATATTTTACCGGATGCTGAAGAGGAGACTTTTAATCCGTATACGTCTCTAGATAAGATTTGTGCGTCCAAGTTTCGTTGGGCAGTGTTTCTACTACGTAGTGGTCGATTTGCTGGTGCTGTGTTTGATAAAGATAAATCGTTGTGTCACAAGACCTTCCAGCGGTATACGACGAGACGGAAGCAGGGTGGCGCCCAGTCTGCTAGTGACGCGAGTGGCAAGGCAAAATCTGCTGGAGCTACTCTGCGACGGTATAATGAAGCAGCTTTGAAGCAAGACGTGGCAATGCTGCTCATAGAGTGGAAGGATGTACTGAAAGATGCAGAGCTTATTTTCCTGTCGAGTGGAAAAACAGAGCGCGCAACTTTTTTTCCGGAGAAGAATGCAGTGCTGCAACCAGGTACGCTGCTCCAGATGTGTTTGGCAGAATTCTGATGATGTAGCTAGTAATGTGCTGACGAAATTGATATGCTACAGACGACAAAAGGTTGAAGAGGATTCCCTTTGCTACATTCCGACCGACTTTCGAAGAGGTGTGCCGAGTGCGTTCCGACCTCAGCAGCGTCCGGTTCTCACCCCTTGAAGCAGCAACAATGTCTACTGTCGACAACACCAAGAAACCGAAAAAGAAGAAAAATATTAACGAAGTGGCATCCGAAGTTGAAACCGACAGTATTCAGGAAAACGTGGAGGAGGAAGAGGTCCCTCGCATTGTTCAGCTGGTAAATGATGGCGACTTGAATGGTATTACGGAGCTGCTGTCCAATGCCGAAGAAAAGGAGATCACAGTGAACGAGGTAGATGCCAAGTTTATGACAGCGCTTCACCACGCTGCTGCAAAGGATGCTGTGTCGTTGGTGGAGTATCTGTTAGAACAAGGGGCCAATCCAGCCCTTTTGGACCTTCGTAATCGACCTCCGTACTTCCTGTGCAGCTTGAAAGAGACTCGAAATGCGTTTCGTAGATATATGGGTGAGCACCCAGATATGTGGGATTACGCAATAGCGCAAATTCCCGAAGGGCTTACGAGTGATATGGAGCAGCGCAAAAAGGAAAAGGAAGCTGAAAAACGAAAGCGAGCCCGAGAACGCAAGAAACAGCAAAAAAAGGAAGCAGCCGATCAAAAGCGAGAGGAAGCTGCACATCAGGAAGAGTTGGAGCTCAAGATCGCAGCAGGTCTGGCTTGTGATTTCTGTGGCAAGTATGCTGGAAAGTCTCCATTTACTCGCTTAGAGTTTAAGTACTGCTCGACGAACTGTGTCAATGGACACAAGCGTAAGCTGATGAGTGAGGCAGCTCTGCGTCGACTCGGGGGTTGAGCATTTGCTGCGGTGCATCAGCTGATGCACAGGATGATGAGCTGGAGACGCTGCAGCAAGTATATGCCTGGATCGGCAAGATTAGGTTATTGCGATATCGCTCACGGTTTCGGCGACGGCAGATGGACAGTGATCGTTTGCGCGTGTGTGCAAAAGTACAACGCTGCCAACTCCCAATCAACCAAGCAGAAGCAATACAATCGGAATTACGCGTACTCGTTAGGAGCCTTTGCACACTTTGAAAGTTCTCTCTTTCAACGCTTTGGTCTGACGCCATGATATGTCTTGGGCCATTCTTGCAGAAATGTGTTCAAGAAACTTTGCATCTACATTACAAACCTGGTGCGATATCACTCTGTCATCCTGGACCCGGGATCGAGTCTAATGCCATTAGGCATTGACAAGTAAAGCTTCAGATTACGGAACTTCGAAGTATACGACATTGATGACTCGTACGAAGATTCATTGACACCGAGATTTGTCAATATGGATGACGACGGTATAAGTTCATAATGTATCGGCAGCATCATATGGACGCCAGCTAGATGCGTATTGACAGATCACGAAAATGGACAATGAAGGGTATGTCGCGCTCAGATTGAGCTCTACTTCTTTATCGAGCATGCCCTTTTGTGGTGCTGTGCTCCTGCCTATGCGCTGCATTCTCGAGATGGCCGCGGCGGCTGAAATGATACTTCGAGCTTGTAGTGCTTCGAGGTCTAAAACTAGCATGAGATACTCGAAGATATGCGTCACATTCGCGATGCAAATATAATTGTTGAAATGTTTTTACGATGAGAGACTGGTCAACATGAAGCGATTTTGCAGATATCCCTCCCCACGGATCTAGCAGTTACTGCATGTGCACACACTCGAGAAAAATACAATCTGCGGTGGGGACACATAGCCCAGAGCCCACTGAAATGGGCTACCATTGTGAATTATGATAGGAGACTGAGACGATCCGGTGTTGCCAGAGAGGTTCGTCATGGAGGTGCGACGCCTCGCGGTTGAACGCGATCCGGATAGAGCAGCAAGTGTAGCGTCTTCGGGATCGGAAGACCATCCGTTATACTCAGAGTCAGGCGAAGGCGAGGGACACGCTTTGCGTTTCCCTTTAGCTTTCGACGAAACATTGGGTCGCATTGTAATAACGGATCGCACCGACTTGGCAGATCGTTTTGGGGTACCAGATCGCGCCGGAGAACCAGATCGCGCCGGAGAACCAGATCGCGCCAAAGTATTAGACTGTGCCGAAATGACGGCACAGCACCTTATTGCAATGGGAGTAGACATGGTACATTTGAGGCAGGGGTGGAAGCGACTACATAGCTGCAGTAGAGCCACTTTTGCAGGATGACGGTGCTGCACGAAACAATTTCTCGTTTATACTGCACCACTGGAACCACAACTTAATTGAAGATGATAAGGACTATATCATCTCACCACTTCGGATTAAAATTTTGGGGTTAGGGGGGCGTAATTGACCCAACTTTATCGAGCGTCTATTGGCAAACAAAGATCAACGAAAAAGATACTTCGCTAGGTTTTGTGCATGATCTGGAGCAAACGCGATTTTTATATCATTACAGCTGTCTCGCGCCTGCTGCGTACGGCTATCGCATGAGCACAAATGATGTGTTTCTGCAGAAACGTTCCATGTTTACAGTAAATGCCCCCAGAGCATTAGCTCGAAAACTCATCATTTCTTAGTGAAGCATAGCTATCCAGTAACGTGTCAGTCGCATGTCTGTCTATGACTTCTCTCGTCACAATTATAGGCGTCTGAGTTTTGTCGTCTCTAGGGCGTTGAAGCTACTCACGCTATTGATCGTTCATCTCTCGAATATTTCCAGTTTCACGAAAATGAACGATCAGATTGTCCTTCTTTCAAATTTTAAAAAAACAATTGTTATTTGCGAACTTTTCCATTTCTATTAAAGAAAATGAGAAAATGTAGAGAAAGCTGCCCATTTCTTTAGAAAAATGGGGACAGCTTATTTATCAGCCCGGGTCTCTCTATACCAAAACCCGCGGTCCGCCGTGGTTTTTTTTCCGTCTAAGAAATTATGATCAATATTAGCCAATCCAAACCCGGCAGTAAGTTCGCCTTTTCTCCTCCATTCCCCTCTCAACGTGGCTGCCTGCATCTCTCTACGCTTCATCCCCTCTCTATTTCCCTTCCCCTACTTACAACATGGACATTTCTTCCGCCCTATTAAACACTCAAAGCCCTGGTACGTCCTCTTGTATGCAGCAGATACTGCTAAATTGCTCTCTCTCTCTCGTACTGACGGTATCTTGTAATGACAGATTTGGCGCTACGCAAGCAAGCCGAAGAACTTTTAAACAATGCATTGCAACAACATATGGGAAAATTTATGGTGACGCTTGTACAGGCGCTCGCTTCGGAGGAGTTTGCTGTCGTGGGCCGTCAGGCTGCCGGTTTGTACCTCAAGAACGTGTTGGATGCCAAGGACGACGTGCTGCAGCAGCAGAAGATCAATGCTTGGATGGCCATGGATCCAACGCTGCGTATGCAGATCAAGGAAGGATCACTCAGTGTACTTCAATCTAGTGACCCAGTCGCTCGTCATACGAGCGCTCAGCTAGTAGCCAAGATTGGCAGCATTGAGCTGCCTGCCAAGGAGTGGCCTACTCTGCTTGAAATGCTATTGCAAAATGTGACCAATGGAAATGAAGGCTGTATCCACGCTACACTTGAGTGCCTCGGCTACTTGTGTGACGAACTCGAGGAGAACACTATTGACGAGCAGGACACTAATCGTATTCTCACGGCAATTGTGGACGGCATCCGTGCTGACCGTCCACCTGCGATCCGGCTTGCTGCCGTAACGGCTTTGCGGAACAGTCTAGAGTTTGTAAGCGAGAACTTTAAACGCAAACAAGAGCGCGACCACCTCATGCAGAAAATTTGTGAGGCGACACAGTCCTCAGACCTGCGCAACCGCGTGGTAGCGTACGAGTGCATTGCTGCCATCGCGACAATGTACTACGAGTACATTGCTGAGTACATGGAGACACTGTGTAAATTGACGTTTAATGCCATCACGAGCGACCAGGACGAGGTGGGCCTGCAGTCACTTGAGTTCTGGTCGTCCATGTGCGATGTGGAACTCGATTTGATTGAGGAGATGAACTACGCTGAGCTCGAAGGCCGGACCGACTTCATTCCTTGCAACTACTATGTGCAGACGGTGCTAAGCACGCTTATCCCTATACTGACCGAAACGCTAAAGAAACAGGAAGACGATCAGGACGAAGACTCGTGGAATCTGTCGATGGCTGCTGCAACTTGCCTTGCTCTGGTGGCCCAGGTTGTCGGCGATGCTTGTGTCGAACTTACCATGACATTCATCACGCAGAACATCGAAAGCAACGAGTGGCACGCAAAAGAGGCCGCTATCATGGCATTCGGCTCGATTCTAGACGGCCCTGAATCGGCCAAAATTGCCCCACTCGTGCGTCAAGCACTTGGTTTTTTGATGAGCTGTATGAAGTTTGACAACATTTTGGTGCGTGACACTACGGCCTGGACGCTCGGTCGTATCTGCGAACTACATTACGGATGCATCAGCGGTGAGATGCTGCCCGGGCTCATGCAGCTTTTGCTCGAGGGACTGGACCAGGAGCCTCGTGTATCGCACAACGTTTGTTACGCGATCCACAATATTGTGAAGGCCTTTGAAGAGTCGGAAGCGGCTGCGCATATGTTGACTCCGTACTTCAATACGCTTTTTGACAAGCTGCTTGAGACGAGCAACCGGCCGAACGCAACCGAGAGCAACCTTCGCGGGTCAGCCTACGAGGCCTTGAATGTGTTGGTGCAGGCTGGTGCTGACGACGTGAATGAGCACATTATGTTGCGACTTCCTATGGTGCTTGAACGCTTGGAGCACAGTATCAAGACTTTGATCGAAAATCCAGACAGTGTTCACGATGATCAGGCTGGTCTACAGGCATTGCTGTGCGGTGTCTTGATTGCTGCTATCCAGAAACTGAACATTGACATTGAGCCGTTAGCAGACCGCATCATGCAGGCGCTACTCCAAGTGTTCTCTACCCGGAATGCTGCAGCCGCAGAAGAAGCTTTTATGGCTGCAGGCGCTTTGGCCAATGTTGTCGGCCCCAAATTCGAAGTGTACATCCAGTACTTCGGCCCAGTCGTGTTGATGGGTCTGAAGAACAGCGAGGAGTACATGGTTTGCAGTGTGGCGGTGGGTGTCGTGGGTGATCTTTGCCGTGCTCTAGAGAGCAAGATCTTGCCGCTGTGCGATGGAATCGTGGCCGCTTTGATCGAAATTCTGAAGAATCCAATGCTGAACCGCTCGGTAAAGCCGCCAGTGCTGTCTTGCTTTGGTGATATTGCGCTGGCTATTGAGGGTGAGTACGAACGATACGCAATGCCATCGCTTCAGATGATTCTACAGGCTGCGGGTGCATGTGGATCGATTGCGACGGACGACGAAGAAGTGGTGGAGTACATGAACCAGCTGCGTGAGAGCGTGCTGGAGGCTTTGACGGGTATTGTGCAGGGCCTTGGAGCTGCCAACAAGGCGACTATGTTGATGGAGTGCGCGCCGCAGATTGGAGCTTTCCTGGCTACGCTAGCAAACGACCTTGCGACGCGATCTGACGCTGTGACGACTGGTGCGGTGGGATTGATTGGGTACGTGATTCATTTGTCTGCGCACCGATAAAGTGTAATTTACTAACTACTGTATATTCTGTACGATTGCAAATGCAAAGTGACATGGGCCAGGCAATGGGCAAGGCTGTGGAGACGCTGTTTCACCAGCAGTTCGTGGTTCAGCTTGTGGGTGAGTGCGCTAATAACGCGCAAAATCCTCAGGCACAGCAACTGGCGGCGTGGACCCAAAAGGTGATGATGGATCTACAGTCAAACTAAGCGTGGTTTCAGCGGCTTTAGTTTCGTCCCTCGTCGCAATTGGTTGCTTGCCTTCTGCAATAACTGATGCGATAATCGATGGAACCTAAGTGCATGTGGACCAAGGCTTTGTCAAAACTTGCTGGCGAGCGCGGATTTGCTTTTCCTTGCTCTTGCTGGTCGCCTTCTGCGATCAACAAAAACGAGTGGAAAGTGAATGCTTCGCGTTTGCCCATCGGATGCCGTTTGTTATCCTGCGTGTTAGGAGTGCTTATTTATTGGGCGTGTTTAGCTAGCTGCCTGGGCGGTATTTTGCGGCCAGGCAGCTGATGCGTTCGTTGACGAGTACTGCATCAAGTGTTACGTCATTACCTTCGTGCTTGTTCTCCCCGACTGGGAGGGCAGGCACAAAAAGCAGATCGTTCACTAGCGCTCGGGTGTGAGGTAGGAAATCATAAGTTTCGTTATCCATAGAGAACAGGAGAGTAGCTTTGTTGCACAACGCAGCAATCTGCTCGACTGCTTTCTCCGTTTACCCCACCAATTGCTTGTTTCTTGTTAAAAGCGTCTAGCGTCGAAGTTCACTTGGAAATGACTTCAAAACAACGGCACCCTCCAGTTCCAACATTATCTACTAATTTAAGCACGAGTTTCTACACGAGCTGCTCAAGGTCCACCGGCTTGAATACACCCTTGGATTCCTCCATGAAGACGACACCCTGCTCTATAATAATCTGGTGCTTGCCGAAAGTGTAGATTGGCTGCCCATCGTGAAAACCCTTTGGTATGAAAGTCAAGTTGTGAGTGATTGCCAAGTTTTCGACGACATCCTTCAAGCTAACGCTGTGGGATGCGCTATTCGGCGGCATTTTTTCCTCATGAATTGGCGCTTCCTTCATCGTCTCATCTCGTGCCAATGCCAATGCATCTTGATAATTTGTGGCCGCGCTTTCGTTTAGTTCGGGAAGTGGAGGTCTGCTCTCTGTCGGCGCACCAACTGACTCGGTCGCCGCCTGCAACAACACAAGAGCTCCGTGAAAATGCACCAGCAATCTCTCGTTTGTTGCTAGACTTTTCTTGTCAAAAAGAAGCTTCCATCCGCAATACCATTTTTCTAGCTCAATCAAGTTCGGTGACCCGGCAACCCATTTCCGCAATACCTTGATCCACTTCGAGAAGAACTCGCCTTCTAAGAGAGCAATGAACTGGCGATCGGGAAGATAGTCTTGCCATGCTAACACCCACGTCAAAGCTTCCAACGATTGGTTTTCCGGATTGACCTCAAATTCGCGATGCAAACACCGGATCAATTTTCGGACAATATTCCGGTGAGTAAATTTTCCATACTCATGTTCGCCCCAGAGCTCTCTCCACGGAGATAAGACGGAAAGCACTGACAAGTCCGACGGATGCCACTGACTTAATGTGCTAGCAAGAGTCAGCCGAATATCAGGGTAGAGAGACTTCATCGCACAGCCGATGTAAGGTAGCCAAGGAAGCAACCACTCCTGAATGGGTTTCGTATCTGAGCGAGGATCCCAGCGATGACACTCTTTTTTCAGCCGAGAAAGCACCAACTGGTGAAGAAATGCATCCTCAAATTCACTGGAAAGGTGTGGTCTAATCTTTAGGAATAAATCAACACAAGCAGATGGGGCCAATCTAGCTTGCCATTCCACATTCACGCACTGAACCATTGCAGGCCACAACGTTTCCTCGAGGATAAAATTGTACAATTCTTCACCTTTCACCATGGTCTTCTCACGGATAATAGGTAGTACATTAGCTGCCCTGGTTGTATCGGCAGTGGCTCTGTTGCTCGGTAACTCGACTAGAAATATCTGGATCAAGCGGAACTGCAGCACAACGCTATCGCTCGACTTTCGGTCGAGCAGGTGCGATTCTGTGAGTAATGCTCGAAGCGGGGGTATACAGAGTGACGGCACGAGTTGTTGCAACTCGTGTGCGTCGAATTCTAGTGGGAAGCTTCGACGAAGTTGGTGCAAATGTGATAGCAAAGACTCCACTGATAGCGTCTCTAAAGCCTTCTCGCGTAAAGCATCCAGCACTTTCATTTGCTTAACCATTGCTTGCATGCGTTGCAGTCGAACGTCATCCACACTCAGCTGTGCGCAGATCATCTTCACCTCTTTCTTCATTATGGCAACACTTTCCGTGTTGACGTCAATCTTTTGGCTCAAGTCAACAATCTTCCCTTGTGCCACATTTACCACCATCCGCACATTGTAAATTAACTCATCGCCTAATTTGGGTCTTGCTGCTTCCACACGAAGCGGGTCCACATGAAAGGCAGCCGTAACATCAGACAGAACGCGTACAGAAGGCCCCCGCATATCCAACACGACATCACTTCTCTTCTGCTTCTTCATCTCTTGAGCTTCCTGCGTCACGTCCGCTGCTCGTCTGTGCTTCTTTCGACCAGCCGCCACCTTCCTCTTCCTCCACAAAGTGTCATCCTCCACAATATCTTGAGCACTTTCATCCATCTCCTGCTCCACAATTTCACCTTTCAGCTCCTTTTGTAGCTTCCTGTTCTGTTTAAGATTACTGGCTTCCACAAAGTCTCCGTAGCCCATGCCCATCTGTGCAGGACGCTTCTTAACTTCAATAGTGGCCGACACACCGTCCTCTTTCTTGCCCAAACGGCCTTTAAAGCCCATTTTAGCCAGCATTTTGCTACCAAAACCTGTTGTATGTCTTTCCCAAGAAAAAGTCTTGGACTTGGCCGTTATAGCTGCTGGAGCTGCTTCATCCATCGTCTTGTCGGCTCCGAGACCAATCCCAGACCCTGCATTCGGTCTAAGACCCAGACCAGAGCTCGAACTTGACCCTAAATCGATACCTGACACTTCGTTTGCGACAAATCCCAAGCCAGAGCCCTGTGAAACCTCGATCGCGTCCAGCTCGGAGCCTATGAGGTCCATTTCTTGACGACATCTCATGGCGGCGTCCGTCATCGAATTGAGCTCATGATTTCTAGTATCGCTAAGTAAAATGTCTTGTTTTGTGTCTGGGTCATAATCTGCATGTTCCTGACGTGTCTCTGTCTGGAACATTCGCGCAAAGTCGGCGTTGGTCAAACTTTTTCCAGACGACGTCATTGTTTGAAGCAAAGAATTGATGTGGAATTTGTGTCCAGAATATATAATTTCTTTTTTAAATTTTCAGATTTGCAATAAGTGAATATTTGGATTAGACCCGCACAATTTTAGACGTACGATATGTAAAAACTCATCGTATACAGATCGGCTCAAAACACTTTAATGACAAGCTTTTGCTATCGAGACACTCGCAGGATTCCATCAATTTTATGGTGGCGTCCGTAGCAAAAAACTGCTTATCCGTCTATTAAACACAATTCAGACCCAAAATCTTGACAGATTGAATTTGGTAGCTAAACTGTGTGCTCCCTTGATCCAAGTGTCCCATTCCGTCGTCATTGGTGGTAGAGGCAAAGGCAAGTGTCACGAGGTATCTCCTGTCGCAGTTCGCCGTATCAGGCACAATAACAGCTCAAGCTTCGAAGTTACTTGAATTGCAGAAACCTTGGGCAACGGTCGAAATCTTAGTGTCGTGACTCGCCGCCGCATTGAAGTCGTCGTCACTTATTCGCGTACTCGAATGCTGCGTCACAAAATACTGCTGGCCACCCTTTCACGTAGCAGCAAGACCTTATTACTCCTTTGAATCATCTCTCGTGTTCTTCCAAGCTAAATGAACATATTACAGCAATCCAGGATGGTCTGCAAAGCACTTTGTTGTCGAAAAGCTGGCACAACGCCTTTTCGGCATCTTCATGTCATGAAAACCAATGATCGCAGATACTTCAAGAAACAATCACGTGACTACCACGAATGGTCAGCATTTTTCACCTAAGCAGTGCACTCGTCGGCTTTCAAAGACGCTTCGCCATTGGCACCGTAACGAGCCTCGAGCACTGCTGGGTTATCCACAGAATCTTCGTCATCAACAGAGAGCGCAAGTGAACGTCCACTAGGTGCACTGAGCACCCAACCATGACGACTGTCTTCGAAAATAAGGAAGAAAGCGAGCAGCAGCACCAAAATTGCCATGCCCAGAAGCATGAACATGACATCACGGTAGCTTCCCGACTCATCGCGCAAGTATCCCACCAAAAGATTGCCAAACGTGGCACCGATCGCATCTGTGATCTCTACCACGCCAAAAGCAGTGCCAAAGCTTTTACGGCTTACGGAGCTAGGGATCGCGGCCATCAGGATAGTCGGCGTGAACGACAGGCAGATGGAGATCAGCAGCATCGATACGAGAGGATTAAGTTCCGTGAAGATCATGAACACATAGGCCAAGACCGACATAATGGCGGAGAGGATGATGAGCACACCGCGTCCACCAAACTGATCGATTGCGAGGCCGATGAACGGCGCAAACACCACGAATAAATGGGAGAAGCTGCTCACGACGCCAGCCTTCACGATAGAATAGTCGTATCGCTGGAAGAGGTAGCTGGCACTGACATTCTGGAACAGATGAAAGACGTTGATGGAGCTGACGTGCAGCATTGCTATGATCCAGAACATGCGCGAGAAATTGTGTATATTGTCGCACGAAATCTGTTTGGCGTGGACGTGCGACTTCCGCCAGCAGTGTTTGTGGCGCTTCCTCGCAACATAATCCTTAAGCCAATGGAGACCAGGGTCCAGTGGTTCCTCACTGATCACGCGGCTCTTGACAATGCGTTTGAGATTCAGCGTGTAGTGACACACCAAGACGCCAATGAGCGCCGAGACAACGCAAACTACCACTCCATACCAAAGAGCCTGTACATACCCGCCAAAGTAAAGAGCAATCGGGGCGACTGTGGATTTCGCCATCATCTTGGAGACGTTAGTAACAGCTACACTGACGCCCATGGCAAACGTGAGCTCCCGGTTCTGGAACCACGAGGCAATGAAGACACGAGCGCCTACAACGACGCTGCCCTCGCCCACGCCAAAGATAATGCGTCCAAAGAGCGCTAGCCAATAGAGCTTAAGTTGCATGCCAATGGCGAAAATGGCCTGACCTACGCATATCCAGATCAGAAAGAAGCGGATGCTGTGATGACCGCTCTTGTCCATAAGACGGCCACCCAGCAGTGGCAAGAACATACTAGGCACCGAAACGGCTGACAGCAGTGCACCATACATTGTGTTGGTGATGGGAAAGTCCGGATCATCTAGCATCAACTGTTCCAGCGACGACATACCATTCTGTTTATAACACGGGACACGATACCATATTATCAGACCACTTCATGTACCATAAACGTACTCACAAAATACCGTAAATTTACCTTGACAAAGTGGCCGCCAAATGGGATGCAGCTCATGAGAAGCAGCAGATACAAGCGATGCGGCGGAGACGTGGTACGCCAAAACTGCCACGCGGGGGCGCTGTGTAGCGGCGAGTGGGACAAAGACAGACCACTGTTTTCTTCCTCTGGAAATGTCGACACGTCGTAGACTAACGGTGTGAGTTCCGACGACGTGGATGACTCGTGCTTATGCGCCATTTCTGCTGCTGTTTCTATTGACGGATTGGTCGGTAGACGCTAGAAATGATCAATGCCCTTGCTTTGCTATGACGGATAAAGCACAGTGACAGACAGACAGATAGATAGAAAGCCGTTAGCTTGAGCTATGTTAGTAATGGCTCCTTCCACTTATGGAACAATTCACTGCAACTTGAGTTATTGCTTGGCGTGGCGACTGGCCGCCGCCACGCGCTAAATATCGACGATCTGCGACAAGGCCGTTTGACCACCGGAATGGAAGGCAATAGTCCTACATCGACTTTAGCAGGAAATACATTTATGAAGGCATAAAGTAGCAGGAAGACGTCGATAAATGTAAATACGGTACTATTAGGTTTTGCAATCAGCTCTATGTTGCTGCAAGGTCCATGCCGTTTCGCTGAAGGCACGTGCAGCGCTCCAATCAGATCCCCCCATGCGACGTTTCAAATGACGGTGTCCAAGGACTGAGGGCACCCAGATTCCGACAGTCGCAGCCCCGTCGGAACCGAGATTCGATGATGATGACGCGGTACTTCAGCCATACTTACCGACAAGGTGAGCTGGACGGTCACTTTTTTAGCTGCACGTCGGTGCACGCCGTTGAGTCGTTGCTGCTGTCATTAAGACGCTGTGGGCTTCCTCTTGCTTCTGGAGTGGACCATTGCATGCGCACGATGCGTGCTAACAGTGGGTGGGCGCATGAAGGCGAATTACTTCTTCTTCGTCTTCGTTGATATTCGTTAGCTCTGTTGCAGCAGCGTAGACCAATCGTTGACACTTTGTCATTTTCATGTGCATATACTTATCGGCACAATCTGTAGTAATCCAATACACAGCGCTACTTGTGCTCTGAGCATTCTAGCCACCATTACATTGCACATCGTGGTGGCAAGTTGCCGAATTGGCCTCTGCCTGGCTCAAAATACCTATCGTGTTGCTGATAAAAGCACTCATTTCGACCTTAGACTAGCGTCAATGACACGGACCCGCGTCCAGTGAGTGCATTGCCTCAATAGCTATGGTAGATCGTATTCTTACGATTTGCTCAAAGTTTTAAATGCACAAATACATTAGGTTTTGTATTACTCGAAGAGCTGTAGATGTGTTCCTATAGATCTCGTGCATGAATGACATCAAGCATGAGACTCAGGTAACATCCAGAGTTATAATACCATACTCTCTTTTCTATTAAAGGTTATTGTGACCGTTAAGTAACCGCCGCAACCTCAACCTTCTGTCCAAACCGAACTGCCCCAAGTCCATCAAACTGCTGACAATCACTCTTTGATTTATTCCGCATTGAAGCATGTCGACCACTCGGGTGGGCGAGCGACTGAAGGAGCTGACAGCTTTCCTGGCACACCAGCACGCAGTCGACAGCGTAGAGGAGACATTCGACCACTTACAGACGGAAATCAATGACGCTATGGGGCGCTCGCGGGCATCGGCGCAGCAGTGCACGATCTTGTTGTTCCAGAGCGCGGAACCGCCCAGTTTATTGAGATTTCTGAGCGCTAGCGCCGACTTTGCCGATGACTCCCGCAAACGTGAGATCTCAGCGGCCAGAGGCAGCGTCCTGGTCCTTTTGGCGTCCTTTTTGAAGTCCTACGGGACCCACCGCGCGCTCTCAAAGCAGCACGTAGTGGACATGTACAATACATGCCAACAGACGGCACGGGCGGATCCGTTTAATCGAGTCAAGGCTCATGCACTGACGGTATTGTCGAAATCTATTATAACTAGAGAAGTGGAGAACTGTGTACTGATTCTAGTGCCATTAGGTGGTGATCAATATACTCAAGTACGCTGACAAGAGTGTCGATAGTGAAGACATTGAGCCGCGAGCTTACGTGGAAAAGCTGTTTAACGACGTCAAGTTTTCAAAAGCAACACAGACAGCAAAAGGACAGATGCTGGAGGTCATTGGCTACTTAGTGGAGAAGTTTCCAGCGGAGGTGGAAAGTTCTGTGCCGTCACTACTGATCTGGACTGAAGACGCGTTGGAGAAACAGTTTTTGAGCAATTCGCCCGAGATGATGATGGTTAATGGACTACTTTTTGCGCTGGCTCGTTTGCTGGAATGTGATGCAGAAAGATATACGCGAGACGAAGGTCTGCGCAAGAAAATCTACTCGTGAGCTGAAAAGTGGATGTTGGGCGTTGGAGGAACTGTAATTTAACTATCTGTGTATCTTCCAATTTTAAATGCAGATATTTGCTCACAGTGTTTGCAACAACAGTTAGCGGTACTTTATCTCGCTATCAGGTAACGAACTCTTCAGAAATGTTTTTGGTCAAACACGCGCAGATATTTCAGCAAGAAATCGGTCCAAGTGGCCATTTATGGTTTTCGTACATGAAGTGTTGCTGCTTGAGCGAGAACAAGACGGTGCGATCACATTTGCTTTCAATCTTTGTACATGTAAAGTTGAGCTCTCGGCTGACACCGTACTTTGTTTCTTGGTCAGATCAAAAAGCACGCATTCGATTGCTCTAGCGCAATCTTTGAGACCTTAGATGCATACCTACTGGATATGATTGATGACATGCGCAAGAAATGCCTGAACAAAATTTTGAAAGAAGTACTTCCTGTCGTGAGCGATTCTGCTGCTGGCACATCAATTATGGCATTCGCAGTGCAGTGCCTTGGTTGGCTTGCTCAATCGATCTATAGTTACCTTGGAGCAAAAAGCTATGGCAAGATTGAAGAGAAGCTTAGAACTTTTGGTGAGTCCCTTTTGGCACTGGATGCGAAAGCGACAGCGCGGAAGTGGCCACTTTTTTCGCAGTATGTACAAAGCATTGGGCACTTTGTAAAAGAGGTAAGATAAGTCGTGGGATGATAACGGAACCCTGGTGTGATCTAACGTATAGACGATGCATTGCATATACCAAGCGTCACGATGTTCCGCTGGACGAAGGTTACGTCAACTTTTTAGGGGATATATTGTGTCATTTAATGACAGCTTACCCCCAATGCCTTTGGAAGTCGAAAGTGATGGTTCACAAGTCGGTTGCTGCAGTAATTTCTGCTTTGTCAAGCTGGACGGTGGTTGATCCTTTGGTTGATCGCTTTGTCCTCCACACATTGATGTTGAGTATTTCAAACGCCACAGATCCAGATCATACGGTACGATAGTAGATGCAACAAGACACAAGAGCTGTTGTGTATCGTTTGCGCAAGTCTGACGCCGCTTGGCTTTATCTACGGCAGGTTATTTATCATCCAGATACGGGAGAGATAGTGACAAACCTATTATACGACTACGAAGGTTTTTGGCTGGCTTTACTTCACTGCCACACAAAAACCCTTGTGGAGCCTACACCAGTTTTAAGTACCAATGGCAGTGATGACGTTGAGATGAAAGAGCCTACGGTAGTTGGGAGGACGCTCCAAGTCGTCCTCGTCGATTCCACTATCAAACGTGTTCTTGGCATCATCAGTCAGCTCAATCTTTCCTACCAATTCGATCTGCAGCAGAAAACCAACTACGAAAAGATTACGACCGGGTACTTGGTAAGTGTTTGTACGTGAACAGTCTACGCTCACTTCATTAAGCTCATTTTGCCCATGCGGACCACAGCCTATTGTACCTCGCGACCACACGATTATGCTCAACCTAACTGAATTTTTTGAAAGGGTCGTCGGCAAGTTTCCGAGGTCCTTACTGTTTCCATGGGTACGTTGGTCTCCGATAACGATCGCAATTTGGCAGGCTGTTACTCACTTGATGTTGTACAGATTTCATTGATAATGCATCAGCTTTTTACTATTGCAACCAAGCTGCCATTGGTTTCTTGCTTTTACCGAATTGGAACTGTAGTTGCTAAGGCAATGGACGATTTGAAATACTTTAATTCACTGCCGAGCTTAAGTGGGTCTGGCGATGATCGACAGTCTCGCTTCCGTGATGATTTAACGAATTTTATCGAGAGGGTTTGTATTCAAACACGTTTTTACCAGGATGAGCTACTTTTGACGTGTGCTGAGTTTGTCTTAACGTCGCCGATAGGATTGGTCGCTATTGATACTATGATTGACATTGTAAAGTCAATCCTGGAACTCGGAAGATCGTACCTTCCTGCTGCCACCATTGCTGTGAAAGCATTGGAACGCTGGCAAAAACAGTGTCCGAACAAGCTAGAAGATGTGATATCTAAAGCCGTTCCGCTGCTTTCGACATATCTCGATCAAGAAGGGTTTAGTGATGAACGAATTCTGTTGAATAAACCGATTGGGAAGAGTGCGACCAGTGTAGACACTGACGAAGCATCCGAGCTTGGCCAGCTGCAGCGTCGTATTTTGCTGCTTCTTGGAAAGTATGGCGGTAAAGTATCACTCTTAATAAGCGAGCCTCCTCCCGTTGTTAACAGTAATGGTAACATGGGGTGTATTTCCTCGCCTTTTTTTCGGTTGGAACTTCAGCTGAGTGAGCTTTCACTGTCACTAGCAATGGGGCCCATTTTATCGCATCTCGGAAACTTAGCAGCCCACAGTTCTGTCCGACGCGTGAAAGTCAATTCAAGCGAAGGGTATCATGCTTTGGTTTGTTATTTATGTGGAAAAACAACGACGCATCCACACGCAGCTGGAAAGAAAAGCGTTTTTTATGATATATGGTGCGAAGTTTTTACGCGCGTCGTGCGCTTAGCTGCGGACCCAGAAAAAATTTGCCGGTCTCTTTTTGAGCCATTACTTTTCCAGCTACTTCGCTGGCTGGCAACAAGTAAAGATACATTTCCATTGGAGTATGCAAGCATGTTGGACGAGCTGATCCAGAGTTTGTCGGACTCTGAAACGGCTGTCCGCACGATGTCTGCTCGATGTATTGCGACACTTCTTTCACTGGCTTCTGAAGATGCCATCACGAGGATAGAGGTCGATAACTTATTTGAGCGAGTTTTTTCGTTGTGTCGCCATCCTGGGGCTATTCAGCGCAGCGGCGCTGTATCCACGATTAGCTATTTCCTTCGATCTCTAAACGAAGAAAATGAGGCGGTTCTGGCACAGTTTGCTTTGCCGTGCCTGAAGACTCTTTTTTATGCGTTGCGCTTGTGCGATAGCAATTCTCGAAACACGAACGGTGGAGTTGATACATCGAGAGATGTGATTGTGAAAGCTGTGCTGAAGATTGAACGTGGAATAACTCGCTTCCCTCATTTGTTTTTGAAAGGGAGTAATACAGCACGACAGGATGGTGACATAAGCCTTCAGCAAAGAACCATTTGGCTCTTTCAGCAGACTGGAGCACGTGAGGTCTTGTTTCGTCGGCTTTGCAGACAACTTTTTATGTCATTTAGTGTATTGATTTGCAAGTCGAGCATTGAGTGGATAGAGAGGTATGCGTCATCGCACGGAAGAGAATCTATTGCCGCTGTGCTGGTACCAATGAGCTCACTTGCTTTAACGCTTCCTGATGTTACAATTGAGTGGATGGAGCAGTTGTCTGCATCTATCGAGAGTTATGTTTGGTGCGTAGAGTTGCTTGGTGACAAGGCAGAAGACTTGTTTGCGTTTAGTGTGTTGGAACCTAGGCAAGAAAGCGTGAAGCGAAAACATTCTTCTGGATCGACAGACCCGCAAGATGAAAGTTGTCGGCTGACACTTTCATGGACAATTGCGACTTTTTTAAAGTATGAGGGCCCCTGGAAGAAAGTGTCAGAGCGATCGTGTTGGATTGGCTCATATCTATCTGTGCTGGTTTCGCTATGCTGTTGCATGAATTCATCGATGAAAAACAATGGTATCCGAATGCTTCGGAGAGTTGCAGACGTGGATAACCAGGTGTTTCAAGCTGGTATAATAGAGAAGCTCCTTCTGGCTTTGCTACATCGCCCAGATTCGTGGGCTAACGATGCAAGTACATTTGATGAAATTGAAAAATTTTGTACTAGTGCCGTTGTGCGCAGTCAGACCTGGGCTCATCAAATGCAAGAGACAGCAGAGGCTTTGCTTTCGACTTTGGAACCCTGTCTAGTAAACATGAACAGCAACAACGATTTTATCAAGCATTCAAAAACTATCGAATCCTTAGTTCTTTTTGGAAGCGAGGTACGTGAAGGTATCTAGAAACACGGATGTGTACGGCTGTAATCTAATTCCTCTTGATTTGCGTTGCAGATTTTAAGTGCTGGAATTATCAGCTTTTCTATGACAGATAAATACACGCCAATGCTGGCTCTGGTAGCAAGCAAAGCAATGAAATACGGACACGGATCGGCGCAGAGCCGACTTATAGCTGTTGTAGCATTGAAGGCTGCAGCGGCCTGTGGCTGGAAGATTACCAACATCATTATGAATAGTGCTGATCGACAATTGTATGGGCCAGTGTACAGCGACGTGGTTCAATTCATTCCTACGCTTGCGGTGTGGAAGAGATGTGCTAGCGAGCTGGTTTCGCTTTCGCTAGAAAATGGCTTCGCCGTCAACATGTTGGTAGATATTTTGCTACAAGTGGCTACTTTCAAAGTCTATCTACCTAAATCGATCGAGTGGGATGCGTTTACTAAGACCTTGGTGGCGAACATCAAGCAAATCGTTAAGAAGTTGGAAGCTGCCAATTTGGACACACAGCAGACCCTTTCTTTGCTACAGGTCCTTCGATACTTTTTGGAGCTTTGCAAACACTGTTCGGAAAATTTGATCGTAGCCGTACGCATTGGTCCTATTCCTGATATTCATGGTGCCATTATCGATTTGCTCAAGCAGCATGGATGCAGTTATTTAGTCAAAGCTGAGATTTTACGGATGCTGACTTTACTGGGGCCTGCGTCAAGTCTAGTGTCACATGAGCAACATACATTAAATACGTTAGACGCCCTGGTGGCGTTTGTCTATGACGAATTCCCCATCGTCTCCGTTGATGTCTTGCGCGGCTCAAAAGAATTTGGTGTGTTTCGACTACTGTTTTCAGAGCTACTGAGTGTCATCGAGCAAAGCAAATCGATTGCTTACCTTAAAATCATTTACCCAAGCTTGAAAGAAGGAACCAAACATCTCTTTAGTGCAGAAATCAAACAAATGCTAGCAAGGTTCTCAAGCTCTATCGGTAGCAGCATGCATCCTGGGGGGACGAAAAACAATGAGCAAGTAAGAAGTCAGTTGGCAGAGCTCTTGGATGCGTTGCTGGATCCCACACTGGATATTGCTATTCGCAAATCGCTTCTTGAGGGGGTCTTTACGCCCTTGATTGAGTGTCAGACTGGTGAAGCATTGCAGCAGTTCTATTTAATGGAAAGTCCCATCAAAAAATCAAGTATCATTAGCTTGCTCGCGACCTTGATTTCAACCTCGGCTGAGGCTACATCTGAAGGGAGTCGCATTGGCGTGTTTGTGGCATTTTCGCTGGTCGAGATTTTGTATCGTCTGATGGATCCCGAGGTTATTCGGACTGATATAAATTCAGCTTTCTTGGGTCACAAAAATGGCAAGGGTCGGGAGCTTACAATGCTTGTTTGCAAATGTGCCAGCAAGGTAGTCACAAAGGCAAACGAAAACGTTGACGATCTCATTCGCATGACATGTTGTGCCGCTTACAATTGTCTACTTGTCGCCGTGTCTCGGACTCAAAAACAGGAGAAGTTTTTTGATCAAATTTTATTCCAGCCTGCACTCTGGGGCAATATTCTTGATCTTTCGCGTGAGTACGACCTGCATGCAGAGACAGAAGAATTTGCTACAATACCCTTAACAAGCTTGTCAGCGATTTCGCTTCAAGCCAAATTCGACACGAATTCTGCGACAAACCCCAAGCAACACGCATTTACTGCACTTCAATTCTTTACGTCAAGCAGCTTGAGTGTAGGTCTTGACGCGTTAACAGCCTCGGCTGTGACGGCGCCCTTGGATATCGAACAGGCGGGAGCAACATATGCAAATGTTGAGATAGAACTCGATGCGCTTAATCAGCACCCTTGCATGATTCCATTGTTGCGCGTATTGATGCAGATGAAAACAGATTTCGGTTCGGGTTGGGAAGAAAAGGCAATGCCCGGCTGGATGAAAAAACTTTTTGGTGTAATTGTTGACCGGTCAGTGGGTGTAAATGTGCGTTTGTTCTTGGCGAAGGTGGTGTTGGACGTTCCCGAAGTGTTTAAAATGTACAGGTCGCCATGGCTGGGTGCAGTGATTGAAGCACTACTTGATGTGAATGCGTCACGAAAGGTTCCAGAGTTAAACTATATCTTGCGTGATTGCTGCAATCTCGTGCTAAATACTTGGAATGATGTGTTACCATCAGCTCTTAAGGACACCCCCTGCCGATTTGTTAATGAGCTGATTAAGCTTTGCCCAGTGCAAAACAATATCGTTCGTGACAGTAACGTGCTGCTTGTTACAGAGTTAATTGCGTTTTGGAAGGATTCGGCACGTGTCAATGTGGGTCTTCTGATTAACTACATCAACGCTGACGACGAAGGTACAAAGATGAAATCTGCAAAACAATTTACTGCCCTCCAAATTATTAGTGCGATGTTGAATGCTGGCCTCGCAAATGATTTAAGAGGGGATGATGATGAGGAACGTACAATCGAAGATGGGATATTGCTGGTGATGAGGAGCAAAGCAACTTCTATGTACACCCTAGCAGCTGAAGTAGGCGGACTGTACCTACAATCGATAGATTACTCGTTGGGCAAAGACTTTATGTGTAAACTGAAAAAATTGGCTGTCAGCTCGTATGACGCGGAAGACTTCGGGCGTTTCCTTGCTTTACTACGCAATGCTTCGATGCATCAGCCCGAAGTCATCGATCCAATTATGCTACAACGTTTGTCTTTCGTGCTGCCCAAGGCTATTTCCGTGGACGCGTGGGCTTTGCTAGCGGCCGATTCTTTGAGTAGTGCAGCTGCAAATAATTGTGTTGCAAAGGAAACATTTGCTCATGTTCAGTCCACTCTGGGGCGCTTCATTGCTCATCGACACCCTGCTGTACAGCACAGTACTCTTGGAGCTATTTCTCGTCTTTTGAATTATTTAACATTGCCCGAGCTGGAAAGACTGGTAGCAAATGGAGATGAAGGAGGTCTTAGCCTGTTTAAGTATTATGAGGATCATGAACTTTCAGAATGCAGAGGGTTACTGTTTACCGTAGCTCAAAATCTGTACGACAAGGATCTGTCCGAGCACGTGAAAGCTCGAGTGAGAGCTTCTCTGTTGTGTGGCTTATGTGATCCAGATGATCAGTGTAGAAAGAAGGCTTTTGAATACTGGGATACTTCAGAAATCATGGTGAGTTCTTGCAGTGACCGACTCTTAGCACTCTTTGGTTCTTTATACTCAAAACAGATTGACGAGAAGTGGGTACTCTACGCTACCAATTTACTTATTGGAATATCTAAGGGTAGCAGCGATTTTGAGCAACCGCTGTTTCCAACCACATTAGGGAGTGGAGAATACGCAGAAACAAACATTGATTCCAGCTGGGACGCAAAATCGCTATCAATGGCGCCACTTTTTTCTGTTGAAGCCGACCAATTGAGTGCTCACCGCACAATAGAATCTAGTACGTTAGCAGAAACTTTGTCATCGCAAGTTGTAGGCACAATGCAGTCCCAGTTGTTTCCTTCCAAATCAGATAACGGTACGTTTCCTGCTTCGCTTAGTTACTCTATCAATAATACTGACGCTCTGTTTGCCGTTTGATAAAATTAAGCATCCGTTGGAAATACACCACAAACTCTCGGAGAACCGGACACAGTACGGCAACGCGCCAGACAAAAACGCTTCTTCAAACGTCATGCTACTGCAGGTAATTCCGCAGAGGAAATTACGTCGACTTATGACAAGAAAGTGTCAAAGCATAATTTTCATGACCACTATGCTGTGCTGAAGAAAACCCAAGAAGCTTATGTCACCCGGGAACGAAGACAACGGCAAGGTCGAGTGTCGCTCAAAAGGATGTACCGAGTTGGTGAGTTTCCCGATATTCAAATCACACAGCGAGATTTGGTTGATCCTATCATGGCACTCTGTGAATCTCACGTCGAGACAGCGAGCTTAGTATTTGGCGCTATGTTTTCGGCAATTGTGACATCCCCTGAATTCGAAAAATCGAGAAACAGCAGTGAGCTAGCGGACCGTCTTGAGAAGACGTTGACTCTATCTAAAACATCTTCTGTATTTGTTGGGTGCGTTGTATCTGCGTACATTGCTAGTATGATGAGCAGACCAACGCTTTGTGAAATGGTTCCACTTTCGCCAACAGTTGTTGGGGAAGCAGGTTTGTCAAGTGGAAAATATCACCTTAGCGAGCTTGCACTGGAGGAACAGCTGATTTACAGCATTCAGCACAACGACATGAATCTAAACAGAGGGTACACGAAGCAGTGGCAGCTAGTTGGGATCTGTTGCACAAACTGTTGAGCACAACACACAATCAGAATTTTCAGATAGCATTATCGATGACGTGCAGCACAACCGAGGAGTACAAGCTTGCACTCCAAGCGCAACTATCTGGAGACCTTCCGCTTGCTATTGCTTCGTACAAAAAGGCAGAAAGCATCTTGAATTCGCAAATAGCAGTTCTGGATAGTAGCAACTCTCTTCGCGCCCCTGAGACCGATGCTATGCGATGCCGGTGGCAACGGTTACACTGTTTGGAGATGCTAAACAACTGGGAAGCGCTGCACAATGATATGTCTGAAGCGATTAAGAAGGACAATGAATTTGTGTGGAAGCAGCGCCCACCGTATTTGGAGCAAGCAGTCGGTCACTTTATGCGTTCCTGTTTAGGTCTGTTTCATACAACACAAGCCGACAGTCTAGACGCCATGACGAGTCTTCAAAACTTCATTGAAGGAGCTATGCACGATTCGACAAAGGTGGAGCTCATTCAGTCAAAATTTCCAGTTGAAGTTTGCTTGGCGTACCTGTCAAGTGGTAACAAAAATCAAGTACGCGTGTACGTGGAAACCTTTTACAGCAACTTTCTCAAACTGTGGAGACAAACCAGTCCGATGGCGTCGTCATCGCGCTTGAGATTAATACAATCCTTATCGTCGATAGTGGAGATTGACGAAGTGGTGTTGCGCTTCGAAGACGATCGAAAAATCAGCTCAACGAACGAGCATTACAATCTTACAAGTTTTATAAATGCGTTGAGCAGAATGCCTCCTACTACCGAAGAGGACGGAATGCTCCATTGGACACAGCACAATATGGTGCAAGACAGCATTGCTGGGTTTTTGCTGGACAGTGGACGGAGTCATGTAGTTCTTTCGGAAGACATGCGGTTGGCTGTCCTGACAACTAAGAGCAAAGCAATGCTGCAATATGCGAATGCAGCAATATCGTGCAATATTTTGGCGCTCGCATCTAAGATGCTGAAGAGCTATCGCGAGCTCTGCAACGTTTATCAGCTTCCTAAACTTAGCGTGCAGATGGTTGAGGTATTTGTTTCACATGTACTTAAACTGGTCGATCGCCAAGAACGCCAATCACACAGATGTGGCCTAAACCCAAGCTCGCTAAAACTGATTACAAGATATTATGATACAGCCACGAAGATGTTCGACAACGTGGAGATTATAGACATGATGGAAACAGCAGGCACAAGTGATCAAGTGGCAATGGGTTACTTAGAGGCGAAGACTTTTGCGAGTGCCGCGGCGTTTTATGCCTTCTATGACGTCGATGACCACCTAAAGAAAGAATATTTCCATCGATCTCTTGATGTGTTCAAGGTTTCCTGCCAGCGTATTGACGCGGTTTCGAGAAACACACCTGAAGGTAGTGCACCAGTTGCATTTTTGAGGTGCCGACTAACCTTCATCGAATTTATAAACGATATCCTTTTCAAGCCGAAAATGGAGACGTTAGGAAAGCTTGCTGGGCGGAAAGCATGGACAAAATTACTAGTTGATAATGTTTTAGGAGGAATGGCCGCTGGTGATCGGGAATGTGCCCACTACTTTCCTCAGATATGCGATTTGATTGCTCCTTATCCGGATATTGTAGCGGAATTTGAGGAGTACGTTTTGACGAAGGTCCCCCTATGGACCTGCCTGCAGTGGTCGGCACAGCTAATGGCATTGCTAAATGGACCGATCGGGAAAACGATTGTTACGGTTTTGGAAAAGGTTTGTCGTGCTGTTCTTCACATGTGCCCATTGTCATTCTTTCGATAAACTTGTGCTATCGTTGGCTTGTACAGATGGCCGAACAATACCCGGTTGCACTTTTTTATGACTTCATGGTAACATGCAGGTCTTCGCTAAGCAAATTTAAAGTGGACTTGCATCGTCTAGAAGTATTGCTGGCGAATTCAATGATGGAAAGATTCGTTATAGCTTTGAGATTGTACGCCAACGATTATATCTTATAAATTCATTGTAGACTAGAACACGCTAACGAACGTTGCCATGATTGTGTTCAGAATCCACCACCCGGAACTCCGTCTGAAGGAGGGACTGCGAGAGATTGCAAAGCTCTTGGAACAAAATCGGACATCAGATGCACGCTATAAGGTAAAGCTTTTGTGGAATGACTGCTTCTCGCCTAATTGTCCGCTACTCGGTGACCGGATCGGCCGATACAACCGCGACTGGAGCCGGAAAGCTAAAAGGGACGTCGAAAAAATCATGGGTAAGGATGGCTCCAAGATGACTGCACAAACTGTTGCATCCGCCCGCGAGTGGATCATGAGTCATTTCGCGGTCTCCCCCGGTCGATACGGCATCACCAAGGACATGAAGGCGCATCTTGGAGACTTTGCGGAGTGGCTCGAGGAGTTTGACCATTCGAGCTGCTCTCTAGAACTGCCGGGGCAGTACACTGCCCGTAAGTTTTGTAAAGCATTTTGTCTTATGCCGCGCCACATATTCATCTCACACCTGACGTCATCTCCTATCTCTTTCCAGACTGGGCTCCACCAATTCCATCTACACATATTCGAATCTTGAGCTTCGATTCAATGCTTGGCGTACTGGCCTCGAAGCAGCTACCTAAGAGACTCATTTTACACTGCAGCGATGAGAAGGACTACACGTTCCTTGTCAAAGGAGGTGAAGATTTACGCCTTGACCAGCGAATCGAGCAGCTCTTTGGGGTGATGAACCAAATACTTGATACAGATTCGCGGTGCCGCGCCCAGAAACTTTTTCTTACGACCTACAACGTGATTCCAATGACACAAGAAATCGGTATTGTCGAATGGGTAAGCGGTACCTCGACTTTGAAAGGAGTGATTGAGGCACAGCTGCAGGTTGATGAACGCTGCACCGACCTCAAGAGCAACAAGAGGCACAAACTGGAGCTATTCAATACTACTGCCGCGAAAGCATACGAGTCTTTTCTTTTGAAACAGCGTGGATCGAGCTTTAGTGCGAAGGTGGTTGCCCCTTGCTCAAAAGACGTGGTGGATCAGTTTGCAAAAGTCCAAGCGATGATTCCGGCGGACTTGTTGCGGCGTCAATTGTTCGGGTTGGGCACGAAATTCGAAGCCTTCTTGCAGGTTCGGGACAATTTTTTAAAATCCTTGTCCGTGTTTAGTGCGTGCTCTTACATACTGGGCATTGGAGACCGCCATCTGGACAATTTTCTTTTCGATCTCGCTAGCGGCCGCATCATAGGAATCGATTTTGGCGTGAGTTTTGGCGCCGGTGCTAGTGTGCTTCCTATCCCAGAATTGATCCCATTCAGGTACACGAGACAGATGGACTTTGTGTTTCAGCCGTACGACGGCAATAATCTGCTTTCACAGGAGATGCAGGCAGTATTTGAGGCGCTGCGCTCCAAGCGACAAGTCGTTGAGAGCGTGATGAATGTGTTTCTGCACGAACCGCTGTTGGATTGGCAACAATGTACCACAACTCACCAGCAAACCTTATTTGAGGCTGTAGCAGGTGATGATCGATCCACATTAGACGATAGTAGTGATGTGGACATAGAGGAAGTGAAAGAACCTTCTTATGGTCGCGTAAACAAAAAGATGGCAGCATCTCCGGCTGAAGGCAACACCGCAACTGCGTGGCTGCCTGATGTAAAGATTGCCATCGCACGAAAGAAGCTGGAAGGCGTGTCACCTGCACTGCTATTGAAAGAAGAACTATCACAGAATCTTCACCTGAATCAGCACATTAGTAAGTTTCATGCACTGGTCGATGCGGCGAGTAGCAGTCAGGACGATATAAACGAGATGGTAACTATGAGCTCGCTATCCCAAGCACAGGAACTACTGACGTTGGCTAAGGCACCAGATTTGCTTGGTCGCACGTTTCAAGGATGGATGCCGTGGCTATAGACACGAAACGAATGCAGTGTGGAACGGAACAAAAGATGCCACTTTTAATGTGAAACAGGTGATTATTTGAATTTCTTTGTCACTTGCGCTTCTTCACAGCTGTGAGGGCATTAAAGTACAAGACGACCACATGAATCAGGTTGTGTTTGTATTGCAATTCTTTGTCGTCTCGCTACTCTCAGCACGCACGATGCGGCTCTTGCTGAATCCAGTATTTTATTTGAGGATCACACATGATGAGTTGGTGTGTTCTACAGTATTCCCACAAATTGTGAGCCATTTCTGAATAGGTCCAATAGTACAAACCCCGAATCACCCACCAGTCAATTAATTACTTGGACATCACTTTAGGTCCATTATTATGGCACCTCGCTCTTCATCGTCTGGACGCCGTAACGGTAGTTTATTACGCTTTCAAGGCTGCGTGCACTTTCGTCAGCGTCTCGTATGTGCGACTCTTAGTGGGCGGCCGCTAATCATCGAGGACATTCGATCGGAGGACGAAAACCCCGGACTGGCACCTTTCGAGGCAAATCTGTTGCGGCTCTTGGACCGTGTGACGAGTGGTAGTCACCTGGAAATTAATGAGACAGGCACGAAGCTCAAGTACCAGCCAGGGCTCGTGCTGGGTGGCCGCGTGGTTCACGACTGTGGCACGGGACGCGCCATTGGCTGGTTCCTGGAGGTGTTGGCGGCGCTTGCGCCGTTTGCAAAGCTGCCGCTACATGCAACACTCGACGGCATCACGAATGACCATGTGGACACTTCAGTGGACAATTTCAAGGCTACGACGTTGCCGTTATTGAGACATTTTGGTCTGGACCAAGGGCTAGACTTTGTTGTCAAGAAACGCGGCGCTCCGCCGCTTGGAGGGGGACAGGTTGTCTTTCAGTGTCCTCAGGTAAGAGAGCTACGTGCTGTCCATTTGGTGGACGAAGGATTCGTCAAACGTGTGCGTGGCGTTGCCTATAGCACGCGCGTGTCTCCACAGACATCCAATCGTATCGTAGAGACCAGTCGCGGCCTGTTTAACAAACTCTTGCCGGACGTTTACATCTACTCGGACCATTACAAGGGCGCGGAGTCGGGACAATCGCCGGGCTTTGCTCTCAGTCTCGTGGCCGAAACGACTACTGGCATTATGTTGGGGGCAGAGGCAGCAGCAGAACCCGGTGACTTGCCGGAAGATGTGGCGACGCGAGCCTCGCACGCACTGTGTGACGAAATCAGTAAAGGAGGATGTGTTGACTCGTCCAACCAGGCGTTAGTTTTGCTTCTTATGGCGCTGGGCCCGGAGGATGTGACGAAGGTGCGTTTCGGTAAGTTGACGCCGCACAGTATCGAGTGTTTACGTCATCTACGCGACTTTTTCGGTATCACATTCAAAATTAAACCCGACCCGGAGACCAAGACGGTGCTGCTATCATGTCTGGGCGTCGGCTTTAAGAACCTGGCCAAGAAGGTCACCTAGACGCGAGGCTGGTCTCAATCAGTTACTTTCAAGATGGAAGTAATGCAATTTTGGTGATATGTAGTGTCTATGGTTGGCTGCTCCTGATCTGCTCTTTTTGGGATCAATTGTGATGCATCGTAGGTATCTTGACTGCTAAGCATTGTAGTTAGCAGGTCGCGCGCACGACAAGTTATTTGAAGCTTCTGACGAGCAGAGACAACGTTACCGGCCCAAATCGCGGACGACCGCCGTTCGTTACAAGGTACGGCTTGTGTAAAGTTTTGTGACTGTTTCAAGCTCGTTATAGCGAGACACATCCTCCTCGTCGGGAATTGCACACCAAGCAGTATTTTGGTGCTTAGTCTTTGATACCTCGAATCGTACAGCCACAATAGCCACAATAATGCTACAACTGGTTTGGACATCTCTTGCTCAGTATAAATACCGTCGTCCGTACTACTGCGTTTATCTATTGGCGTTGTTGCAGCAGCGAAACTTCGATATAAAAAGAAAATAATTATGCACCAAGCTGGTAGTAAACACATGAACCGCGACATATAAACTTTTTATTTATTTCTGGATATATGTTAGACCAAGTTGGCAGTGTTGCCTCCCACGCGTGATTCGTATCATTTGTTCTTCCCCCATCGTGGTTGATCAACGAGAGTCAACGTCTGTTGTTGCAACGTAACTCGAAAAAGTTCTGCGTCCAATCCGAGCATTTTACCAGCGACGATCACTAGAACCGCCGCCACGGCGATCATCCCAACGCGAGCTTTGACGTGGGCGACTCCCGCTACCTGAGTAAGACGCACTGGAACGTTGCGCGAACGGCCCACTGCTACTTCCGTTGCGTTGGTATGAAGTAGGACGAGAAGTTTTCGACGCTGGAGCAACTAGCGCCTTCATCTTGAAAAACTGCAGCGCCTGTGACAACGTCGGCAGGATGGACGACTCAATGCGGCCGAAAAATCGGTAGCCGCCTGACTTAACCTCCAAGTGGCAACTGCGAGGCGTTTCACGAGCAATATACGTGATTGAAAAACAGCCTGGAAACTTGCTATACACGTGAAGGGCGTAAGGAATGCGCGATGGGTGCTCCTTCTTCTGTTTGATCAAGTCCTCCTCAACACTTTCCTTCAAGCCGCTCTTGTAGTACTTGTAATGTACCACATCATCCACCAAAACGTTCATGGGATCCACAAAACGAGCAATCAGCTCGTCGATGTTCTCGTACTTTTCTTCCTTGACAATCAGCGTCTGACCAATGCGGGCGTCGGATGGTTTATCTTTTTCTAGGATATCGAAATGACGGTACACACTATCCAGCATCTTCCACGTTAGCGTAAGATGGTCAGTGCCCAACGTACTAGGTCGAATAACTACTTCTCCGACAGACTGTTCTCGCAAATACTGCATCGCTGTCTGGCAATTAATGTTGCGGAACAACGGATGCGCAATCTGTCGTTTCTTACGCTTTGATGGATGGCTGCCGAAACCAGAGGTAGCTTCACTAAACGTCGCTTTGTCTTCCTCCACAGGAGGTTCGTTCAGTAAGCGGTCAACACGCTCCATACTATCGGTCTCAACTAGCTTCTCATTTGTATAACGCGGAAATCGGTCTGGATAGAAGCACATTGACATATCAATTAGCGAGCGTCGATTGCAGCCAAGTTGTAGCTCGAAGCGTCCTTCACGATCCGCCTTGATTGCCAAGATCTTGGCATTAACTGTGATCCCCTTCGGGAATCCCTGAGGACGCACATCTATCAAATAGTCCGGTAGTCGCTCACGATGCAAACTTGAGCGCATACCACTCTGCAATCGAACGCGAACAAACTCATCGCCTGACATATGCAGCAATGTAGCAGGCACGACCATTCCAACCCGCATTGTGTCTCGCGTTTCACCGTTAAGCAGGAAGAAGAGGTCTTCGTCCTTCGGTACCTGATACTTTCCACGTTTGTCGAAATATGGGTATCGCAGCTCTCGCTTAATGTACTCAAGTGTCAGCAACTTTGGGCCCTTCTTTTGCAGCTCTAGACGGCCAGCGTATGCAGACAGATCCAGCTCCGACAATACATCTTGAATCTCTACATCACCGAGTCGAGTGTTAGGCGGGGCATTTCGGCTTCGAATTGCAGACGCTGACTGGTACATCGTGTCTTCCACTGCGTAGGAATAGTGGTTTGGGTCGTACATATCGATTGTCGAGTTATTGTTCGCGTCACCACAAATTTTGACCGCCATGTAATAACTTTCCGGGTGGATACGCGTGTCATCCAGCGGATTCAGTGGAGCTTCACGCAATGCGTCACGCTCACGGATTCGGATAAACCCAGCAAAATTGCGATACACAATTTTGCCAACCAACCTTTTTGACAGCAATTCCTGCCGTCGCTCGACATAGTTTTTTGCCCGAACTTTATCCAGTACTGATGCTGCCTTCACAGGACCCAAGCCACAAATGAATTGCAGCTGATAGGACGTGTGCTTGTGGTTAGCTAAAAGGTTAATGTCAACGCCGTATTTGTTAATCACTTGAACAAACACACGATCGTATTCCTTCAGCAGAAGATCCTTAACGAGGGAGTGCTGCATCATGTGGACGTTCAAAAACAGTAGTTCGCGGCCGCGACTGGGTTCATTCAACGCAACATTCCCCCACATCGCACAGAGCTCCGATGCAGGATTTCTGAGATAGCGCCCCAGACCAATCGCAGCACGCACATACTCTGTTTCCTCAGGGAATTCCTGATCTGCACGTTTCGACCGGCTAAACATGTTTGGGACATCATCTTTCAAGAACACAATGTCAAGGAAATCATGCCCATCACCATTTCCAAAACGCGAAGCATCATCTCGACCCAACAAGCGCCGAACCTCATCAACCACGCCACCCATGTCCATACACTTCATTCCGGCCGATACGTTAATGACCACTACATGAGTTTGTGCGTGCTCTGTCAAAAATTTCAGTAACGTAGCAGATAACTTCTGAATGTTATTTACATCTCGCTTGCAGTATCCCTCCGTCTTGTCAACCATCTCTCCATTCACGTCGAGAGCCACGATGTGTGCAATCGAGTCCATAGTACTCTCAACCCATATTGAAACAATATAAGGATCTACGCCATCGGCCGGCTCATACGGACGGACAGATAGCCGCTCCCGCAGTGCATTTCCGCACATTTTGACGACCATATCGCGAGAGGCCACCGTCAACTCGCGTTTCAGCTCGTTTTCGAACGACGATATCATAAAGTTGTTGATCGCCTCCTGAAGAACAAGGTGACGCTGGCTTTGCCACTCCTCGTCCGAGTTGCTTGGCAGCATATAGATTGGCTCAAGCGGATCCATCAAGTCCTGGGCCTTCTCATTGATGATCGTGATTGTTAGCAGTCCTTCCTTTTCAGCTCGAACAATCTTCAGCCATAAATCGCCTGCCTCAAACACTTCAAGAACTGGCATCTTTTCAATGTATTGCAAACCGTGACAGTAATGAAACTCGTCGACTTCTTCGCGGCCTTTAGCAGTTGCCTCCGTGTTCAAAACAGCGTTTTGACGATACAGCTCGCGAATACGCTTTCGGACGTTGGGCTCCGCTGCAACTTTACTGGCGGCAATGTGGCGAGCACCTTTCATCACATCATCCACAGTCGGGAACTCCTTCGTCGTATATTTTTGGGCCAGAACACCAGGACTCTCTTCTGGAGTAGGTACATCACACATCGAGTCTTCGTGCTCCACACCAGCCACTATGCCGCCTAACACAGAGGCATTCATCGTAAAAGCGAGAGACACCGACCGCAATCCAGCCTTTATACAGATCTGATAGAATGTACGGCGGACAGGGCGACGATATTTGTGCGCTGTACCTTCCTTGTCCTGGGCACTCGATTCTTGTGCATCCAGAGCAAAAAACTCTGATAAATCCTTATACGTCTTTTCATCAGGTGTGCTAAATAGTTGTTCGTAGCATTTGCGCACAAATGCCGACTCCTTTGCATTGGAAGAGTCGACTTCGCGCTGAATGCCACTCTGAAATGATCTCCGCTTCCGCTCCAGCTTGTCCCATTTAATATCGAGATCAAGAATTTCGTACAAGTTTTCCGTATGTAGGCCCACAACTTTCCAATACTCCTTGCAGTAACGCTGGACAAACGCCGGCTCAAGCTTCTCGTCATGATAGAAGCGCAAGACGGTATCAATTGCTGACACAATTTCACCGCGCGACGCAGCAGAATTGCGTTGATTCCTTCGCTCAAGGGTTTTAATAACAAAGTCGCTAATCCACTCAGACTCCTCAGCGCGATCTTCTGCATCGGGGAAATCGCGATTTTTGTAAATGTACTGGTACCGCTCCGGTAAATCGTTGTCGCGAACAGCAATGACGTCTGAGGTCATCATGTGCTCTTTCAACACACTAGGCTCGAATTTCTCCAGCAAAATAGCTTTCTTCGATTTCACAGGGGTATCCTCAGGAATCTTACCGCTCGTAGCCTCCAAAAATCCGTCCATGTCGCCGAACAGCTCCTCGGCTTCTCCCATCTGATATACCGATGGCCCCTGCATAGATGATGGAATCGGTTCCTGTTTCCGCCGGCGGCGCGGACCCTCGCGTCCTTCTTCGTCGTCGTCTACGATGAACTCGTCAATATCATCGCTTTCGTACTCATCGTTGCCGAGATAATTGTTCGCACGTTGCGGCGCCGAGTTTTCTTCTTCCTCGTCCGAGTCACCAAACATGCGATAGCTCAACTCGCGCGACATGAGTCCAGAGTCATCCTCGCTCTTGACTTTTCCGGACGAGCGTTCCATTTCTTCATCCTCGCTGTCGCTTCGTGTTGGACCTGTGTCCATGCCCATGTTTTCACGCACGAGCAGAAGATCCTCGTCGTCAATTTCTTCTACCTTTTGTTTCAGACGCTTGAGTTTTTTCTCTTTCTTGCGTCGGCGTCGACGGTAGCGAGCTGATAGCCGTGACCACAGTAGATTAATGTCAGTATCTCTCTCTACAATTAATATATAACTAGCAACCGCCCCCCTTCTCTCACAAAAGACACAAGAGGATTGTATGTAGCTAGATCAGGTACTTACCCGTGTCTTCCCCGCCAGAATTCTCATCCTCGTCATCCACGACAAAGCCGTCGTTCTCGTACTCGTTGCGGTCTTCTCCCTCATCATCGTCTTCGTCTTCCTCGTTGTCCGAGTCAGGGCCACCCCCTTCTCCGTCGTCGCTCTCGGACGCCATGTCGTCAATAAACGAAGACTTTACTTTCTACTCTCAATAGTAATATTTCAGTATATACATGCAAACACAAAGAAAACATTGACAACTCTGCACCTTGTCCTCGTCGTCCTCACTCGTTGATCTCTTGACCTGTTTATTCTTGCTCTTGCTTTTCTTGCTGCTACTGAGCTTGCGCTTTTTACTTTTCTTCTCCTCCTTTACAGCGTCTGATCCTGAGTCGGAAACAGTGGGGGAACCAGTCCCAAACATTTCATCTGTCGAACGCCCACGAAAGAAAAAATCAGTTAGCAGAGAGATAGATGGAGACGTATAAAGATAGGTACAAATTCCAACTCACCGTCTGACGTGGACATCGTAATCTGCTTCGTCTACGTCTGTGTGCTTGTGCTGCACCGCGTCCTTACGATCCTTTTCTGTGAACTCCTTCGCTTCCACCCACGGCCTCGTTTCGGTACGATTGTGTTTTTATTTAGACATAAATTCCGACGCTCAATCACATTGGCTAAAATGAAGATTCGAACTTAATCTGGTGATTATGTACTTACTTCTTATCGTTACTTCAGTTTGTGTTTGTATAGAGATTGAGCGTAAACGTCACGATCATTATTCAGTGATATTGGAGCCAAATGGCGAGTACTTTTCTAACCTCATATATACATCTTAGTGTTCAAAGCCCGAGCACAGGTGTATTTCCAAGTAGCCAAAGGTGGTCGATCTTTTTCAGACGAAGTGTCTACAGTGCGATAGCCCATAGTGCTGTCCAACTTTCCAAATTACTTCTCAGTCATTACCGGCTGCGCACATGCTGTACATACTGGATTTTACCGAGCGGGCAACATACATGGCAGTCTATCGTATGCCCGATCAACAAGCAGGATGGAATTGTTAGCGCAGGCTGCACTGAATACAATCGTATTTTGCATCCTCCTCCTCAACGTCCTATGGCCTTGTTGTGTCCACAAATGAGCGATTGTCTGGAAAGTAGCAGACCGTCTTGACGAGCAAGACCTCACTTCTCACGTATAAAAGTTGGATTCACTTTTGATACGCTTTCCTCATGTTGATGAAGGAGGACCATGCAAACACTCTCATCGACTTGGCAAGCTTGTCTTTTGGAACATGTTTTGCAAGGTGGCCTGGAATGAACTTGACGATGATGAAGCTCTTGAGTCGACTATGGTTCGTATACTTGGCTACTGTTAGGACTGCGACAACCAAGGTGCAACAGCTTGGGGATCAAACGCAAGCACAAAAGCTTCCACCTTATTTGAATCCGGTGCTATTGTATCAAACAGCCATGACCAAATTCAACACCGTGGCGCCAAATTGCTAACGCTTTTTGTATACCGATGTGTTCGAAAAAAGTACATCGACTGCACTGATGTGCCTGAATTGGAGACGGAAGAGGGCGAAGCTGTCGAGGTTGTCAAGAGGCTCACGGAACGCCAGTCCAAAGTAGTAGCCTAGTCTCGATTGTCACCGCCTTTACTGTCCCTTCGATACCTTTGGTCAACGAAAACACTACAGCTAACGCCAAAGTGGGTACAATCAAAAGTGAATACAAAGCGTATCCCCATCATGACCGCTACAAAGCACACAGCGAATACGGATAGTAATGTATATTGTATTATCCTGTTCCAAACAAAACAGTGTAAAGCAAAAGAAATGTAAAGCCCAAAATGGTCGGGTATCGCGTCGCCGGCTGCCGAGCTCACGGGAGACGCGATGGTTGGAGGTGGTCGCTCTGGTTCCATGTCTTCTGTCGTCTCCCTTGGCCTTACTTGGGCCAAGGTGGATGGATAGGAGCTACTTGGTCGGATTTTCCATTGAACACGACAGCTCCACCAGAGGAAAAAAGATATACGAGGCAGAGAGCAAGATAACGAATCAAAGCTGGAAGCTGGAGCAATATGCGTTCAATCCGCTATCACCACTCGTCCCAGCTTTCAGCTTAGCTGTAACATCACTCAACACCGTCTCGTTTGTTTCTTGAATTGGTTGATGTAATTTACTGCATAGTAGTCGAAACATGTTCAGGGGCGAGCTCGTCCGAATTAGTATTGCGTGCTATGTATTGACGCAGGTTACGCACAAAGCAAGAAACCTCGCTGATGGAGCCCTTGTGGATAACACTAGAAGGAAAGTAGCCCTTGATGTCCATGTTGAGAATCCAAATAAGACGGCTTTTGAATGGAGATGTCGGGTGTGGCAGGATGACCCATCCAGTCGGGCCGTTCTCGCCACGAGTAATACCCTTCTGAGGCTTCAAAACGTTCTTTCCGGCGTAGCTGTTGGCAATAACGTACCCGCCGCCATCCTGACGACGCCATGTCCGTGTGTTCACAAAGTCGCGGCTAGAAATCATGCCGCCCAAAGCAGGGGCCGAAGTCAGGTGCACCAGATCAGTGGTCTCATCTAATTTGCAGATAATGTTGCTTTCAGCTGCCGTCACATTCCAGACATTGCTAGTCTCCAAATTCGTGTACAGCTCATCAAAGAGCTCGTCTGGCGAGAGTGGAATTTCGGCCTCGCACTTGTAAATACGCGACGGTTTACCGTCTCGCGAGTAAACTGTAACGTTCTCTGTTGTGGGAACCTCCTCCGTCCACGCCGGGTCCTTCGTCACCTCCGTGTTGGCCAGTTCCAGTACTTTGTCCAATGATCGTTGCGAGCTCGCAATGAGCTCATCGCTCTGCACCGCTGTAATCTTCACATCAGCATACTTGTTTTGTTCAGTCTTCTTCGCCGTGTCCGTCGAGGTAATGATTCGCTCGTCCGTCGCATTTAGATCCATGCCACTAAAAATATTCTCGGCATCTTCCAGATCCGTGACGCCGTCCGTGAAGTAGCGGGCGGCATTCATCCTCGTGACGACCTCGTACACATTCTTGACAAAACCAGCCAGTAATATCCAGACGGCTGGATTGGACATGGCCACCTCGCCCTTTAAAAACCAAAAAGCGGCCGCGAAACCCACTACCGAAGCCAACAAGAAGCTCAAGCTGCTATCATCCTGTTTCTGCGGCGGCGTCAGTGTCTTCCGGACCTTCTTGTCCTGTTGCTTCTTGACCAGCAACAGTTCCTCCGTCGTTGTCGCACCTTGAGCACTCTTCTCCTTGGCACGAAAGCGTAATGAGTCGTCGGAATCATACAGTACAGCGCTGCTGTGTGCGTGGATTGCGCACGGGTCGCACACGCGCTGGCGCCGCGGGATCTCGCCCGGGTTCGTAGCTAGCACCATGCGTGTGCGTGAGCAGGCATGGCAGAAGATCTCACCACACACGCGGCAATGATGGCGGCGGTTAACGAGCGAGAACACGCGCTCGCACTTGGCGCACGTACGCGCAGCCACGTCCTCCACCCAACGGCCTGACACCGTATCGCGAGAGGTCATGTCCATACCGGCGGGAGACCAGCTGCTGGACGCCGTAGATACGTTCGAATATGAGCGCGGGCGCATTACGAGTCGTGAATCACGAGTCTCTGTCTTCTTGGTCGCTACTCGTTCCGCTCGAGCGGATTGGGCTGCGCTTGAGGGCCGCACACACATTCTGGCAATGCTTTAAATAGAAGGACGCTCAATGGCGTTGAGCACAAAGGTGACTTTTGAATACTGAACACAAGTGAAGAAAACAAAGACAGATGGATGATGCCTTTTCTATGTGAAAGACCATTTAGTAGCAGAAAAGATACAACTTGACGACGCATAAGATGCAAACAGGTTCATTAATCCATCATTTAGGGAAGCGATTACGTGCTATGGCGAAAGTACTGTCGCTTTTCTGTGATTTTTGCTGTATGAAGGCAGTAATCATCGTTGTGTAACGCCATTTACGGGTCACGCACTTGTTTGCCAGCGCACAACACTTGAAGACACGATACCGACTTTTGTAGCGATCTCACGACGAAAGGCTCTTGTCGTACCGAATTGTGATAGATAAGGGACGACCGCGGATTGATGCAATTCTACGCGCCGTGCTAAGTCAATCACATCACCTGGCATCGCATATGATGGATGTAACAGCGATGTATACAGTGATCCTTCTCTCAAGCTCGGACTCAAGTACAACGCCACACACTACCACGGGGATGACCGTGACAATACCGATCGCCTTCAGTTTTCGCCTGTGTAGGTTGCGTGGTCGGTAGTTGCTTGTTCCTTCTTCATAGCGCGATACCGATAGTCGCTGCATCGCCCGCGTCTGTCGTATCGTCGTCTCGCTCCGCTGTTTCAACAAGGCCGGAGCTTGTAAGCGAGTCCCTCGCAATCAGGCGGGCAACGTTGGCTCAATTGCACACGAGCGCAAACAATCAGAGCTTTGGAGTGGGCGCATAGACGAAATCTTCGCTGCTCGACAAACGCGACTCAAGAAATTGTGCAGGACACTGCTGCTTGGCATGGGCATTCATCAACATATGATGCGTAAGTCTCTCTCCCAGCCGTCATGACGGACGCAAACACAGGTTTTATGTTATGGTGTGTGCCACAGTATGACATAAGCATTACTTACGTATTACTTTTAGTCGGTCACCGCTTTATATGCATATCTTACTTTAGTATTCTATACTTACTTTTTCTAATGCTTCAATAACAAAAGCAATTTCAATTCAATGTAAGAGTAAGGCTTATTACTCTGGACTCGTTGAGTCAACGTCTTCCTCTGACGTTAAGCTGTATCAGCCCTTACACTTGGTAGAACTCGTAGTCAATCCTACGACTGAGTCTTTTTGACTGTTCCTCTGTCAGAAAAAAGCTTTTCATTTCGAAGACCAATACATCGATCATATGCAAGCGGTGCTAGAGGATCTCGTTGTAGTTGGGCTACTACAGCTAGAGGAATAAGTCCCCACAAGCCTGACAAAAAAAGCTTCCACTTGTACGCGCAAATGCGTTAAGGTGTCTCATGGTATTTACATTCGGGCAGCAAGTGGCTAGCTATACATGCAGTCAGTTTGCATGAACTTAGTCAATCACAACCCCCATGTGTGCTTTTTTGCCGCTCAGAAATTATCGCGTGAGACCACTTGGCTTGAAATACCACACTTCATTCAACCCCTAAGCACGGACTCGCTCTTGTGCAGGTGCCGGGATATTTTTCGATTAGACGCTTCGTATAATAAGCAGTCCGAGGCTAGATGAAGCCGTTTGGTTAGATGGACCAGCTTGAATAAGTTCAGCGTGGCTATACAAAGTTATTGCCAATGTGAACTACAGATCTTTCCAATAATTTTTATAATAACATATAGTA